TGTTACCCTCCCAAGTCGCAAAGGTCGACCTCAGATACATATCAAGGAGTTCCATGAAGCCTTCAACTGAAGTTCCCGCAGCATTTTGAAAGGCAACTACACCAAACACATCGATGCAGTCACGAATGCAGGTAAGGAGTCCATCATGTGGCAAGGAGTAATACAAATCCTTAATATCGAATGAACAGGCCATAAAGCTAGTGCGCTGGTTGTCTTTAAGAAAAGAAATGACATTATCGGAACTCTTCACGAGAAAAGGATCGTGAATCTCAAACAGCTTCAAACTCTTTTGCAGGAACAAGGCAACCGACTTCTGCCAAGTACCGGCCTCCGAAACAATGACACGCAAAGGGCAATCTACCTTGTGCGTCTTCGCTGCGAAGAAAAGCTCCAAACTAAGCTGTTTCCCAGCGTCAATTTTCTTAACCAGCTGTTCGAGGTTCAGCCTCTTACAAAGTTTTTTCGCCTCAGATTTTTGCTTAGTTAGGGAAACGCTGTCCTTAGGCAGGAACACAGACGAAATAGCCACAAGTGCCTTGGATTTATAAAGGTCAACTGGAAGGACAAGGAACCCCCCTTCTTTATCTGAGGCTAATAAAGACAAAGAGTTATCTTTCAAAAAGGTTGACACCTTCTTAACCGGGATCTTGCTAGCGCCAGGCGTGCGTCTGGTCAACACATCCAGTCCCTCAGAGACGCACCTCTCGGCCTCCGCTTCCGGAACTTTCCTGGCAACATCCCGGACGAGGCTCAGAAGTTCCGCCCGCGATTTCGTCGGCTCCACGGCAAACTTTGGACCCCGGTCCAAAACACGACGGATGCTCTCAGGCAGGGAGACCTGACCCAGCGTGTGGACGGTGGACCTGCTTGGCGCAGCCCTCTTGGGAGCCGAAGCACGTAGCTCCGAAAGCTACGTGCTTCATTATTATTATTTTTTTCAATGTTTTTTTTCAATGTTTTTTATCATTGTTTTATTTTTATTGGTGATACATCACATGGGCTGAATTTTTTATGTTCTTTTGTTCGTGACACCGCAAATAAATATTGCGAGTTTGCGTTCAATAAACTCAGTTGTAAGTCAGCGCTACGTCCGTGTCACTTCTTTGTCTGGTCCTCGTCTTCCCGCGCTGTTTTTAATTCCGAAGTATGTACCAACTCGCCCAAGCCTCAACTTTAGTTTCACCCCGACGTCGACGATCACCACCGACGCCATGTTTGCAGACAGAAGGAGTCGGCCCGCGATCGGCAGACCGGCATGCAACGCGCTCGACCCATTCTCCTCGACCTGTGATTGGTCTGTCGTTGCGGTCGCTTCGGTCGTTTCCAACGCATCGGGGAAAGTTGGGCTCGCTCCAACTCCTTGCGTCGTGAACGACACGTGCGTGCGTCCCTCCGTCGCTATGGCAACTGACGGTTGCAGACCGTTGCAACGGTCGTTTCGGTTGTTCCGGTCGTTCCGGTCGCTACGGACGCATGTGTGTGAACGGGCCTTAACACGCGAAGAGCCGCGTGCGGCTCGGGAGCCAGTTTGGCCACCCCTGGACTATAGCTATGTTTCTAGATTTGTTTGTCCTGCCGCCCTTTCTCAAGGGATTATCATTATTCTTGTCCAGCTCGCGTGCAGCTTTGCGTTATCATCATAAAAGACAGGCAGTTCACCCTTGTTGGTGACTGGTGGCAGCTGTTAAAACCTGTCAGCTCTACTGACATCCAACTCGTGGTTAGACTAGAGTGCCTTCATGTGCGCTTCGCATAGAGTGATGCCAACTGCCCGTTTCCCTTTCCCCCGCCGCCATTTTGTTCCTCATTGTTTCCCCGTGCGTTTCCCGTGCGCCGGAAAGTGGCCTTTGTGTCCATCGGTCCCCCCATCCGAGGGGGAAATGCTAATCCTCCCGCCGTGGGTTCCACAACCCTGCTCCGAACGTGTGAGATAAGGTGCTTGTTTCCGGGAGGGTTATAAGCCCCACGGATTATGGCCGAGACCAAAATGGCTGCTGGTATTCGGCGAGTGGTATTACAAAGGGTGGCACCACCCTAGCAAAGCGCACATGAAGGTTAGACCAGGGGCGGATGCAGGAATTTCCTGAGGGGGGGGTCAGGTGTTGGTCAGCGTACCATATGTTTAGGAATCCCCTGCCCCTCTCCCTCGTTACACACCCTAAATTTTACAGATGCAGAAATCAAGAGGGGGGTCAGGACATCCGGACCCCCCCTCTAGATCCGCCCCTGGGTTAGACCACTTGGTAGAGCACTCCACTGGAAGTGGAGAGATCCCAGGTTCTGCTACCAAGACTAGGCGGATATTTTCAGTCGCGCACCAGTCACCTACCTGTGTTCGTCCTTTGTCCCCCTGGTTCCCTTTCTCCATGGATTACCGTTATTCTTGTCCAGCTTGCTTTCACCTTTGCATTATCAGCAAACCAGCTTTTTCCAGAATATTAGTATTCTTCATCATCGGTTAGGGGTACCATAGCTTGCGATGTGTGGCTATTGCAACAATACCTTCTGCACAAGACATTCGGCCCTTCTTCGTAAATAAATATCAGTGTCTAAAAAAAAAAAAAAAAAAAAAACAAACAGAAAACAACAAACCAGCAGCACAATTTTGGTCTATACAATTTTATTTAGACACGCGGCAAAATTCGCGAAACGCAGTGTCGTTCGCAGCCAGTTGATCGAAAATGTGGCATGCACGGCGGACACCTTGCACCCGCTCTGCCACAATCGGGGCTAGTATATGGCAAATGTTTGGTTGCAGCTCGCAAGCCTTTGGTTTGTGACGCCTTCGTCATGGGCGATTCCAATGAGGAGGACTTGCAAAACAAGATCTGGCAAACTCAGCATAAACAAACAAAAACATGTGTCATTGTGTGCAGGCTTGCAACACTAGGACTTCGACTTAGCACAGAAAATGACGTAGTTCCTAACAAACCATTGAGCCAACACAAATAACTATACACTCATTGAAAAAAAAAGAATAAATTGTGTTAGCAACTGTCAACTTGCTCATAGTCGTCAAACTCGGTCCCAAGATGGATAAAACGCAGGAAAGTATACAACTATGTACAGGGTTTGTAAAATGATTGGTAAAAAAGACATTTAAAATTGGTTTAAAACATAAATAGGGTGACAATAAAATAAAAGCGATGTTGCATGAAGTTTGCTGTTTCTTTCGACTTTACGAGTGTGGGCAAAACTAGAAATATTTTGCGCAGAGTATTCCAGTCGAGACACAAACAAACAAAAATATGAGGAAACCATCGAAGCTGACGCATGCCACCACTGCATAGTAAGTCGGGTTGCTCACAGCGAGTCGGACCGGCTGCGCACTACCACTTTGGTTGAGAGTCACACCCCAGTGACTTGTAAATCGCCCAGTTGCCAACCAGCACTCTTAACAAGGGAGAAAACCTGAGAAGGTTCTCTCTTTTATTAAAATGCCCGTAAAACGTCTCCGCCAGACACGAGACAAAAGAGGCGGGAATACGGAACCAAAAATGGAAAATGTGCAATCTGCCGCGCGCGGGACCCGCAAAAACAGAAGGCGACAACCTGGGGGTGCCTCGAAACGCTCCGCCAAAGCGAGGCGTTCAAAATCTTGCCTAAAACTATGCTTCATGTTTACAGACGCCCCTCAGTAACTATGGCTTCACTTTACACAAGCAGAACAGCTCCGTTTTTGATTCGCGCGCGACGAACGGGGTGCGCGGAGGGGGGCAGTGTCCCGGCGCCGCAGCAATAAGGCCTCTCCGAACAGGGCCCGGGACACCCCCGTCCTTGGCGGCCGGGCATGGAAACTGGCGCAAGAAATACTGAATGCCCGGGAGGGGAGACGATGCTGGTGGGGAGGAAAATGGCGGAACAGTGGCAATGGGCGCGCTCGCCCCTCCCGGGCAAGAGCAGCCCGATGCAGACAGACTGCTCGATGTGCACGCATATGTACAAGCGGGGAGTGTACCGGGGGCAAAGAGCTTGGCCAAACTGCGAACCTACAACCAACAAGGTTGCGGATAATTAAACAGAAAGAAGCACCTGCTTCAATTTCTCCACTCATACCTCCCATGGGCACCACAAGGAACTTGAGAGGGTCGGTGGGGAACCAGAAAACCATAGAAGACTCACAGGGAGTCCATGCTAAGTTAACCCCAACAGCGAATCTTTGGCCCTTTGCTACTAGAGGAACTAGCGAGATAACAGATATACTCGTTTTCACCTCAAAAAACCGCAGTGAAAAAAAGTTGCCAACTTCGCCCGTCATGAGTTGAATTAAGACCTCTTAGATTACCTTTTTCATTTTATCAACACGTGCACGTTTCAAATGCCAAAGGCATTGTTTCTTCCCTCGATAACCAAACCTTGTAAGAACTACTTCACACAGCGCATAAATCGCGCGAAAAACTTCCTTCTTTTTTGACGTGACGAGTATAGAAGGCTAATAAGGCACTACTAAAGAACAGAAGTGCCTATTTACAATGTAGCTCATGGCATCCATCATAAACCTCCATTATTTCATCACACTGCAGTGAATATGTCGGTATTAATGCCATAAAGCTAGAGTCGGTGACTCTTTCAACTTCGAACGCTGGAGAGGAGGTGACCTCCTCAGTAGCATTCTCTGCTAAAGTGCCAAAGAGGTGCTTATCTTCCACTTTTAAGCTGTCACCGACTGTAGACCAATAGTACAGATTATCGAGTCCACCAAGTGTGGTATGAAATGTCACAAATGAAGATAAATCAGCATCAAAAAGTGATGTCTTTCTTTTCTGTGGAGATTGCCTAAGGCACATAACGTCCGTTTGCCGAAAATTACATATTAAGACTGCAACCGACTATGCCAATTTTTGTGACATAAGTGACTTTACAATGCAGAGATTTGACCCGCAATCCCCTTTTTCGAAACAGTGCTCAAAAGTTTGATAATAAAAATGCCGATGGTCATGATGGAGGTTCAAAATGGCCAGTTATCCCTTATCCTCATGGATGAAGAAAGAATAAACAATTAAAAAAGGGACAACACAACTTAATTGTTTATTCTTTCTTCATTCATGACTTAAACCAACACGCTCTTCTACTAAGCAAGTATCCCTTATCCACTGAGAAGTTCTAGTGTACAGGGCTTGAGATTTAACCTCACAAATTCCGCCTTTGGAAAGCCGAGGTCAAAATGACCACTCATGAGGGCTGACACAGTTAGTTGTTGCCCGCCAGAAAAGCATCTAGCCAGATCTAACTCACTCCAAATGCAACCTTTGAAGGGGGAAAAGCAAGTTTCCCTAAGAACTAGATTAGGCAATCAAAACATGTTCCTCTCTTTCAGACACCCTCATACCAGACGCAGTCATGTCTCATCAATACGGATGCTCCCCTCCAGACAGAATGTTCGGGGACCTATCTGCCCCTATAGAATTCTGCTTCACTAGTACAGAAATCCAGTCTAGACTACAGACAGCTAGTATGGGAACGAACTGGGAAAATACATGCGTTTTAGTGTCATTATATTAAACACAAGGACTCTCAAACACACCACAAATATCATTAAAAAAAGGAAGAAAAGCTTGGCAATGCTTTGGGGTCACAGAGTACACCCAGGGGTTCAATGTTGTCTGTTGGGCACCAGACAATGGTCAAATTTTTCGGGGCACTTTGGCCAAATGAGACACTTGCCCTTCTCTCCTTGTATGCTGCGGCTGTAGATGACAGAGCTGAAGAACATTCACAAGTCATGTGTACCTTTTGTGCATAAAAGTAAAGACAAACACCAGTGCAGTGTTTGTCTATCTTCTTTTACTCTGTCTGCGCCATTGCATTGTTAGTACTTTTCATAATGAACCAGCTAGCCCAATCGTCTGCATTATTCAGATATCTTACACTTTTGGATAAGAAAGCAGGCACAAAGCAGACAAAAGGCTCAGTATTTTGTTTTTGCCTAAATAAAGTATTTTTTTTTCTGGTTACACTTCTTTACTGTCAAAGTTTGACCTTGATATGTCATTACGGACAACATTTCCGGGGGACGGAGCATACATATTAATCAAACATGACTGTATTCCCTCCATTACCCATAGCAGCACCACCAATATGTTTCTTACTTCATTTAGTCCCTGGGGACCTCTCCCTAGATATTTGTCATTGCACAAAGTTCATCGGCTGCTTTCTGGCAGGCAAAAGGCATTCACAAGTAATGTACCAGATAAAAAAAAAGGGCATGTATAAGCTAAAAACATGTCTATGGGCAAAAGGTGAGACCAGATAAAAGCCCGTAGATCAGAGGGAAAAGCTTGTGCCACAATGTTCCCCTTGAGATCAGAACAGAGGTGAAGAGACAAGAAAAATTGCCTCTGCCTCATACACCCCATTTGGTTTTAACAAAATTAGGAGACAAACTGCAACAAGCTTTTCACGAATTGGCAGCTCTCAAACAATAAACTATGGTTTCTCTTATTTTGCCCTCTATCTCCTCCCAAGTGGTGACCATGGCTTTGAGGCTAGGGTGGACTGAGTGGCAAGCAGCTGCAACTGGAAAGTCATCCTCTCTCTAGGAGTTGTGTGGCTGTTACAGAATCGGCCAATCCCTTTCCCAGCACCGGACAAGGGCACTACATCCCATTGGGGATCTCCAGCTTTCCCACAAGATCGGGCCCTGCCAGCAGGGGCCTGTGCTGGAGGTGATGCTGGTACTGATACTGGTACTGCTGCTGCTGGAATGGAGAGTACTGGTGATACTGCTGTGGCTGGTACAGTGGGTATGGCTGGTAGTGTTGCTGATGCAATGACTGGGTGAAGTGGGGCATGTGCGGCTGGAACAATGTTTGCTGAGGTTGAGGAGGCTGAGCTGCGAAGGCCGTTGTCTTCAGTGGCTGGAAGCCCAAGGGGTCTGGCTGCTGGAGAGGATAGTGCATCGAGGATGTGTATGAATGCTGCTGTAGGTCTTGTTGAAGACTCAAGCTTTTCGGTGTCTGCAGTTGATGTAGCTCTGGCTGCGGACTGTCCAGAAGCTGCTGCTGAGGTTGCTGAAGGGAAGGGCTCTGTTGCTGATGTGGTTGTTGATGATGAAGCTCCTGGTACTGATGGTTGCTGATGGCATGATGATGATGACCAAAGTGCTCAGGCTGAGAGAAATCTTGGCCGGTGTGGAACTGGAAGTGTTCCTTGCGGAACTCAAGCTGAGGCTGATGTAGACCAGGGTGGTGCATGTGTAATGGGTTGCTGAAGTCATGCAGTGGCTGCTTGAGGCCTTGCTGCACATCTTGCTGTGGTCCAAGGCGATTCACAGCTGGATCTGGTTCAGATGGGCTGCACTGGTCGTCCACAGACATCGACTTGTGCCCTGCTTGCTGATGCTTGTGGATACTGTGTACAGATGAGTGCTGAAGAGCCTGCTGCTGTTGAGGCTGCTTGACAAAACTCTCTTGGGAACACCTGAGCATGTCCTCCTTGTTTGCCTGCAGTGTATGGCTCAATGGAAGCTGGTAGAACGGCTGTAGATGAGGTGGCAAAGGCTGTTGAAACTGGGGATGCTTGGCCAACTCTAACTGGTGATGCTGTGGTACCTGGGGCTGGAACGACATGGGCTTGTGCACCTCCAATGGTTGCTGATGCTGCTCTCTTACTGACTGATGATGCTGAGCAGGCTGCATCACTTGCTGCTGTGGAAGTTGTTGCTGCATAGCCTGCTGCTGTGCAGCCTGTTGTTTTGCAGCCTGTTGTTTTGCAGCCTGTTGCTGTGTAGCCTGTTGCTGTGTAGCCTGTTGTTTTGCAGCCTGTTGCTGTACAGCCTGTTGCTGTGCAGCCTGTTGCTGAGCAGCCTGTTGCTGAGCAGCCTGTTGCTGCACTGCCTGTTGCTGTGCTGCCTGTTGCTGTGCTGCCTGTTGCTGCGCAGCCAGTTGATGTGTAGCATGTTGCTGTGTAGCCTGTTGCACTGTTTGGTGCTCCATTGCCGGTTGCTGTGTTGCATGGTGCTGCATTCCGTGCTGTTGAACTGCCTTTTGCTGAGCTGACTGTTGCTGAGCATGAAGCCCTGCATGTTGGTGTACTGAATGTTGGTGGGCTGCATGCTGATGCACTTCATGTCGATGAGCTGCATGCTGATGTGCTTCATGTTGATGAGTTGCATGCTGATGTGCTTCATGTTGATGAATTTCATGTTGGTGCACTTCGTGGTGATGCACCGCATGCTGATGCACCATGTGTTGGTGTGCTGCATGCTGATGTGCTGTATGATGGTGCATTACATGCTGATGTGCAGTGTGTTGTTGCACTGCCTGCTGCTTCACTCCCTTTTGTGAAGCCTGTTGCTGCATTGCTTTTTGCTGCTGCACTGCCTGCTGTTCTACTGGCTGCTGCTGTGCTGTCTGCTGCTGAAATGAAGGAGTATCTTGTTGCACCTGCATAGGTTCCTGCTTCTGCATAACCATCTGTGCTCCCAAGAACCTTTTGCAATCCTGCTGCATTGGCTGCGCTGACTCTGACACGGTATGCTGCCCAGGTGCTGTCATCGAGGGCTCTACCTTATTCTGGGGCACAAGTGAAATTTTGCATCGAGATTTAGCTTCACTCTCAACTTTGTGCTTCTCAGAAGCCTTGATCACACGCTTAGACTGTACTGTTCTTTGCGGAATCGTCGTCTGCTGATTGAATGTTGGCACTGAGGTCTCAGAACCAGTCCCACTCTCTGCCTTGGTCTCCAGACGTTGTTTGGTTTCTTCCACAGAAGGCCCTACCTCTGACTTTGTCTGAGGAGTGGCCAAAAGTGCCGGTGTCAACGCCACTTCCGACTTCCCCACCACCCTAGTGTGCACTGTCCTCACTGGCGCCCGCACCGTCACGATGGTCTGCCTAGGCCTGGCCTGAAGACCCTTCCTGTCCTGAGCAGAATGCACCACTTCCACTTTGCACCGCGGCAGCCTGCCGTGGTTCTCGAGCTTCTCCCGCAACGGCGTTTCCTCTTTCTTGATGCACACAATGGCATTGTGCATCATGGTGGTTGCCTTGCTTGCTTCTGGCACATCCACTCCGGGTTCTGTCTTGATCTGGAGGGCAGTCTTAAAAAAAAAAGAGAGACAGCAGTGCAAAGTTACGAAGGTAAAGACGTAAGCTTGCATGAGTGCTCATTTGCCACTTTGTGGATAAAAAGAAAAAGGACAAATGGAATTGCGGAGGAGAGAGCGAGCAAAGGAGGTGAAAAAAAAAGAAGAAAATTTTCCTAAACTCAAAACTGAAAACTTCAAAGCAGTTAATTAAAATACCTATTTTTGGCGGCTAAATGAAACTCGAAGCAGAAGGCTACGGGCGGGCAATGTACTGATATGCAGCCAGTGTTGTACGGAATGGCGTTCCAAGGAACAGCATTCCTGGAACGAGTTTCGTTTAGGAGGAACGAAACAACGCCCCCGTTCCATTTTGCATCGGTGTAACTGGAACTTGTTAATTTTTACTGAAACGGAAAAAGGAACGGCGTTCCTTTTTTTGTCCAGTGGGGAAATTTTAAATTTATTTCTATGAGGGAAATTCTCAAATGTATAAAAACAATATCATTACAAAGAGCAAGGTCTCATTAACTTTTTTTGTTACTGAGGGTTTAGTTTGTGGGGTACTCGCTTGGTAACAGTTACGTGCAGGAAAGCTAACGGGTGCCGATACATTTTTTTCAGTGCCCAAGACTGCGGTACAAAAAACAAAAACTTATAGTCGAAGGAAAAGACACAGAAAGAGGGACGTCTCAAACTCAGCTACCTTCTTTACTTCCACAAATCCTCATACACCCAGAAATCCAAGGCCGACTACAGTTATCACTGAACTTTCACAAAGAGGCCTACAGTTACAACGGAAGAGCAGGTTACCAGACAACGAACGCAACCTTGTATTCCGAACGTCGGTCACTTAAAATATACACAAAAAATTAACCTTCATTCCTTATCCCCTTGTCCCCCATCTTAAAACTGAACAACAAATCCAACTTTCACGAAGGACTGGCAGTTTTGAAGACGGCCTTCCAAAAGCCCTGCCCTATTCTTCACTTGCTCGTCTTGCAGACATAAATAGTGAGAAGCAAGTGTTTTTAAGTTCGGACAAAGGATTTTGTTAGATTGAAACATGTCAGGTTGTTGTAAAACACTTGCGCAATGATTGGGTAACAGTACATATGGCTCGTCTGAAACGCTCACCACAAAAATGAATCGCTCACCCAAAGCTGAGATTTTTAAAGGTGATCTCAACAAATGAAACCTTGGTCGCACTTGTTGTCTTCTCCTGGTGTCATTCCATTACGGCATTCAAATTTGTATGTTGCCATTTTATGATAGATAAAAACTAGGGGTGTGCGAATACTCGAATTCGAATCGAATAGAAAGTTCCCGAATAATTCGATTCGCGAATCGAATTCCTAGTATTCGGTTACTCGAATATTCGATAGATATATTCGGCCAAAGACGCGCGGTGGGCGCGGAGCAAACAAAAAAGCAGTTTTTTCTCCCGATGTAAGCGCCGTGATGTTAGACAGACCATGCGAGAAAAACCTCTTGGTCCTACCATTCCACAACATTAAAGACTCCTACTTAGCAGTCATGCTACACTGACTAAATTGATGCCCCCACAGTGGAAACAGGAGTTGCCACATATCAAGACAGAACAGATGTTAGGCAAGCAGCCAGGATTTTGTTTCGGGCCGGGGGGGGGCACCCATGACAAAATGCTGTATGAGGGGGAGGGGGGGGAGAGGAGGTCCCAGCAAAATGGAACATTTCGGGGGGGGGGGGGAAGGAGGCCCAGTCCCCAGCCCCCCCCCCCCTCCCCCCCCCCCCCCCTGGCTACGTGCCTGACACATGTGCATCCAAATTGAGTCATATTTAATTTTTCATTGATTAAATATAAAACCTCTTTGAAGGGCCTATATCTATTCCCACTAAAAACATCCAAGGCCCAAGCATAGGCCCCAAAGCAGAGGAACAATGTGTTAGCCCAAGAAAACTTTCAGGGCTTCTTTGCACAGCATAAGTGACCTGCACATCACAAAACACTGGAACGTCCCTGCAATGAAGCGCACATGCGAGAGTTTCAGTCCATACGTTACCTGAATCAATGGTTGTTTGCCCGCACCCTTTCTTACTTCGTTTCGACCCCATTAGAAAAACATTATTTTGGTTGTTTTGGTGCACCCTTTAGAGCAGTGGTCTCAAACTCATCTCAGGAATTGGGCCACATAGACAAAATTTAAGGTGAGACACTGGTTCTAAAATCTACTATCTTATTTTTGCAGCTATTTAATAAAAATTACTGTGCATATCTGTTTCTTCTTCCACCTTTCAAATATGAAATCAGTTTTCCAATATCTCAATCAGTTTTCAAGTTATAAAAAACAGCGTTGCCTACTTGGTCATTTCTTACAGATCGTTAATGCCATTTCCAACAAAAAATTGTTTTTTTTATTGATGTAGATGCATAGCTAAAGGTCTGCCATGCATTATAAAGCTATGCATATTTTCAGAAAATTACATTATTCTATGCAAATTGGCTAATTATGACAATTATGACACTAATGAGGTCACATTATTTATCATAAAACTTTTTTTGTCACTCTAAACTGTAAAAAATAGCTTTACTCCGTAGTCCAATCCTTTCTGAATAAAACGGTATCAAAATTTTCAAAATGCTACAATAAAAACCTCATGAAAACCCCCGTAAGGCTGAGCATGTTGACAAAAAACACGAAGATGAGAAAATCAAAGTTAAAGTTTTGACATTGAACATAAAACATTGTGTGAAGAATGATAAATAATAATTGCCATCAAGGTGTAGTGTAAGTCTTCCTGAACAACTTGACATAAAAAATTATCTAATCTGTTCATGGGAACATCAGAAAAGAAAAAATGAAAGAAGTAAGGAATGAGTGAAATGTCGATAAATCACATTTTCCTGTTTTGACACTGACTACAGTAAATTATGTGAAAACCTTGCTCACTTTTCCTGCGTCTACTTCATGCAAAATATCCACCTTCTTTGAGCGTTTTGGCACAATACTTTTCTCGGGCCAGCGTATCCAATGACGACATTGTGGTCTCAAAGCGCGTAGCCCGGTCCTACGGCCAACACCACCAGACAAGTCACAAGCACAAATGGAACGGCGATCGCGCAACGGCTCAAACCCAGTAGGCCCGGCTCAACGAAGCACGGAAGCAGAACCGCAGAATTGGTATTGCGGAGAAGACAGAGATGCGGGAGGCTTGAAAAAGCTCGAAAGAAACCACTCCACGTGCCCCTATTGGTCTCTCAAACGCCCCTTGACGTTGTTTCCAATACAGTTAAACCTGGATATAACGAAATTGATAAAAGTTCGCAAATAATTCGTTATATGGAGGATTACGTTACATGCAGTTTTCGCGGAAAAACTCGTAAAGGACACGTGGAAAGAAAGCGAAAATTAAAAATCCACGTGGGCAAACTCACCACATCATTTATTTAGTGGAAAAGAAGTCTGCAAGCTTGCGTTGTGCCTTTCTCTCGAGCAAAGGCAGCACGCAGCGCTAAAAGGACACCAAAGCGTTTAGAGCACTGTCGTCGGAGCCGGACATACATCGATGGCATCCAAGACCTCCCTCGTGGTAGACATCAAAGGCTGCTCGCCTTTGGTGGCAATTGGACAAGAATATATCTACATTTTAGGTACAGTCACCGACCGATTATTCGACTTCGCAGGGACCGAAAAAACGTCCGAAAAATAGAGCAGTCCGAAAAATGAGCAGATTGAAAAAGACTTCCCTTTATTACTTCCAAGCTGGCTCAAAAAAACTGTAAATAGCGCCCTGTTCAGGTTACGCCTCCGTTTCTGTTCGGCAACTTTCTGTTAGCTTGAGAATTGATGCCTTCTTTTCTAGCGTTATGGTCGAGTACTTTCTGCGCTTCTTAATGACACATCGCAGCGGCAGAAGAACAGATAGGGCCATGACGTCCAAGCCAGCGTTGTGCAAACGAGATAAGAGGCGCAAAGCCACGAGCGCAAAATGGCGACTGGTGACGCGAAGGAACGAAAAACAAAGCAAAATGATAATGACGACGATCATGACGTGCAGCTAAATGGGAAAAAAAGGGCTAGCATAGCGTCACCTAGCGGTAGGACTCAGGAAAGCCCAAGTAGCGCTGCCAAACCAAGCCAATCCATTGGCAGCCAACAGAATTCAAAATGGCCGCTTCTCGACGGTGTTTTCCGCTGATCGCTCGCGACGATTTTGTCTGAATAATCAAACTTTCGGACTTCAAGCTGCCCGAAACATTGGTCGTGAATGTACACTATTTCAATGGAGTAAGTCACGGTTCCGCCTTTAGGTCCGAAATATCAAACAAGCTCAAATTATCAGTCAAAAAAAAAAAAAAAAAAAAATGGAGATTACGGCGGAGCGAGTTTGTTAAATCAAGGTTATCCAGTGTGAGCGCTTCGTTAGATGGAGTTCAAAATACAAGCGCTTCTATGAAAATCGCGTCGGGGAATTGAAAAAGTTCGTTAAATAGAGGATTTCGTTGTATACAGGTTCGTTACATCCAGGTTTAACTGTATCTGTGTGTGCATTTCTATTGGTCCACAGAGGATACCGGCGAAGCCCTTGCGTTTCCTGCAACGCGCCTGCCGTGTTTAGCAACGCGGCTCTCACAGCACCACTTGGCACTTGACTGGGAAAGCTTCACGCGTGGAGGCGCACGGATTTGAATTATCGGCACCGGAAACGATTCGAGCGTGAATTATGAGGTTGTTTTACAAATGTACTTCTACGCAGTGTGATCGGACCATTGCAACTGGTTCGAATTATCCAAAAGAGTGAATTAATGAGTTGCGAATCAACTAGCTTTCACTGTACTTGTGCAAGCTGTCACGTGCAGACAAAATCTTTTCCTTGTTTTTCACATAGTCGGATAACGTCTGCCTGGGCAGCTGAAATTCTTTCGCCACGTCGGCTTGTATCTGTCCGTTATCTAGGAGCTTTAGAATCGCCGCTTTCTTCTCAAGTGTCATTGTAAAATGCTTGCATCAATTCTTCGGGGCACCTGGCGGAGGTGCAAGAGGTGGGGCCATGAGGTCGAAAGCATGTATCGACGCAGCTTAAAACGACGAAACCGCAAGATGTAGCTGCGAAGACATTGCACACTTTACAAATGGCAACTGGCTTTCGTTGAAGATGGGACGACCAAACAAAAAAACCAAGACCATAATAATAATAAAAATAAGAAGCAAAAAAAAAAATCATATTACAAGACATTTAGCGGCTGGTTCGGCAGCACTAAAATAGTGCTCTGTCAAAGCTATCCAAATTCACCTAAAACATCAAGTCAAGCCCATGGTCAAGCCAACAAAAAATCCAAGATGGCAGCCTCTTGGCGACCGCCACTCGTATTTAGTCGGAAAAATTGAGCTTTCGGGCTGCAAACTGTCCGAAAAACTGGTTGTTAATCTGTACTATTTCAATTAGATAACTCACAGTTCCCAGCCAATGTCCGGAATAACGAGCAAATCCAAATTCGCGACGTCCGAAAAATTTGTCGGCGACTGTATTTCTGAAATACTACCGCGATACATTACTGCCCAACCCTGTGTGGGCTTATCCGAAAGGGGGGGGACCATTCACTGTCTATCAATAAAGAGTTCAATACGTATGTGCAGCAACAACTGTAGCTATACTGTCATACTTTCATAACATATTTTTTTATCTTTTCCGCTGGAGAAATAACACGGACAAGCTGGGGTCACAATTAGCCTCGGTAACTTGCGTTGTACATGTTTCCCTTCATGAGTAAGTAAATGCAGCTAGTTGTTACTCCATCGAAAAGCAACGAAAATATGTTACTCGTTCCTCCTTTTAGAAAGTAACTACCATAAAATACAGAGCGTTCGCGCATTCCACAATAAGCGCCCACTCCACTATATTGTAATATTTGGAAAACATGCAAAGGACATATCTCTACACGTTGTTGACCCAAGTAGCACCCATACTCCGTTTTCCATGATTATCTCCAAGTTTGGAGTGGGCACTTGCTCAGGATTTTACGGCAAGTCGTTACTTCCTTACCTAAAAAAGTAACCAAGTACAAGTAAACGCATTACTTGTGACATGTTACATATAAGTCTGCTCACAAGTTATGCCTCTGGTAATGCCGTGGTCATTGAACAGGGGTCTCCACAAAGCCTTCAAGCTTCAGCAAAGCAAGGCACTAAAATTTCTCTTTTTGTCACACACAGAACAAATATCATACCTTTTGTGCAATGTCTCTTTTTCTGAGTACGACAATAAAACAAGCTGATTTCACACCAGCAATCAGTTGCATTCATTTAGACTGTTCAGAACCCCCATCACCTCCAATAGCTTACGAGAGGTCCCTGAAACATTGATGACTCTGAACCACTGGGGTAACCTGACGTATGGGGCTTCACAACTGGACAAACCTTCAGTAGTCCACTTTTGATTTGTACACCGCAAAACAAAGCCCCCAAAGTTTTCTCAGGCAGGCCCAGTACACCTGTGTCTGCCTGCTCGGCCGGTCAGAAGGAGGCGCTCTTCAGCATACCTTGAGGGCAGAGCATGGCCTCTGCACCAGCACCACTTTCTTCCCTCCTGCCAGCAGCTGAGAACGCTGCACCACCATGGGACGGTGCTGGAGCGCCACTGGCTGCATGCCCACGTGGTTGATCTTCAACGTGGGCTCTATCTTCTGCAAGGGCACGCACCATTTTTACCTCGAGTGACAAGAACAAACGTTGCTTTTCAAACTTCCTGAACCGATTTGTAGTCTCTTTGTATGCAAGTGGACATGATTAATATCATTATTTTTTTTTTGTCTACACTGCCAGCATTTTTATATAAATGCCAAGACAGAAAGTGCATACAACAAAAATGACAAAGAAATATTTCAGTAGCGTGTCATTAAAAATGGTAAGTGATTCTGAATTGAGAACACTTTTAGGGAAATTATTCCATTATCCAATTGTGTTAGAGAAGAAGGACGATTTAAATAATGTGGGTCTACACAATGGTTCGATGATTGTTAGTTTGTGCTTATTTCTTGGAGACCTAGCTTCATTAATTGCTGGATAAATGTCCAGGCACAGTCGCAAATTACCACAAACAATGTTATAAAGAAACTTAAGCCGATCTATTTGTCGTCGTGTCGCTAAATCACACACTCCTGACATAAAACTGTAGCGATTGTACGCAATCCGTCATGCCTTTTTTCGCACAGCCTCAATCACATCTGAAAACAACTTGGTGTGGGGATCCTCTATAACAGGGGTGGCCAAGCTGACCTGGCCTAAGAGCTGCAAACAAAACAACGGAACTTGAAAGAGGCGGGGGGAGGGGGGGCAAACTTTTGTCTAGAGAAATGAACGAAACTCGAACTAGTTTTAATCTATCCCAGTCAAAAGCAGTCCAACTGTTCGTAAGGTAGCAGTAGCACAAGACTACCAAACCGCAACCTTTCTTTCGATTTAAAACGCATTCCATTTCTCTTTTTGGGGAAGTGTTCATGTGGCCGGGAGGAAGGCGGGGGAGGTGGGGGGGTGGGTGGAAGGGGTAGGGGAGGGAGCAGCGAGTCACACTTTAGCACGCGAAGAGCCGCAGCTTGGCCACCCCTGCTTTATAACATCAGCATATTCTAACATAGTTCGAATTATAGATCTACAAGCCAACAACTTTGTCTCAATTGTACAGTGACAAAAGTTGTTTTGAAAACCCCAGTATCTGCACAGCTTTCTGGGCAATGCAGTTTACATGACGAGGTTAGGTCAGAAGTAACTAAAACGCCAAGATATTGAAACTAATTAACTGACACAAGTGGTTTGGCATTAATGGAGTATGTGAAAGACAATAGTGAACATCTTCGCATCACAGACATTTGAATGCATTTGCAATTCAATACCCTTTTCCATTTTAAACACCATGAATGACTTGAAGCAAGACAGTGATTCAGCTCGAACAGATCTGACAGTGTGTTTACACTAAAAAATAAGACAAAATCGCCAACAAAAAAGTGACTTTGTGCGGAGGGATTTTCTATCTTGAAATCACTGATGGAGGAATTTTCTATCTTCAAATCACTGATGAAGATTAAAAACAAGAGCGGTAATAGACTCGGATAGAAACCCAGCTATGAAATGAGGCAAAGATACTATTTTCTTGCATGCGCTCGTCCTTGTGTTGCCACGTTTGATATCAAAGTGCAGTAGAACGTCAATGATTCGGCATCAGTTTATTTAGAATTCCAGATACTTTGAAGAATTTTTATTGTCCCGTAATTTCTCATGAAAGCATGACTGTACAATACAAGCACCCCAAGCATGCACCTACCACAGCGAACCTGTGCGCAAAATTATCCCATGCACACTGATGGCGAGTCTGTCGGAATGAGCTTCTTAAACCACTTCAATGTCAAAGAAAGTCTTCAAATGTGCTATGCCGACATTGAAAGTGAAATAACTAACTGAAAGCGTTGCAGCAAAGGCAGATAAGGAGGATGAGCCGCTTCGGGAACCCGATCTACGACAAGTTATTCGGTCGCTGAACGTCCCCCAGAGCTTCATGAAGTGCAACGGTGAAGATTCGAGATGCTACATTCTGTTGGTGTCCTCAAAAACGTGGTGTTGGATGTCACTGACTCAGACATGTACAAATTACTCAAAAAAGGTAGTTAAGTTAAGTTACTGAGTATCGACGCCAAAAGTAATTCCAGTAGAGTAGAAATTACGCATTAGTAATAGTAATTGAGTAAACTACTCTAAAAAGTAGCGAGTTACTTTCAAGTTACTTTCGAAGTTACTTTGTTATATTTTTGTGGTAGCAAAATGAACAGCAGTTTTGATCAATGAAAAACCCTGCGAGCCTAAAATAAATGCAGTCTATTTATAGCTTGCGTTTTCGCCAAAATAGTTTATTCTCTCGCAGAAGCAATTGACTTTCAAAGTTCTTAATAGGAGAGTTTTCCCCTTTTCCTTTTAAGGACGTCCCCAGCCAAGCTAAACAGACTTTCCACCGTGGCACTGAATGGAACGGCAGCGTTGAATTTGAGAAACAGGCTGTGGAGGGTCGACTAAGCGAGTGTCGGCATCTTAAAGGGACACTGACAGGGTATTTATGCTCGCCGAGGTTTTTAGTTGTACGTGATATATGAGAGCTCAACTACCCAGAACAGAATTTGCGGCTCGAAATTCGGTTTCTTTCAGCCCGAAAACCGGCGATCAAGAACTGGCCGGTTCGAGTCTCGCTCACTCTCTTCTTCGCGGTCATGGGCCGTTTTCTAAGGTATCGATGCGACCACCAAATTTAATCAAAGTCGTGGGTCACTGAAGGCACACACTGAATATTAAAAATAGAAAAAAATATGAAACCCATTTTTTGTGGCTTCTAAAAAGCTGTAAATACGTTGTTTGAAAAAAAAAGTTCCACAGACAACCGGAAGCATTCTGTGCGTTCGTCGTTTCGCGTATCGTGGGACTCGCAGGGACGGCGATGGTAGCGAACGATGGGCGTGGGACCTCTATTTCAGAACTGTCGTTCGCGGTACCGGCGAATTCTGTCTACCGTTAAAAGAGAAATTTGGGACTGGTCAGAAGAATTGGTATTCATCCCGTACGACACGCCCGGCCACCAAGCCGATTTGCACGAAGACGTCGCCGAGCCGTCGCTCCCTTCTCGCGGCTGAAGACATCGCTCGCGCAAACGTCAAGCACGACGTGTCTACTTCGAGTTGAATATGCATGCGTACGATTTCTTTACTAGGTGCGAATGTCCCCAAAGCGTGGTGCTTCCCGACTTCTACCCGGGAGTGTTTTTGCTAGAGAAAAATCGACAGCAAACTTTCCAACTTACAGTTTACCGGCTGAATTATTACTAAGGAAAGAGATCCACCAAAACATTGATGCCCCATTAGCTCAGTGGCAAAGACGTCCGGTTCACACGCGGTAGGACCGGGTTCAATCCCCCGTGAATTTTTTTTTTTCAAACATTTCCCGATGTTTACATATCTTTTTCTTTTTTTTTTGCAATCATCACTGAAGAAACAAACAAATGTTGTGGACGATACTTCGCTGAATTAAATGGTATGGGATTTCCGTTTTGACACCTGCGAACTCAATGTAATCACTTTCCACAAAATGCAAGGAGCATATAAATCAGGTAGCGTCCGCTTTCCGAGGTGCCCGTATATGTTCTACAGGAATTGCAGCCAGCCATTGGTCCCGATCCCGTTGATCTTTCGGAAACTCTGTCGCACAATGCCACTTTTTTTCGGATGCAGGACACGTGAGCCAGCTCTTCACGCAACATCTTGGGTGTATTCTTTTCGAAGCCGATCATGGAAATTCACCACGGGCACTCACTACTCATCTCCAACTCCTCAATGTACAAAATAACTCATCTTGGAGTACAGAACAATGAACGGAACAAACATAACTGCAAAAGAATAGCACGGCGAGCAGTTCCCGCACGCCGCATGTCGTGTCGTCTGCTACGGAGAGGAGAAAAAAAAAAAAAAAACGCACGGTCGGGTGTAGCCACGTGACTTCCGCCACTCACTCTCTTCTCTCCACTTCTCAGACCTCCGTCGGGTTTCGGTTTCGGTTTCGAGCAGTTGCGTCTTTTGGCTTTATTAAAAAAATACGCTACTCTGTTGCAAAATATTACTTGGGTAGTCCTCCGACACCATAATAAAGCGCCTGGCAAAAAATGAAAAAAAATTTTTGAGGGGTGTCAGTGTCCCTTTAAGTGTCTATGACGAAACATGTGAGGTTTGCCTCGGGTAGAGGGTCTTTTATAAGAAAATCTCCTACTTTTTTCTTCGTCAAGTTGAGACTGTTATGACTGGCCCCTCTTTATTCTGACGTCGTTCTGAGAGTATGCTGAGCGAGTGCACCAGACCGTCAAGGGTTCAAGTCTCGCGCCACGACGATGAGATCATCCGGACGACTGCGTGTCCCGTTGTAGTGCTAGTGCTATGCTACTGAAAAAAGAAATGTTTTGGTCTAACAGAAGATGAACCGAAGTATACTTCGCCGTTGACGCCGGGTCCAACAAAAGGATCTCCCAAGGGTAACTCGCAATCCTCGCCGGCGACTACAATATTCTGACGCGCCTGACACGCCTGACAAGTAAATCGTTTTTAACAAAGAGGAGGTCTCCCTGGCGTCTATGGTCGGAAGGGCACAAAGGATTACGTGCACAAGCATCGTCGCTCGTTGCAGCTGGAAGCGGGAACGTGCTTCAATGAACGGATTATCCGTGCCAGGGTTTGTGCGCGGGGTGTCCGGCTTTGCAAAGGCGTATGCGCTGACGACAAGGCGACCATGGGAACAGGCGCCCAGCTGCGAGGTCATTCCAGTGGCGCCTCCCGTGGAACCTACCGCTTGAGTCAGAACTCTCTAAAGACAGAAAACAACTCTCGGAGTGTCCCCGTCTTTCACGGTTGCAGCTGGAAACGCGGCGCCTGCGTGCATTACCGGATTAGGTTAATACCCGACCAAGGCTTGTTAAGCATCTCTTCCTGCATTCGTGCGTGCCGGTGTTATGTTTTGGCTGCTCGTCGCCACCTTGACCCAAGGACGCCTTCCCGAACAAGGGGGCCCCTTGTTAGGGAATACCTCTCATCTGCCGGCGTCTTATTAATTTCTGCGGTCAAACTTTCGTGATGGGCAAAATTAGCACTATATAATTTCGAAAAAAGTTAGTAATTTGAGTAGAAGTTACCTGAAAAAAGTAGTTAAATTAAACTACTAATTACCCAAATCAAGTTGTAATTGAAAGTTACCAAGTTACTCAAAAAAGTAGTTGAACTACGTCCAAGTCTGCGACTGACTACAGAACCAACAACCCCCATTGATGATTACTTTGTGTGATTGTACATAGTTTTTCAGAAAATGTGCTGTTCAAGCTTACACAACGAGGCTTTGCACACAATTGTATGCGCAGTGCACAATGTATGTAATTTTTTTTATTGAAATATTTTCCGCTGTTTAACCAACTTCGAATTAGCGAGGTACTACACCAAACTTTTGTAACTAAAGTTGCTTCTGACATGCACCCTGTCATTCTTATTAGGAGAAGTGTGATATCCCGTTATTAACTTCCGAACATAATTTACAAGGCGGAAAAGCACGGCTTGAACCCGTGTCTGAAAAAAAAACAAAGAAGTATGGTGGCATGTACACATTAAACATTCTATAAAGCGAACCCCATAAAGCAGTGCTGTCTGACCCAGAATTGCAGTTTGCCGCTCACAAAGAGGCACAGACAAAATGGAGCATACAGAACCCAACAAAAAGAAACTTCCATTATGAAAGAAACCAAGGCTCACCACTCGCTTGATGTTGCGCTGAAGCACGGAGTTTGCGGCCACAGCAGCTGCAAGAGATTAACAGGTGAGCGAACAGGAAGCCAAGTTTACTCATGGCAAACTTTTATACAGCATGGATACGGCACATTGCTGTCTCCTTCCAAGAACAGCACGAATACACTTTTAAGCAGCCATAATATGGGTAGTCGGCAAGTCTCAAATGAAAAGGACGGAGCAGTTCACCAATATGCGTTGATATATACCGTGGCTGCACAATACACAATTTGCGGGATAAGATGTGCACACATAAGCAAAAGACTTTAGACAGTTTTCGGCACACCTAAGATGCTTTCCAACTTCAGGGGTGCATAACAAAACAAGAGCAAGCCAGAGCAAGCTTACTGTAGCCAGGAAAACTTAATTAAAAAGCAGCATTCCTTCTTCACAATGAGTACTTGTTGCATACGCCAGTGCCCACCCCCCACAAGGATGCTTGACACTTGGTGCAGTGGCGCATTCTGCGATGTTATCCAGTTCAATGGTGGCCGAAACAACGAATGGGAGAATTTTACGCAGCAGATAATGAGGAACTATTGATGTACTAAGGTTCAGGTGGATTGCAGCAAGCTACACACTTAATCTGGATAAAGTTGAAGTTACATATCTTTAGAGGCAATGGTGCATTTGCGAGGCATATAGGAGATCTGGTCATTAGTGATCTCGGGGTGAAGTAGCTTATTGTGTGCCACAAACAACAAACTTGATGGTGCCGAACTGACATTGTAGTAGCTTGCTATTGGCACGCGCAAAGCACACAGCAATGGCGGACATTAAGTACAACCATGACCTCCTATATCGAGGGAATGCCCATGCCTCGTGTGCCGAATCCAGTCGAAAAACTGAGAGCAAGAGAACACAGTAAAAAGAAGGTACGAGGTCAGTAGTGCTCTCAGAAATCCGCAGTTACCTTTCTGAAACTGTCCTCCTTTCTTGTTTGATTTTTTTCCCCCAGAAACTGTTATTTTGTCATCCCTCCCCTTCTGTGATGTACCCTCCTTTTCCATCGGAGCACCCTACTACTTGCTCCTGCTTACACTAGGAGCCGTAGAGAGGAACTATAGAGGAAGTCTCTTTTTTTTTTTTTCATTCTTTGTTGTTTTTTTCTCAAAATGCAAAAAGCGAGGTAGTTCTTTGTACAGCTGCTAGGACTCTTGAGTAGCACTGCCTTCAAAACAATCCCCGCATGCCTCCTGCTCTTCCTCCCACTTTTCCCGTGACGTAGTGCATTGGTCAAAATCTGGGTTGCAACTGCAGAGAAAAATGAATAAAGAAATGAGCGTGGGAAGGACACCCACTCTGTTTTCCCGCTGGAGTGCCTCCCAGTGGCCGCTTCCCGATGTTCATGGCTAGCTGCAGCAACTGCAAGGGCAGAAGATCGGCTGTCAACGCACCTTCAGGTCCCTGTAGCGGTGTACGGAGGCTGCACGGCCAAGCTAAGCCCAAGGATGGGTGCTTTGAGTCCACGACTTTTGATCCTACTCCGATGCTCTGAGTGTAGAGCAGCACAACACTGAAACTATCGAAGACCACTTCAGACTGTTTGACTTTAATAAGAGCACAGAATGCCGTGGATATAGGTGGCTGAAGGTGAAATTATTCAGAAAATAAAAATAATTGTTGCAGCCCATACCTGTGTGGCACAGAGAGAAGTATGAAAGTTGGTCGCACTATGCAGAACCTCTGAATGATTTCCAATTCTTAGAATGTTTAGGGACTTGCTTCGAGCACAGGAGCAGAAAATTCTTGCAACAAATCAATTTACTGCCAATGTATCCTGCCTAGATTTACAAACAAAAAAAAAAAAAAAAAAAAGAAAAAGACAGCATTTATGGATTGGTTTGTCTTGTCAAGAAACTGTCGAACTTGACAGGGATGTCCATAATCTGTCTCGCAGAGCAAGCGCAAGACCAGTTGATATGTCATTGGCACACCACCATTCAATAGATAACAAAACAATTAGCATATGGATAAGATACAAAAACTAGCTTTTTTCAGAATGCTAAATGACGTTTCACTTTTCCAATCAAATCGTCTTCACTCACTCGGCTAAGCATTCTTCAACTGAAAAAAGGTAGCAATCAGACCGTCCCCTTGTCTCAGTAACTCCTGTCAGCACAGTCCTCTTGACTGGGTAAGTGACATTGCAAAGAAGCAAACCGCAGAACCAGATCAAGTCCTTTACTAGTGTTACTCTCAATATATTAGTGAGATGGTCAAACATAATAGACTAAAACCCAGAGTCTAGGGAGAACGAGGGAACCTTCTGCGTCGTGCTGTAGCTCATTCTCCCTGGTCTCATGGTCTATTGTGATCGACCATCACTGGCTCGCCTGCACCTTAACATTCTGAGTTGGTCATTTGTTCCCCAGTTTCACTGAACTAAATGAAATAGACCTTCGTAAAAATTTTGTGCCATCTAGCAGAGGCATTTCACAACTATGTGCAATTCTGCGGTATTGGTGCGTTTTCCCCCATTGCAATGATACTTATGATCAAAGGCAGAAGAGTTCTGTGTTTTTGGTATGCAGCACCGATAAACCTTAAAAAGAAGCCCCCAAGCCGGTGTGATCAAAAGTAAGAAAAAATGAAGAAACCTGGGCAGTTTGATACTTTAGACCCATGGTACAGATAAAAAAAAGAAACGGCGCGGGATGACCAGAAAAACATGCCTTTCATGTAAGGCTCATCAAATTATGAGGTGCTGGAGAAAACCAGCCTTCTGCATTAAATCCTTGTTTCAAACTATTTTTGTTTGCGTTCCGCCCATTCAGAGACCGTCTGCTTTCATCCCCATCACCATGGCAACGAAAACCGAATGACTTTTTCAGACGACGCGGCGATAGTCAGCGGCTGCTCATTACAAAACTATGAAACTTTGGCGAGCACACAGCGTTTGGAAAATTGGCATTTGTTGCCATGTTGATAGCGATGAAAGCAGACGGTCTTTATGTTGCGCAAGAACACTATGGTGCAGCGATACAAGGTGCACGCTGAGGCCCTTCCCACATGCTTTTCAATGGGCGGAACGCAAACAAAAAGAGTTAGAAATAAGGACTTAACGCAGAAGGCTGGTTTCCTCCAGCGCCTCATAATTTAAGAAACCTTACCCAAAAAGCATGTTTTTAGACTGGAACTTGGAGATTGTATTTTTTTACAACACAAGTCTAAAGTACCACCGTGTCGAAACCCGAATTTACAATGTCCTCGAAGAAGAATGAGCCAAGCTGCCCGGAAACCAATTTTCATCCTTACTTTGTGTTCACCTAGAACACAGCCCCTCTGAACTGTCACTGAGACTGCCTATTTTCAGGAACCATATCAATGTTTCCTAACGTTATAGGCGCCAGGATGTTCTCCAAGTATTTGGGTCACATGCATGTCCCCTGGAGGTTGGGAAATCCTATGTCACATTTTCTTTCATGTAAACCCTAACAAAATTTTTTGTTCAATACTAAAACGCACTAACAATGGTGTAATAAAATGAACGAACACAAATGCCCTCTAATAAAATTAACTGCCAGGTTAGTTGGTTACACATAATGAAGCACAGTGCAATCCACTTACAACAATAATGAGAAAACCTGAAAATTCAATCGTTATAACCGATTATCGTTGTATCTGGACCAGGAACTGAGCATTTCTAGTCTAGAAACTAATAATTACAAGCGGTACAACGTTATAAGTGGATTGCACTGTACACACAGCGCAGAACGTCAAGAACTAGTAGAAGGAGAAGACAGGACACGGGCTGCACTTCCCCTGTCTTTTGCTTCCACTAGTCGTTGTCCCTTCCGAGCTGCGTGTATTTCACCGCGTACAAGAAATAGGGGATAGCCGTAAATTGCAAAAGGGCAAGCACATCACCATTACAAGAGTCACAAAGGTCTACTGATATGTGTTTTACAGCAGTGAGAGAGAGGGGAGCAGACCTCGGCTGGAAGGGACCATGCCTTGGCGTCCACATTGGAGCCGTCTTGCTTGAACACGGTGGGCACGCCCTCTGGGAAGGACAACACACGGGAGCAGCTGTAGCCCACGAGAAAACTATAAGCCAAAAGCAAACGTCTCACTAGGGTTAATTATGACTACAGTCCCAATGATTCTGGCAGTTTAGGTGTTCTTTATCAGCTCATTATTCACCTCTTTCTGAATACTTTATTGAACGAGTGGTTGCACTTGAAAGGTAATGCAGAGGGTTGTTTAAGCTTGACCGGGACTTTTGTCCGTAGGAAATCACTGAACAAGTGTAGCATGATGAAACTTGCAGAGGACATTAAGGTAATCCTTTTTTAAAATCTCGAACCTAGAATGATCTATCAGTCGTATGTGCTGCAGTTCAAGCTACTATAATGGCGAGCAATATGTGCGTAGCAGCGGCGCAAAACTAAATTCTCGGTGAAGAAAAAGCTAAATAAGCCACAATTTTGTGGAGATTGTGAGCACAGTATGGGGGAACGTACGAAGTCACAGACAAGAGTGTACAAATTGTTTCAATACTTTCACGCAATTTGGATGAGAGTGGATGAGCGACATACTCGTTTCGGGTGCTTAGTCATTATCTCGGTGACATCGGCAGCGCAACGTCAGCTCATCCAGCAACGGCACACTGCCGAGTTAATGATGAAATGCGGGAAATGTCTACATCACACTTCTATGAAGTTGCAGAATCGGACAGCAAAAATGCAAAAACTGATTGATGGATAGCTCAAAGTTTGTTAGCATTTCAAAAAGTGGTTCATTGGTTTAGCCTCTAATAGTCACTTCCATCAATGCTGCAATTGCAACATAGCAATCCACACACACACAGAAAAAGTTCATAAACAGAATTTAGTTTATTAGCAAACTGGCCGTGATGGCTATCCCCTCATCTAATGTACCCCAAGCCCGATAAATGAATGGTAAAGACAGTCCCATGTATCTCCCCCCCACTTTTAAAACAACTTGACTGATTTAAAAAGTCTCAGCGAGTGCTCAGTAATAGGTGTTGATTTATACTTAAAGGGCAACTCCGCTTAATTTTAAAAATTTTGAGATAGTGGCCGATTTTGCTTTTTGAAGCACTCAAAAACAATCCCCAATCCTTTGTTTCGCGAAAAATAAAATATTTTTCGTGTAATTTTACTCTAGCCATGATTACAAACCGAAACCGAAACGGTGGCAAAGCCGGACAACATTGTATATTCGGCATCACTAAGCATGTACACCCACGTGATATACAAGGGGAAGAAGGAACTCCCCTCTTATCAGGATCCTCCTTTGTGCCTCCTGGATTAGCACAGGCGTCGCTATTCTCCTCCCAGAAGATTATAAAAGATTACACTGTCACTCAAAATTCTTACAAAAGCAGATTCCCTCTCCTCCTTTTACTTGGTGTTCAAAAGTATGCGATGTAACACAAGCCGCGCTCAACGAGGCGATCGGCTTATCAGTAGTATCAATAGTCGAGCGCCGGGCCGGCCGAGCGCGTCACTCACGTCTCTCACGGCGCTGGCGCCACCCGTGCTCTCCCCCCCCCCCCAAAAAAAAATTGAAAAAAAAAAGAAAAAAAAAGAAAAGAAAAAAAAGAAGCTGTACATGCTTGATGACGTCGCGGACGTGCCGGGAGAAGGAATTTGGAGGAAGCGGAAATGCAGCCGGGCAGTGTTGTCTGGCCCGCACGTCTCATCCAAACCAGCGGATTCGTGCTTGTCAAACTTTGACAGCGATTTTAATGAACTTCTAGGTGGAATTCCGTCGTAATATTTGCCATGGGGGTTTTGTAGATGATAACAAAGAGAACTGTATAGTTTTGCGCTACTGAAAAAGAAGCGGAGTTGCCCTTTAAGTCTAGCCCTACTCAAGTAAATATCGCACTGGTGGAACGATTTCATCTTCGACACTGTACGGTCGCCGACAAACTACGCTTAAAGGTTCGCTGTAAAGGTCACACACTTGCATCTGCTTATGACTGTGCTTTAAAATCTCTCCTCTTATGACGAGAAAACAGACCCGCACCACCTAGCCGTGGAACCCTTTCAGTTTTTATATATTTTCTACTTCTTAGCCCATATCACTCTTTCTTGACCCAAAAAGCTTTTGGTAATAATGTCATAAACTATTTCTCGAAGATGATACATACATTTGATCTCGCCAATACCGCTGAACCTTCACTGTAGTACAATGCAGTTCCAGTGTCACCTTGTAGGTAAATGGCAGCATGTTTTCCCGTTGCAAGAGATTGCAAGAGCTCGGTCCTAAGCAAATGCAAGTGTGTGAACAGGCCTCGAGGGTCCCCCTTCCCCGGAGGGTCGGCACTCACCCCTGACGGGGTGCCCCAGCGCCTGGATGCGGGCCACCTGCTGGATGAAGCTGTACACGTCGTCCGGGATGTTCTTGCCCAGCAGCTGCAACTCCTCCTTGGAAGGCTGCCGCTTGACCAGGGCGGGCAGGGCCGGCCGCACAATGATCTTGGCCTGGGTGCCATGCGTCACCGTGCCCACCACTGTGCCGGGCGCCACCGTGCCCACGTGGCTCGACAGGGTGTACTGAGGCACCCGAGTGCCGTCCTTGAAGGACACCCGGATGTTCTGCCGCATTTCCTTGGCCTTCATGAAGGCCTCCAGACAGGGCACCGAGCACAGAATGCCCTTGTGCTTCTGGGCGTTGCCCGCCTTCACCGGCTGCGCACGGGAAAGGAGTGACACTTTTGTGGGCCACGTGCCAAGCGTCGGCCGAATCCGCACCGCCTTCGGCAGTAATAATATGGTGCCTAAAATGTGTCTCCGACTGGGGTGTGTAGCGTAGAGGTCTGCAAGGGTACGGGCTAGCTTGATGGCCGGGCTTGACAGCTAGAATTCGTGAAGGGCCTTCCATACGAGTCTACAAGGCAAGCCGAGCCAAGCCGCCCATAACTTTTTTTTTTTAGCAGCAATGTTTTTGGAAGTTTGTTTGGGGCTTGGGGGAGGGATTACAGTGGGGGAGACTCAAATGCAGAAAGCATGTCTGTGCATGTTTGTATGGTTTGGTGTTTGTGCACCTAATGCTCTTCCAGAGCACCAGTGGCACAGCATTCATTTCCGTCGTCGGCCGAGCCGCCGTCGATCAGTCACTTCTTTCTATCAACACGCACACATATGCACCTACACAATGCGCACCCTCGAAGGAGTAAACCATCTGTGCATATGAGTGCGTGCATCCACAGTATGGGTGAGAAGGTTTCCCTCAAAGGTGCTTTTTCTAAACTATTCTTCACAGAAACCAGTAAGAGACGGCGGAATTTTTTCACATATACATCATATTGGTTGTACACAGCGAGTAGCCAATGTAAAACTTTGCCGGTCTTTTGCCCGAACTAGTTGCAACTAGAGTCACAAAATAAGCTACGCTTTCAGAGTACCGCATTCCTTTTCTTTGGCACTTTGCCGACAATACAGTCGCTCTATTCAACGATATTCTGGTTCGCTGCGGCATCACTGGACAGCGGCAGTCACGTGAGTCGCTATCATCATCATTGCGTTTTCTCAATGCCACCATCTTGGGTCCAGCGGTCCTCTGTCTGCTTCTGTTTACTTTTTACTGCGCGCGCACGCTGAAGTGTGTCGCTCAGTATGCGTGTTTTCCGTGTAATATCGAGGTACGAACAACACGACCTTGATTCGCTCCCGCAGCTGCGGCTGCGACAGCTGGCGCCGGCGACGGTTAGAGCTCGGATTAGCTCGGCTAAGGTCACTCCTCCATCTGCGCGCAGACCCAAGATGCCAGCACCTGACACACTTCAGACACATAGTTTGGGAGCTTCGGTACTCTGAAAGCATAGCTTTATTTAGTGACTCTAGTTACGACCTCTCCCTTCCTTTTCAATTTCGGGACATGGTTTTGTTTATTGTTGCTTGCCATTTTTATTTTTCCGTCTTATCAGATACCCGGGTTTGGGTCGGAGAAAAGACGATGGGGTGATTTTTTTTAACGAGCTGCCTAGGTCCGCGATTGGTCAAATGAATAATAGCAAAAAAAAAAAGGGTGTTTACTGCATTGATTAGTCGGTACCATAGTCAACATGTTATAGCAGTGACAAGAAAGCTGCCATGACACACAATTGTGGGCTATTCATACTGGGTGAAAACAGCGCAGGCCTCAGCAGGCCCGTGAAAATTATTGTCGAGCCGGTTGTTGAAAATAATAGCAAGTCGCGGGTCCCGAGAAACAGCAGACTGGGAAGCAAAATATCGGCCCGTGCAGACCTTTAGCATTCTACGCCACCTACACATCAAAAGTGCTTCCCGAAGTGGCAACAAACGCTGTCGCATAAGCCGGAGCACCATGCCATTGCATGTTGCAATCCTGGCGATTGATCGTAGAAACGCCGGTGAAAACCAGGACCAATTGCAAGCATCGCTGTTGTCGCGGCATCCTAACTTCCGACTACCAAAGCTTACGTGGACTTTCAATCTGAAGCATCAACATGACACTTCGGTGATGTCGTCAGGCAGAAATCGAGGGACCACATTTTGGGACGCAGTAAATTCACCAGTAGGAGTTCCAGGCACCATAGTAATACGGAGTGCCGAAGCAGTGACAGAATGCCTCCCAAAATTGAACTTCTGGGTTTGTAGACTTCCCAAGGCCTTACCGCGTGAAAGTTGAAGGAACATTATTGTGACAAGATTGTTCCAGCCATCTATGACTCGACATGGGAGAATGTTGCAGAGACAGCCGGAAAACAGCGTTTTGAGCGAGACTCCCCAATATGTCCGGAAAGATTTGAACAGCTTGAACCACCCATCATCACAGTAAAGATTCACCCCCATGCTAACAGGAAGAAATTACCGGCATTTGATTTGTGAAGTGCTGATAGCAATTTTGTTAGGTTTAAAAGGGCAATGCAACAATTTTTGTACTTTCAGTAAATACTGCTTAGTATTATTTCTTCACATTCATAAGCTACGAAACACACATTTGTTTCTATTCTCAATGCAATGACAACCGAAAAAAAAAAAAATTAAAGGAAACAAGCAGCATTTTTTTTCTCAACTCCCAACTACAACAAGCTGCCATGTGACATGAAGCCAATTATGTGCCGCCAATGTTTATTGTAGCCACGAGCTAAAGTTGGCAAAGCACAGGGCATGCGCTGAGTTCTAGACATTGTTAAGGTTCGGTTATTTTCGTTAACGCGGCCTTTCTGAGCAAGCCACTAAACGAATGCACGCCAGGGCATTAAATGTCACAAACCCAAATGGAATGTTCATGCAGTGCTCGTACCCACTGTATGAGCTGCATTTAAACATTGTTCCCACGGGGATAGCGAGACTTGGCGACGAAATCCCAGGGATCGCATTGTCGAAAATGCCAACAATGCGATCCCCAGAACTTCGTCACCCAGTTTTAAGAAAAATTCAGTCTTTCCACTCTGGTGAAAAAGGAAGAGCAGCGGAGCTGTAGCTTCTGTTCTTGGCGGTGGCTTTACAGGCGAGCGATATGCTCTTCTTTCTCAAGAGAATCTGAAGCGCTCGACGCAGTGTAACTTCAGGCGATAGCGGCCTTGCGGCGGTTACTAAACAATTCGCATTGCTGCGCACTTCGCTGCTCCTCTTGTTACCACTCTTCTCCCGAAGAAATGTTCCCACAGTCTATGAGCGACTGCGGCAAGCGGACAACCGGCAAACACTACACTCTGAACAGCTACCGCCATATATGAGCGACGGTAGCACCCAGAGTATTGTGTCGATATTTCTTTGCGAGGGACACGATCATGGGGAAACTAGCCCTTAACAGCTCCGCAGTAAAAACGTTCGGTTTTGTCTTTTAAATTTTGCTGCGACAAGGAAGCTTCCCGGTCAGTGGCGTTGCGTGCGAGTATACTTGGGTCCCACTATAGTCCGTTGCAACTCAAGAAGGTAGGGTGAGGGTAAGACAGGCCGGGGAGGAGGAAGCAGACGGAACGCTGGAGACGGGAGGGGGAGCGTTCCGTCTGCTTCCTCCTCCCCGGCCTGTCTTACCCTCGCCCTACCTTCTTGAGTTGCAACGGACTATAGTGCCAGTAAGCTTGTCTAAAGTGAGGAACAGTCCTACCCAAAATCGTTGCACATCCCCTTGAAAGCAAAGAAAGCTGGGTTTTCCCAATGCACAAATCAATGATTATGTTGTTTCTCTGGCCAGGCCGAGTGGACTTCCCCCGAGCTTCGCAAGCATCAAGCGTCACTCAGTGATGGGGAGAAGGCGTGGAAGGGAGAGGTGCCACCCACCGTCAGGCACTGGGCACACAGCTTGAAAGGCACGGGCCCCCCGGCGGAGGGCGTGGCAGCAGGCTCATCCGCCCCGGTGCCCCCTGGGTCCTCCCCCTTGTCCGCGTGGTTGAGCGCTTTGGAAGGGGCAATGGGCTCCAGCACGGGCCGGTCAGGCCCCTCCTTGGCCCCGCCCCCTTCCTTAGTCCCGCCTCCGTCGTTGGCCCCGCCCACTTCCTTGGGCCCCTCCGGGAGGAGGGGTTTCACGGGCTGGCTGCAGAAGTTCTCCAGGGACAGGTAGCCGCGCCGCGCCAGTTGGTAGAAGCGCCCCTTTTCCGGCAGCACCTGGCAGACAGGATTGCCGGCTCAACTTTGGCGGAAGTAGACACTAAGCCGACATTGTTTTCATGAAAGTAGTTAGCAAGGAAGGTTTGTTTTGTGCTAACTATTTTTGTGATGTGTAACCAACTAGGCCATCAACTCATATTCACATTTTTTTTGTCTGACTGCTTTTTTTCTTTCAGGGGCATTTTAACCGTGATTTCTTTAAGTAGTGGGTGTTTGTGCAACCAAGATCTAGCTTGATCTACACCGTCCACTCGGGGTTAGCTATCTTGAGTGTACCCTCAGTGGCACTGAGGCTGAATGCAATGTTTCCACAGTTTGAGCATAAAACAATACAATTCCCCCATTGCACTGGGCTTGCCCGCTGATAACGCACAATCTTAAAAAAAGAAATCTTTGTGTAGTCTGGTCCTGTACATAATCCACATAAGTTAAAAAAGAAACTAGCAACTTGTAGACATGTATAGTTGCGGGACTATTGTTCGGAAACTACGCTAGCAGTAGCTGTAACTAAAAGTATGTTCAGAAGTATGTATAGCGTAATATCCAGAGATGCCCCATGCCCGAAAGATAACCTGCCCCCTATTTATGGCACGATTTGCTATTCTTTCAAAAACACCAAATGAAAGCCCACCTCTAGTAACTGCAGGGCTTTAGCCAATGGTGACCTCAACAGAATTGGCGTCACTGAGCCACAGCGGAAGATAGGCGAACGTTGCTAACTGGGAAAAACATCTTCCTACCCTACATTGCCCCTCAATGTGAAAACAAGCTGGGCAGGTCACAAAAAAATGACCGCATCTCTACGTGGTGAATGATGTTGATTGGGGCGAAGCTCTGATGGTGCTGAAGATACTGATTTTATTGCTCATCGGTAGTGCTGAGTTCCGGGTTGCGTTTCGACTTCATTATTACTGCTTTATGGTCGGTGAAATGCAGAGCCAGAGGTTCTTCTAGCGGATCAGCTTGGAACCGCTAGAAGCCGTGGGAATGCATCTCCACCGCTTAAGTCAACGTTCCATGTCAGAAAGAGAATGCGTGGTATGGAACGTGGTTATATATGCATTTGACCGCAGCGCCCTCTCGTCTATAAACGCTGAGCCAATGCATGCAAAGTTTAACGCGATTAGATATGCATTTGACCGCAGCGGCTACATGCAAAATTTCATCCATGTCATCCCCAGCTCTTGAGTTACTACCACATCTCAGAGCCCCCTACTCGTCCCGCAGTCGTGGCCGAGTGGTTAAAGGCCGACTTACGAAACCATTTTCCGCAGGGTAGGAAAGTGCTCCCCAACGACCTTCGCTCCTTCCCCTCTCGCACTCCTTCCTCCTCCTCCCCTGAAAAGGGGGTCCGGAAGCTAGTCTCCGTGGAAAGGAGAAGGGGTTTCCTCCTTTCTGGGTGGCAAGGAGGAAACCTCTTCTACCGCGAAAAATGGTTTTGTAGGTTGGCCTTTAAGGCGATGGACTAGAAATCCATTGGGGTCTCCCCGCACAGGTTCGAATCCTGTGGGCTGCACAAACATTTTTTTTTCTTCTTTTTTTAAGAAGACAGATGGGATGGCAATCGATGTGAGCATGGACGTTGGACGGACAAGGCTAGACCCTAAGGAGCTTAGCCCCTAAAAATATAAAGCTAGCATTTATTTTTCATTTTCTCAATTGCACATAGAAAGCTGGTTCACTCCTCATTTTCACCCAATTTGCTCTCGCTTTTAGGTGGGCTATCTCTTGGGATATTACGGTAATTTTAAGGGGACTTAGAAACAAGTTAAATGGTGGCTATGCATAACATGTTGCTCAGTCCGAGGTTTTTGTTACTATGTAGACTCACTTCCACCTTGGTTTGAGCGACTCGGGCCCAACTGGGTTATAAGAGCAGCAGCCGCCCTCACCTGGGTGCAGAAGTTTGGGTAGACGCGGCTGAGGCCAGCGTCCTTGGAGATGTCGTACATCATGAGGGCCAGCATGGTGTTGTTCAAGGGGAACATGTGGAACCAGAAGCGGCTCGCCTTGGTGATGCCATCGTGGGGCCGCTGGAACAGCGACGGGCACGACACGTTCAGCTTGGTCAGGTACAGCTGGAACGTCTTCACGGGGCACAGAGGGTTCTCCGGGTCGTCGAACACCGGGGCACCTCGCGACTGCCCGTCCACCTTCTGCGAGCAACGACAGGGTGCCAGTCAGGTTGAGTCTTCGCGACACTCAGTCTCTTCAACAAGAAACCTAGACCGCGACTGGTGTGTTTAGCGTCCTCTTCAGCCCAGGCATGCGAAGTGGTGTGGCAACAAAATGATCTTATGAAAGTCGGAGTGTCACGCAATGGGGTGTCGTGATCCTGACGGTTGGGCATAGAAGTTCCGACAAAAAGTATGAGTGACCACGAGTGACTTAATAACTCCTGGCTGCCAAAGCTTCTGTGGACAGTCAAGTTGGAGGGCGACCTGCAGCAGAACAGGCGTCTGCACACATCCACTACCACTGCTACGCTATCAGGGTCGCAACCGTGGACGATACCTTTATGAGGTCATCAGGTGGAAATCGAGAGACCACCTTTTACGACGAGGTAAACACTTCAGTCGGAGAAGCGCGTTTTGGGCGCCATATCAAGACTGTCAAGACTCTTGTGTATTTGTGTAGGAAACTCCGGGAAGGGGGGGGGGGGGGCTCAGCTTGGGTGTGTGTTAGAGAGGTATCTATAAATTATTGATTGGGATGCCTCCATTGTTCGTAGGCCAGCTACACTGTGCATGACGCCGCTCCTGGCGGCTTTTGGTGGTCACCGTCACAAATATGAAGCCAAGACTCCTCCAGATGTCACGAGCCTCGAGCCATCGTCCATACATGATCTTTACCAAGGCTGGGCAGAAATAGTAAAAAAAAGTATTGTGTAATACAAATACTAAGATACATGTATTTTAAGGCCAAATTACAGATACTGAGGTAAACTTGTCTTTGATGTAATGGGATATTCTTAAGATACTTAATAGTATCCCGGAATACAGATAGTACATACAGAAATACATTTTTGCCAAGCTGTGGTAGGTGTAGAGTTTGTAGTGACAGCAAATGGTAGTGCTCATGTTTTGGCAGCTGTTGGCGACATTTTAAACTTCCATTTCAGGTCTTCCCAATGTAGAGAGTTAAGTAGCGGGTTCATAATATTAAACTTGGAAGTCCTCGTACCGAAAAGGCGGTTTCACTTTATCGTAAAAAGCGAACAGTTAATTTACTGCAACACACATAACAAGATGCCAATGTCTGGCAGAGTATTGCAATACAAGTGATATGTTGTAAATGTACTTCACCAACAAGACACAAATGCATTCTTTAAACATATCTTGATACAGAAGAGCAGATACCCAAAAATATCCTTAAGATACTATTGGGGTACTGCCCAGTTCTGATCTGTACCACACTAATCCCATCGTCATCTTCATTAGAAGCAGTGCTGCACGCCTTATGGTATGGGCTACCAGCCTTTCTGTGGTATTATGGCGTCGAGTAGCCAAATAATTATTACTATTATTATACTACAGTTTCCCTATATAAAAAAAAAAAAAAGCTAAGATGATAAAACTATAGAGCCTGTTATCTCTCAATAACAGAAAATATTTTCGCAAGGTGTACAGCCGCCAGTGGTTGTAACTCATATTAATATCTCCAGCAGCACTATCACCGTCGAATGAGTTAACACCTCAAGCACAGCCTGAGGTTGTGGTGAATGACCGCTAATTAAAACACGGGGATTCACTACACAGAAAGAAATCAGGTTGTACCGAGTCAAGAACCTTTCACTGATGTCTAGGTGTTTGAGATGTCAGCGATTTTCGACCTTGTAGTTGCCGTCTCTCTCCCGAACCTCGGACATTCATTATGAGCCTACAGTTCGCTCGCCCGCCTTATAGTTACTTTAGCTTGAACAAAGTTGTGTTCTAATTTCTAAACTAAATCCGGTTCGTAAGTGGCCGAACAATCTTCACATCGGACTGCGCACGCGAGCACATCAAATTAAGAGAAGGGGCAGGGGAAAAAAAAAAATATACACGGTGCATGATCAGAAGCGAAGACAACGATGCCTGGTATCCGAACTGTCAACAAGCGTGCTGCGACGATCGCGCAAGCGGCCAAGACAAAGGAGAGTATATATTTTCCCGCCCCCGAGAGCGTGGCTGTCACAGCACGGCGGCACGGCTCGCGCCGTGTGTTTCGAACCGTCGAAATCAAGCAGGGATGGGGCGTCGCAGAGCCCGAACGGAGTTAAAGAACGCACGAGCGGCCAGCGAGGCGCGCCAACTGTCAAACGCGCGGGAGCAAGCGGCATGAGGCGGCATCGCACAGAGCACGCACTCACCCATTGAAGCCGCCGCCTGCCGTCACTCTGCGACTTGAGGATGACGAAGGAGTCCTTGCGCATCGAGTGCTGGTTCTCGATTCCCTCAGACCCCAGGTGGATCATAAGGTCGAACCAGACCTTTTGCTGGAGGCCCCTCGGCGTGTTGATCACTTTCCAGAAGTACTGGCCGATCTTGGTCAGGTCCTCGGCGCCGATGATCACGGCGTCGGCGGACTGACCGTTGCTCGCCACCGGGCACAGTTTTACCACGGCCGGCGGCCGCGGTAAGGCGGCCTTGCCGTAAGCCGTCGCCAGGAAGCCGTTGACGTCGCTGAACGCCGGGTCGCGGGCCAGGTCGAAGTCGGCGCCGAACACGGTGCGGAGGTAATTGTTCAGGCCGATCTGGAAGCGACGCAGAGCGCGCGCGCCGTACAACGTGCCTTGCCTGGAGCGCGTCTGTTCTAGGAACTCGGCGGCGAGTGCGGCCAGCAGGGGCTTGTCAAGCTCGCGCAGGCTGGGCGACGCGGGGCTCTTCTTGGCGCAGAAGTCCCTGAAGCCGACCAGGCCGTAGGCCCTCAGTCGCTGCTCGTCGTCGCCGCCGTTGGTCGGCGCCTGGGCGGCCCCCGTGCTCGCCACGGTTTCCATGGTTGCTGGGGGCGCTGGGCCGCGCGGGGCATGGGCAACGCGCTTACGGGCAGGGTCCCGCAATCGGCTGCATTGGGGCCGATCGTGGAAAATTGACACAACGCTTTGTCTAACACTGACAACATCGGGTGCGGGTGAAAAGAAGCGACCGAGGAGAGCCCCTGTCACGTGACCGACGATCCCGCCATCTGTTGATGGCTACCTCGAAAGTGTGTCTGCCTCCTTCTCGCTTCTGTCGATCGACTCCTCTCGCTCTCGGGTCGCGTGCACTCCTGCCTACTGCAAAAAAACAAAAACAAAAAAAAAACAATTTGAATTGGACGGTAGGACACGCTACCTGGATGGATGGATGGATGAATGAATACGGCTGAGCCCTTTGGATCGGGCGGTAGCTTACGCCACCTAGCCATTTTGTTTTACCATTTAAGCTTAGAATATTTAAATGTGAAATCTATATTCACTCCGCAGTGCAAAGAAAGTGAGGCTATGAAACCCCCTTGCCATCAGTGATTAAGAAAATACCTAGTTTTCTCTCGATTTCTGCCACCATTCACTTAATCTTTGCTTGGTAATCTCTACAGTCTTGAAATCCACTCTCCCTTCGCTGTCTCTAAAACCCAATGACTTTATTAAATCTATGTTGTCTTCGGTAGGCATAGGTTGAAGCCCTTTACAGTAGAGTATCAAGTGCTCAGCCGTCTCGTCCTCCTCTCCACAAGCAGTGCACACTGTATCAATTTCCTGGTACTTCACTCTGTATGTTCTGGTTCGCAGAACACCCGTTCTTGCCTCAAACAGCAATGAGCTTCCCCTAGAAGCTCATTGCAAAAAGTAACCTTGCCGATAAAAGCACCACTCCAAACGGACGGGAGATGAACCTGCGAGTTTTCTATTTTTATTCACTCCGCGTTACTAATTGTTACTTTTTTGTATGTCGTGTTTATCAAAGTTGATATTGTCCCGCAAAGAAAGGAAGAAAGATATGGGACATATGCATGGACATACGGCCATGCATACGGCTCGTCCTGTGATAGGATTTAGCCAACAATATCCAATTCAATCCGCTTTGTTACGCCGGCTGCGCCGGCGGCCCGGCGGTGCAGACGCACAGACAGCTCGAAGGCGAGCAGTGGTCTGTATTCGTTTGCGTGGTTGCTTTGACACTTTTGGCGTCCGCGGTATTTCTCAGCTACCTACACGGTGGAAATTCAGCACCGATGCGCTGACAGCCTTGCACTGTAATTGACTTTGCGGTGAGACGAGCGGCGTTTCGTGTAGTGCGTCGAGGCTGCTGCTGCGTAGATCCGAGCGGAGAGATGCCGCAGATCAGCGTGACCCCGCTCGGGGCGGGACAGGACGTGGGCCGAAGCTGCATCCTGCTCAGCATCGGCGGCAAGAACATCATGCTCGACTGTGGAATGCACATGGGCTACAACGACGAGCGCAGGTTCCCGGACTTCTCGTACGTGACGCAGGAAGGCCCCCTGAACGATCACTTGGACTGCCTCATCATCAGCCACTTTCACCTGGATCACTGCGGCGCGCTACCCTACATGACCGAGATGGTGGGCTACGCGGGCCCTGTCTACATGACGCACCCGACCAAGGCCATCTGCCCAATCCTGCTCGAGGACTTCCGCAAGATCACGGTGGACCGCAAGGGCGAGACCAACTTTTTCACCTCCCAGATGATCAAGGACTGCATGAAGAAAGTTGTGGCCGTCAACCTCCACCAGACCGTCCAGGTGGACGACGAACTGGAGATCAAGGCGTACTACGCGGGCCACGTACTGGGAGCCGCCATGTTCCACATCCGAGTCGGCTCCCAGTCCGTCGTGTACACGGGCGACTACAACATGACGCCCGACCGGCACCTCGGTGCGGCCTGGATCGACAAGTGCCGGCCGGACCTGCTCATCACCGAGTCCACCTACGCCACCACCATCCGGGACTCGAAGCGCTGCCGGGAGCGCGACTTCCTCACCAAGGTGCATGACTGCATCGACAAAGGCGGCAAGGTGCTCATTCCGGTGTTCGCCCTTGGACGGGCCCAGGAGCTCTGCATCTTGCTCGAGACCTACTGGGACCGCATGAACCTCAAAGTGCCCATCTACTTTGCGGTGGGCCTCACGGAGAAGGCCACCAACTACTACAAGATGTTCATCACGTGGACCAATCAGAAGATCAGAAAGACGTTCGTTCAGCGCAACATGTTCGACTTCAAGCACATCAAGCCCTTCGACAGGGCCTTCATAGACAACCCGGGCCCAATGGTGGTATTTGCTACCCCTGGCATGCTTCATGCGGGACTGTCACTTCAGATTTTCAAAAAGTGGGCTCCGGTGGAAGGAAACATGGTCATCATGCCTGGCTATTGCGTCGCCGGCACCGTGGGCCACAAGATCCTCAGTGGTGCACGTAAGGTGGAACTAGACAACCGCCAGGTAGTGGAGGTGAAGATGTCTGTGCAATACATGTCATTTAGTGCACACGCAGATGCCAAGGGCATCATGCAGCTCATCCACCAGTGTGAGCCCAGTAACGTGCTTCTGGTACACGGCGAAGCCAGCAAAATGGAGTTCCTGCGCAAGAAGGTGTTGCAGGAGTTCAACATTGACTGCTACATGCCAGCCAACGGAGAGACGGTCCAAATTGATACGCCAGATATCATACCCATTGATGTGTCATTGCCCTTGCTTAAGCGAGCTTTGAGTCAGGGGGGCTCAGACTCCAAGAAGCCCAAATTGATTCACGGTGCCCTCATCATGCAGGACAACACGATCAGACTCATGGATTCTGGACAGGCAATGCAGGAGCTGGGAGTTGTGGGACACCAGATACGCTTCACCACTACGGTCAGTGTGTCATCCAGGGGATCGCTGACCAAGACAGCAGACGCCATCTATGGAAACATCAAGAACAAGATTAAGGATCCGAGCATTCAGCTGCTGCCAGATGGCTCAATATCTGTGGCCTCTGCCCTCATCAAGGTTGGCGGGCAGGAAGACGAGTCGAATAAGGCCATCTGCGTGTCTTGGACTCTTCAAGATGAGGAGCTGGGTAGCTACCTTTTGGGGTTGGTTCAGGAGATGAGGCATTCCCTGTGATTGTACCTACAGTTGTGAGTGATCGAAATACAGAAGCTTGTGACCGATTCACTGCTCTCCAGCGACCATGAAAACTGGGGCCGGTGCACGCACTGGTTCCAAGAGTACAACTCATCAACATACAGATGTGCGGCCCTCGCATTTCCTGGTTAAACTTAATACAACAAAGACATCGGCCTGCAATTACAACTGCGGCTCCCTACCGGATGTTTACAGGGTCATTCACGATATGTGGTGACTGGTGGGCTCTCGCTTCTTATGCGTCACTTCATACTAAATGCCACGACCTGCATAAGTGGTGAAACGTCTATATTTTTCTTGATGTCTTCGTTGAGTTAAGTTTGAGGAAATGTTTTTAATTATGGATTCTCCCATCTTTTGGAACATTTTTGCCTCACATTTCCTCAATGACAGTTTTTTTGTGGCTGCCTATGTGCATGTGTGGTTGTAGCTGCTCCATTTGTTTGCCGTTTTTGATGGCATGTATGTGAACGAAACATGAACAAAACATGAAAGTTCATTCATATAGCTAATGTCAAATAGCACTCCAAGATGGCGCCACAGGCCCTCGCATGACTCGACCTAAACCAATTTGTGCATCCGTGCAGTTCCCGGAGTGGCCACTGCAAGCAAGGAGGTTATAAGTACTAGGAGGGGGCACGTTGCAATATTGGTGAAGCCTAGTCATAAAAAGTTTAAACGATGTTGTGGCCAACGTGACCGTAGATTTCTCTGGCAATTGGTTCGCGTGACATGTCACGTGTGGGATGGATGGTTAATTGCAGAAGGATTCCTTGCAGGCTTGCGCGCGCTTCGTCCGGTAGGTTTTATCAGATCGAAGGCTAGCTACGGTCACGTGATGTGGTCATGTTGGCCTGATAAGTGAAGAGAGTAAGAAGGAAAATGGAGAAAGAGGCTATTCGTCAAGGGAACATGGCTTGTGGAGGCTACGCGGCTGACGGGATGTCCTCTCCTACCCTTCTATCCTCCTTGACTGCAAGAGATATGGCGGCGTTGCGATCGCCATTAGTTCTTCGGTTACACCCTAGTTTGGTTCGCGAGTATGGATCACAGCCTTGATCTCTATGGATCGGAGCCACTTTTCCAAAGTAGGCTCTATGGCATCTTGTAAACCCTGAGATGGGGAACGATAAAAAAAAACGGACGAACACAACAAAGTTTCTCAACTGAGTTGTTCTACAAGTTTTCCCGCTCATTTTAATCCAAGCAACGGCCAATTTAATCCAAGTACCACGAAATTTAATCCAAGCACCGCATAATTTAATTCTTGCACTACTCAATTTAATCCCGGGGTCAGTCAATATAATCTACAATATATTTATGCACTTATTGTCTCCGGTGGTCGTGTTTTGCTTACACATTTGGTAACTTAGAATAATTGTTTATACAATTAGATTTTTAGGGGGACAACTGATCATTTGATTACTATTGTGATTACTTGAAGTTACTAGTCCCATTATTGACGAGGCTTAGTTGTTAAAGGAGCTGTGCAACGATTTTAACGTTGAAGGAATTGGCATTTTCTGCTTTTGATATTGTTCACTGTGTCACAAATGGCAGAAAACACACCTCTTTTCATCGCAATGTTGCGATTCCGCCGCGTAATAGCGAGGCAAAACTTGGAATATTTCCCGACCTGCAGCCACGAGCGGCGGCCATGAGAAACAAGCGGCGTGACGTCACTTGGGTCGTTGTAAGAAAGATAGCAAGTTGTGCGAATACCTGCTCGATAAAAGGTAACTCTTTTTACAAATCTTGTCGTTCCAACATATATATAAATGCGTCAACACCCTGGTATCATCGACAAAACTTTTATTATACGGAGTTTTAGTGGCGCCATCTATCCTAGGTCCACAAAACCGCGAACAGCCGCCAGAAGCCGGAGGGGGAGGGGGACAGCGCCACACTGGCAAGGACGGGTGGTCACGCGGTCGGCAGCGGATGAGTTCTCGCTGCTCGCTGATGGCTCTAAAGAGAGAACTTTTCCGGAACTCCGCGCCTACTCTAGTGACGTCACTGTGCACGTGACCCGGAAGACGATGCACGAGTTGAGAGGCGGCAAAAACCTGGATCTTTTTCATTTTTTTAAGTAAAAACTAGGGTATCCAGGCAAAATCTGTTTTCTGTAGTTCACTGCAGAAGTGTCAGGCATCAACTTCCACAATTATTTAAGCAAAGCCCTGAAATTGTTGCACAGCTCCTTTAAGGCCCGTTCACACTCTTGCGACCGAGTACGACTGAGAGAGACGAGATCTCTTACAACTTCTTAAATGTTTCTAGAATGAGGGAACGCACTGACATTGTGGCGCCATCTATGCGGTGACCCTAGAACTGTATTTCACAAAAGCGAAGGTTTTGCGGGATTTCCGAGGTCAAATGTGCGTAATTCCCATAGAAAGGCTCGTTTATAACATTGACAAAAGCTTCTCGAGCCAAAAAAGAAAGGATATTGCGCGAGAAATAAAAAAAAAATATGCCGGACCGCCGAGTTTACACTGCTTCCCAATAGATGGTGCCAGTGTGTTCTCTGGTTTAAGAAGTTTTAAGGAACCCAGGTTTAAGAGGTCGCAAGCAGTCGCAAGAGTGTGAACGGGCCTTTATGTTGATCCCTCTTTTTGTAATCTTGAGTTATTGTGGCGCGTTCAAATTTTTTTTGGCTGAATGGACGTTTTGTTTAACCTTTCTTAATACACGACTTAACATTGCTACAGTTCAGATGATGTACCATATTTTCCTGACTATAGTCTGCACCCGGTGTATAGTCCGCAGGGGGAAATTTGGGGTCAAAAATAGAAGATTTTGCTTAGATAGCCCGCACCCGGTGCATAGCCCGCACCGGGTGCTTAGTCGATCGAAAATCTCCTCATAGACGGCACACGTTTACGAATGTCTGCTTTTTAGCTTACAATAAAGCCTATAATGTGCATAAATTATCATTAACATACACTTTCGTGCACAAAATTCGTCACGTCTCGTCATAATAAACAATCTTGAAAAACATATTTCCTGTATAGTCCGCACAGCCAGAAATTTAAACTTTTAAACATGTATAGTCCGCAGACTATAGCCTGGAAAATACGGTAAGTAAAATTGCAATTTATGATTACTCTTTTGATTACTTTGTGTTATTATTGCTCCAATTGATCTATAATGAACTCAGTTGACATTATTCCTCTTTTAATTACTTGGAGCTACCTTTGACCCATTGGCCATAAATTCGAATTAAATATTGTTGTGATGACTCTTACATTTACCTAATCTTCAACGAATTGAAGTTTTATGTGATGATTATTGACATTATGATAACTCTTTTGATTACTTTGAGTTACTCTCAATTCAATTGACTTTCATTCGGCCTAAGTAACATTTGGTGACTGGTTTACTTTGCGTAATTATAGTTAAATTTATCGGTTATGAGCTCAACCATAAATTATTATTAGTCTTGATTACTTTGGATTACTTTCGATGCAAATGACTTTAATTCAGCCTCATTGATATTGCGATGACTGTTTTGATTTCTTGGGCTAATATTTAACAAAAGTATTTATTATTAGCTCAATTGACATCACAATTACTTGTTTGATTACTTGGAGTTACTTTACTTTAATTCGGTCTAATAGACATTTTGGCTACTCTTTTGATTACTTTGTGTTATTATACCTCCAATTGATCTATAATGAACTCAGGTGACATTATTATTACTGTTTTGACTACTTCAAGTTACTTTTAACCCAGCTAGTGGACTTGAATTCGACCGAAATGACATTGGGATGACTCTTTTGATTACTTTGAGCTTATCTTCATACAAACATATTTATTATGAGCCTAATGTATATTATGATTACTCTTCTGATTACTTTGAGTTATCCTGAGCCAATGGATTTGACCTATTTCACAATTTGGTAACTCTTCTGATTACTCTGAGGTCACATTCAACCAATTGGTCTTTTAAGAGCTCGATTCACATTTTTATTACTGTTAAGCTTAATTATTATTATTTATTACTGTCAATTAAGCTTAATTTGGTTTAATTGACATTGTAATTATGCTTGATTATTTTCTGCTAATTTCAGCCAATTGATTTATTGTGGGCTTAATTGACATGATGTTTTTTTTTATATGTTATAAACCAATGGGCTTTAAATCTGCCCAATTAACATGTTGGTGACAATTTTCAGTACTTGGAGTTATTGTGCCACCAATTTATCTATCATGAGCTCAATTTTCATTGCAATTATTCTTGATTATTTCGAGTTACTATTGACCCAACAAACATTAATTTGGCTTAATTGACAGTCTGATGACTCTTGATTACTTTGAGCTAATATCGAACCAATTGTGTTCTTATGAGCTAAATTTGCATTATGATTACCCTTTAAAATGGTTTGAGCTGGTATTGACCCAGTATTTGTATTACTTTGGGTCATTATAAAGCCAATTTAATAATTATTAGTTATATTGATCATTTGATTCCTTTTTCGATTACTTCTAGTTACTTTTGAGTTATTTTATACTTCACTTCAGTTACCCCAAACACCAGGGGGCGGCGTCAAACCAGAATTTTGTTGTCGCGATACTTCTGGTGTAAACAATCTTTGATTCCGATATTAATAGAAAAAATGTAGAGCCTTTCACTTTGCGTGAAGATGGAGGACCAGCGAAGCTATTTTAACGACGTCTAGGACGATGCCTAGAGGACAACGTCTAGGACGACCTCAAGGACGACTTCTAGGACCTCGAGGACGCTGCCTAGAGGACGGCGTTTAGGACGACCTCAGAGACGACGTCTAGGACGATCTCGAGGACAATGTCTAGGACAATTTCTTGGACGACACCTGGAGGATGACGTGTAGGACAATGTCCAGGACAACCTCAGGGACGACTTCTTGAACAACCTCAAGGATGACGTCTAAAGGACAACGTCTAGGACGACCTCAAGGACGATGTCTAAGACGATTTTGAGGACGACGTTTAGGATGACCTCGAGGATGACGTCTAGGACGACCTCAAGGTCAACCTTGAGGACGACGTTTAGAACGACCTCAAGGACAATGTTTACGATGACCTCAAGGACGACATGTAGGACGATTTCAAAGACAACCTCGAGGACGATGCCTAAATAATTTCAGGGACGACGTCTAGGACGACCTCAAGGACAATGTCCAGGACAGCCTCAAGAACGACCTCGAGGACGACGCCTAGGACGACTTCAAGGAAAAGTCTAAGACGACCTCAAGAACGATGCCTAGGACGACGTCTAAGACGACGTCTAGGACGACTTCCAGGACGACCTCCAGGATGACGTCTAGGACGACTTTTAACGGCACCTAGAGGACGTCGTCCTCTATCGTCTACCTCTAAGTGTCGTTTTCGAGGTTGTCTTAGAAGTCGTCCCTGAGATCGTCCTAGACGTCGTCCTTGAGGTCGTCCTAGACGTTGTTCTTGAGGACGTCCGAGAGGTTGTCCTTGAGGTCGTCCTAAAGTTATCCTTGAGGTCGTCCTAAACGTCGTTCTAAAGGTCGTCGTCCTTGAGGTCGTCCTCGAGGTGTGCCTAGAAGTCGTCCTAGAGGTCGTTCAAGAAGACTATAAGTGCATATTGCCGCGAATATTGTGGATTAAATTTACTGACCCCGGGATTAAATTCAGTAGGGCAAGGATTAAATTATGTGCCGCTTGGGTTAACTTTGATTAAATTGGGTGGCACTTGGATAAAATTGGCGGGAAAGGCGTTGCATAACCAACATAACCCTATGTCGCCGGCGTACCCCGTGTAAAATATCACGACTGCAATATTTTTGAATTTTGTGGTCTCATTGGTAGCGCCCTCTCGCAACCATTTGTTTTCACCAATGGTAGTCAGCCTTACGTAAATGACAGGTTCATGCGTTCGTGTCCTCGATAGCGCAACTTGTGGGTGTTTCGTAGCTTCTGTAGTGCGGCGTTTCGTTTACTTATTTCGGGCGCTTTCCTCTATTTTTCGTCATTTGTGTGTTTATTTTGCGGGGTTCGACGTCAAGATCTTATCGGCGAGCTATGAGTTTGCTGTAAGCGCTAGCGTTTCTTTCTGTTGTGTTGGTCGCGTGTGGTCGATACAGAGGAGCGACAAACGAACGACTTCGACGATGGACAAACTCAAGCGAGCTCTGAGCGGAGAGGAACGCGGGGACGAGGAACAGGGCATCGTTACGCAGGTGGGTCAGCGCCCTAACCTATCCGCCCTGCGTCGCTGCCTTCGAACGGCGGTGCGCGCTGAACCGCCGACAGCTCAAGATGGGAGTCTAGGCGCTCAGTACGGGCACACATGTTGCTCGTCTATCCCCACCCCGCGACCCGTACAGTGTGACAGCCGTAGATTGAGATCATACTACGACACACGCTTATGACGGGAGGCGATCGTTTACAAGGTTTCGAGTTTGTGACACCTGCGAAAGTATGGTCGATGCGGGGGTGTTTGTGACAATCAGTATGTGTTCCGATAACGACCTATCATTTACTGCTCTTACCCATTTGTGACGTTACACAGGCCCTAAACTTATAGGTGGGCGTATGCGCCCATCTCACTGACTTTGATTCAAATCCTCTTTCCTGGTGAGACTTTAGGGTCTGTCTATGGTAAGGATTTCTTTGGAAGACCACATTTCTTGTCACAGCCTGACCGACCGTGCTGCGAACATAATCGGATGGGGGAAGGGGCATACTTTTTATTTCTCATTACTTTTTATTTTTTTCAGATTATAGATAATTCTTCACTCAGCTGGTCAACGAGAGTAAAGGGCTTTGGAATCTGCTTCGTCCTGGGCTTTGTATTCTCACTTGTGGTGAGTACATCATAAGGATATTTTTGCAAATGTTGAACTACGAGGTTTCTTTGTAAAGATATGGGGCAGAAGAATGATGGGAGTTCAGTTAACAAAGTATGAATGACTTGGGAGTCTGTTAGACGTAAAATGACTTGAATCTCAACGAGGGAGGACATTGGTGTTATCCGCCTAACCCTGGCAACCTATTAGTGATTTGTGAATGGACAATCAACAAGCTACATCTTTTTCTCGGGGAAATAAAGTCGCCAAAAACATTATGCTAAATGGAGCATATTTTTGCTGATAGATGAATTTGTTGACATAAAGCATGGGTCTCCAAACGTTTTGGCTATGGGGCCAGATCGGGGATTCCTCACTGCCTCGAGGGCTGCAAAATAAATAAGCAAATATAAATGAGGAAGAACTAGATAAATAATCAGAAAAAGGCATATAGATACAAAATTTACAAAGAAAGTAAAAACTTAAAAACAAAAATAATTTAAAGTGTATGAATACATACGCTTTATTTTTAAAATATGTATTTAGCTAATTATAACATTACATAATAATTGCGACCCAGAAAACTCCCCAGGCATAAACCAAAATGCATGGGAACTTTGGTATGTTTGCAGAGGGCAGAAGACTAAAGAGAATAATGGAACGCTGACAATATGCAATAGATACGGCACAGGACACTAAGCATAATATACATGGGAATGCGAGGGAATTTTAACATGCGTAATTACCCAGATATGAAACGGGAGACTAAGAATAGTGACACTGGTGATGACAATGTCCAATAAATATGAGAGGGCAGGCATTACGATGGCAGTTTTTTCTCATTTTTTTCTGGTATCTTCGTTTACCCAGTTGGTGCGCATTGTGGCAACATTCTTTTTACGTGCGCCTACTTTTTGTGCCGGTAGCAGCGGGCTTGCTCGGACCGGGCTTCGTTAGAAAGACCACAGCCAGCCACAAGCCGGTCGGAAGACCTCCGCGGGCCAGGGTTTAGAGCCCCGTGGCCTAAAGCGCTCCAAACACGAGTGACTGTCACCAATCCACTGCGACCATTTGTAGGGAGTTGAGAACGATGTTACCGCCTCTGCCCACTGTCTGCGTGTGTTTTGCCACCAACCGCTTTGACTACCGCCTTAACCAAGTGGACTCACAATTTTGCCAAATGGGAGGTACTTAGCGAAGTTGGACACCACTAAAGCCACTGACTGCATAAGAAATGCAAGGCTGGGCATCTGTTCATGCTTCTTGCTTTCTGATTGGTTCTTGGGCCGGCTAATGCCGCAATCTCATTGGCTACAGAGTAATACTCAGGATTTGCCGCGCCCTAAGATTTTTAAGCTCTCGGTGACTATAGTACACAAATATGGCCGTACGTATGTTAAATGAATTTTGAGCAGTAGCCTTATAGTTTTATTGCCCAGAAACAATATTGACTCGCAAAATTTCGCTGACTTAGAAAATATTTTAAAAAGTCAGTGTCGTGGTTTTATAGCTTGTGAAAGCTGACTCGACTGACACTCGTCACTGAAGCCAGCTTGAGCGTAAAGAGTTTATTTGTCTCAAAAAACATGTTTTGCCACATTTTGAGTTGAAAGACTAGTGTTCTTAGAATGGTCTTGTAGCATGGTTGATATTTCACCCAAATATAAAGACCAAAATATTTGCTTTGGTATTCCTTTTAATCCAGCAAAATGTGAGGTTGCCTTTTGGCACAAGCACACACTCACAAACAAACACACCAGGGTTTCCCTTCGTGGGTGCCGGTCTTTGCTGAAAGCCTTCGATGGCCTCCTGGACGGAAGAAGGTCAACGAGGCTTCCTACGCCAGTGAAACTTTGGAATGAGCATCTGCTGAGGATGTTCATACTCTACTGCCGAAGCATTGCTCGAGAAAAGGTGTCCATCAGTCGTACCTCCTATGCCCACTTGGCATACATTCAAATGCTTACCAGAAGTGTTTAACTAAAGTGGAATTTGACATACTTTGCTGACAAAACAAAGTAGTAGTCACTCGCCAGTAGATTTATCACTTAATCAGTCAATCAATCAGTCATGCAAATGCATTTGTTTTGCATTGAGGCTTTTTTTCCCTGGTGCGACTCGTGTCGGAGTGCCTTGGCCACTGCGCTCCACCGTGTCCTTTTTACGATTTGACCCTGTCCTTCCCGACTTTTCCCCTCAGGGTGCAATATGCATGGCCTTCCCGGGAGGACTGAAGATGTTTGCGGTCTTCTACACGTTCGGAAATCTCACGGCCCTCTGCAGGTAAGCGGCGTGGGCCACACTCTTGAAATTAGTGCGAAAAGCGGTACAACTCCACCACACCGGTGGCAGCCTGTACTCGGGGCAAACTCTTTGTAAAGGTGTGGAGAAAAGAAGGAATATAGCTTCGATTGTATTGGTTCATAAACCTGTCTCCAGGTGTGGTGGAGAGAGAGGTATGAGGGCAAAGAAAATGGGGCTTTGGAGGAAGCAGCGCTGTACATCTGCAACACAAGCACATGCATCCGTGTCCCAACAATCTGAACGGTCCCGAGCAGTCAAAAACACTGCACGTGTTCCCTCGCAAAAGGCACGTGCATGGCAGCTAAAACCTCTGGGCATGACGCCATACCCAGCAGTCGGTTTTTCGCTTTTCCTAGAATCTATTGATACATTCGGGTCGAATGCTTGCGGTATTAATATTCACACTGCAGAAATACACTAGAATTCACCTCTAGCAATTTCTATTTTCAAGAACCTCTTCAGCTTCCTTGTAAAGTGGCACTTAAGTGATTTTTTGTAGAAGCTTGGTTTTGGTGGCATATTGTTGGGCTTTAGTTAATAAAAATGACCAGTTTTAGATGGCAAGACATCCAAGTAAACACACTGTAGTAGGAATATGTGTAAATGCGTGATACGTGGGCACTATTTTCTTTTCGGGGGGGGGGGGGGGGGGGGGGGGGAGGGAGGGAGGGAGGGAGGGAGGGAGGGAGGGAGGGAGGGAGGATGCTTTCTTGTGTCTCACCAACTTCATACAATTTGAGCAATAAAATATTTAAATGCGTGGAGATTGCTCTTTTTAGGCGCCTTGTAAATAATATTGACAAAAACGTCAAATCTTTAGGTGTAGGAGACATAATACGGCAAATATTGTTTGAAAATGCCGTCCGATGATGCCTCCTGGTGTCTACTGCGTAACATAGAAAGAGGGGTGTGTCACCATCTTTGATTAGGTCTTTAATAGGGAAATTGGCCACCCATGAGTGAAGTTTTGTCTTTTTTAGGGTGCTTAGAGCCCGTAAATTCACTTGTCACCATAAGTTTATGGTCTCAGAATTGAGTGCCCCTTTAAATCAGAATGAGAGAGCCTCAGTCATATTTGTTCCCAAGCTGTATTTTTGTGGGTTAGCAGAAATTGGGTTTAAAGACCATTGGGGAAGGAAAATGACACAAATGACCTGCCAAGAAACCTAGCATTTTTTTTTTGTCTAAATGAAAAAATTTACTGTTTGTGTCCAGATAACATGTCTGAACTTTTTATTAAATTACAGCTTTGTATTTGAAACATATAAAAGGGGGAATTTGGGGGGATACCCCCTTCATAAGTGCTCTGTGATGCTACCAGTTTCTAGTGGTCATGTACTACCTTCATGGCCAGCCTTTCACAATAATAATTAGCAAATATGCCATTGAACCTTACCATTGCCATAGTTTACGAAGGCAGGCACCTATATTGATAATTTGTGGTCAGCAAAATATTTAGATATGTAAAGCTGCATAAACCACACGCATGGAGCTGAAAACAGGAAATGAATGTTGGTTTGAAAAGGAGGGACTCTGCTTTTAATTTGTGCATAATTGTATTCTGTCACATGGCTATTTCCTGCTTTTCAGTACACTGTTCCTGATGGGCCCAATGAACCAGGTCAAGAAGATGTTTGCTCCCACCAGAGCCATTGCAACCTGCATCATGCTGGTGAGTTTGCCTTGGTGCACGGCAGTGGCCCTTCCAGCATTTCTATGGGTGCCTCTGAGCATAATGATTTCTTGGCAGTATAATTGCGCACATAGTCAGGTTGGCAGTGCAAGGTGTAACTTGCCAAGATGGAGTGGAGATCACCTCGTCAGATGGCATATTTATTGTGCACGTTTAGCCGGGCATTCTTCCGGAGTACATACCAGCTAAAGTCACCCCTCTATTCAGGGGACGTCTTTCTGGGATAGCCTAGCCAAAGCCATGGGCGCTCAAGCGCATCCACGTGTTCCAATCACCCTTCTCTTCTGGACTGCCACAAAAAGTTGTCTCCAAGTTACACAATACTTCATTGAGGAAAGTATGAATGAGCTCTGGGAAACTTAAAATTTTCAGGAAATTTAAGGCTCATACAATAGTCAAGGAATTATCGGGGAAACCATAAAAATGCTGGTCTAGTCCGGGAAAATGATGGACGAAAGTGGTGCAGGGACTTGCAGTGAAGTGTGACATGTCGCAACTAGTACAACTGTGACCCTCTAAAGGATCATCGCCTTGAGTAAAGGGTGTTGCCAAATGGCACAAACCACATACAGTTAAATGGGCTACTGCACCTTCATCGTCTGGAAAGTGTAACATTTATAAAGATCATGTGATGGGCTAGTTGGCTAAATATCAGTTGCGAGTCAGCGCCTGTCCGTGTCTATGTCTTCTACTTGTCCTCGTCTGTAGCGCTACTTTTAATTTCGTAATGGAACATTCATGCCCATCTATTGGCTATTGCTTCATCAGGCTTTTGTCACTTTTTGCCATCCAGATGTGGGACATGTTCTTGTTTTTGTGCTGAGTGTTCTGCAGCTGTATTTTTGATATGAAATCATGTGCAAGCGACAGTGTTGCTATCGAAAGAGATACCTTTTAGCTTGGACCGGACAAACTCGGGCATTTCTGAAAACGCAAGTTGGATTTGACCTGTGCAAGCCAATTCTAGTAGCACTGACTGCACAGTGTGCTGCAAGGTCTCCTAGAGTAACATGAGCAAAAGGGCAATTTGTAGTCACACTGTAAGAAGTGTAGGCTGCTGTAAATTTACTGTGAAGTTTTTTGCCATTTTTCATTACTTCAATCAACATGGCTTCACAGTAAAGGCTGGTTCACACATTTGTATCGGTTGTGTTCGCAGCAACCGAAACCACAGCAATGACAACTTTACTGCGACAAGTGTTCTCTGTACACAGCATGGCAAGCGTTGCAATAGGTAGTTCCCCAAAGCAATCATGTGTCATGGTTGTTCCAGTGTCCTGGTTGTTCCAGTGTCCTGGTCGTTCCTGCCGTTTCGGTTGTTGTGAACGCAATTGTCGCAATTGTGTGAACCTGCCTTAAAGGGGTACTCCGGTCGTTTTTTGAGCTACCTAAACAAATTGTATTTTCTGACTTCCCGGACTTCAGTCGTCATGGTATGCTATTTATTTTCTGGAAATTCAAAATAGCAATTGGGAAAACCACAAATGAGGATGATGCCGAAACCAGCATCCAAATGTTTGCGCGCTCTTCAGTGGTGTGACGTCACACATGGTACAGACTTTCAGCTCGTGCATGTAGTCTTAAACAGAGTATGTCGAGTGTTTTTTGAGTGCTTCTCAGTGAATCAGTTACCAAACATTCTTTCTCCACCATAAAACGTCTTGTAATCAGTTGGGAACATGGCTTACTGCCCACTTTGTACCATTTCTGTTGTCACACTTCAATGTTGCCAGCAGAGGTCGGCATTTTAGGTCACCCTCACTCACCCTCACCCTCACAGCCACACTCACCTAAGCCCCTCACTCACCCTCACCCTCACAGCTACACTCACCTTCAGCCCCTCACTCACCCTCGCCCTCACAGTCACACTCACCTTCAGCCCTTCACTCACCCTCACTGCACCTCACGGCCCTCACAGACTCACCGCCCTCATGCCCCTCATCGCCCTCACGGCCCTCACGCCCCTCACTCACTCATGGCCCTCACGCCACTCACCACCCTCACGCCACTCACCGCCCTCACGGCCCTCACCGCCCTCACGACCCTCACCACCCTCCCGGCCCTCACGCACTCATAGCCCTCACGCCACTCACCGCCCTCACGGCCCTCACGCACTCATAGCCCTCACGCCACTCACCGCCCTCACGCCACTCACCGCCCTCACGGCCTTCACCGCCTTCACCGCCCTCACGGCCCTCACGCACTCATAGCCTTCACGCCACTCACCGCCCTCACGGCCTTCACCGCACTCATAGCCCTCACGCCGCTCACCGCCCTCACCGCCCTCACCGCCCTCACGCCACTCACCGCCCTCACGCCACTCACCGCCCTCACGCCACTCACCGCCCTCACGCCGCTCTCCACCCTCACGGCCTTCACCGCCCTCACGGCCCTCACCGCCCTCACGCACTCATAGCCCTCACGCCACTCACCGCCCTCACGCCACTCACCGCCCTCACGCCACTCACCGCCCTCACGCCACTCACCGCCCTCACGCCGCTCTCCACCCTCACGGCCTTCACCGCCCTCACGGCCCTCACCGCCCTCACGCACTCATAGCCCTCACGCCACTCACCGCCCTCACGCCACTCACCGCCCTCACGCCACTCACCGCCCTCACGCCACTCACCGCCCTCACGCCACTCACCGCCCTCACGCCGCTCTCCACCCTCACGGCCTTCACCGCCCTCACGGCCCTCACCGCCCTCACGCACTCATAGCCCTCACGCCACTCACCGCCCTCACGCCACTCACCGCCCTCACGCCACTCACCGCCCTCACGCCACTCACCGCCCTCACGCCACTCACCGCCCTCACGCCGCTCTCCACCCTCACGGCCTTCACCGCCCTCACGGCCCTCACCGCCCTCACGCACTCATAGCCCTCACGCCACTCACCGCCCTCACGCCACTCACCGCCCTCACGCCACTGACTGCCCTCACTGCCCTTGCGGCCCTCACACCCCTCACGCCCCTCACGCACTGATGGCCCTCACGCCACTCTGGCTAGCTTCAGATGGGGCAATTTCGCCCAGAAACTTTACGTCGCAACACCAGCAACACGGGCTGCCCGCGATCACACGCAGCAACCAATCGCTGCAATTTGCCATCGTCATCATAAAATTTTTTTTTTGCACTATTTAGACACAATTGCGCATTATAAACGTGTTTTTATGCATTTCAATCTCGTTAAGAATACTAATGCACCTTTCTGAAACAGTTTATTTCCAAAAAACGATCGATTTCAAACTGGAACCAAGTCTTTCGGTGTCATCATCACCGGCACGAGGTATCACGTGAAAATTTTGCGTCCCTGATTGGATGCAGCCGCTTCAAACGTATTTGAATTGCTCCGAGTTGCTTGCTTATTTCGAGCGGGACCCGATCTCAGCAACTCGTGTCGATCTAGGGAGAGCTAGAGAACAACCCGCCATTAACACCAAAATTGCTGAGAAAGATGCTCGATCTGAAGGGGCCCTCACGCACTCACCGTTCTCACGCACTCATGGCCCTCACACACCTCATGCACTCACCGCCCTCACGGCCCTCACGCCTCCCATGCCACTGTCTGCCCTCACGCACTCATGGCCCTCACACCCCTCACGCACTCACCGCCCTCACACCACTCACGCACTCATGGCCCTCACGCCACTCACCGCCCTCACACACTCATGGCCCTCATACCCCTTACCGCCCTCACCGCCCTCACCGCCTTCACAGCCCTCACGGCCCTCACTCACCCTCATGAATTTTCCTGGTTCAGAAACTCACTCACCCTCACCTCACCTGTGAAGATGAGGGTGAGTGAGAATGAGTGAGGGCCCTCATGAGTGAGGTTTGCAGAGGTATGGTTGCCAGTAGTGGCTCACGGTTTGAGAAACACAATGAAAATGAAATTTGAAAATTCAATAACTTTGCAAATGTTTTTTCTTTTCACACAAAACTTGGGGAACTTGTAGAGCCATGTCTATCGGTGTGTTGAGCCAATTTTGAGGCAAATCAGCGACCATAAAAAAATCGCCGGAGTACCCCTTTAACACCACAAGCAGTCCTGCTACACTTCAGGTCACTGCATCCACTGCCACCTTCAGACTTGGCCACAACACCTACTGCTAACACCCATCAATGATACTCTTTGTGCTGTCAGAGATTCTCCTTGATGTTTTTTACAAGACACTCTTTATTGACGAGGAATCTCGTTTCCACAGCAGCGCTGTCGTAAGGCAACCGAAGACAACCAGTCACGATGGTTCTTTATGGTAACAAACATGACTCAAAGCACAAATTGTCCAACCTCTGTGCCTTGAAATTTACATCAGTTGTTTTAAATTGTGAATGGTCTTACATAATATACTTTGACAGCAGTTCCCGATTGCCTCCTTTTATAAAGGGCCAGGGAATTCAGTCCAAACAGTCAGTAAAAAACTGGAAAAGTCAGCAAATCTTAACATAGTAGTTTAGTAGATACTCTGGTAACTCTTTTTGTACCATGGGGAAAAGTTTCGATTTTTGAGGGATGGTCAAAACAACTTATTTTAACAAGTAGTCATCACATGGCTATTTATGACATATAAACATGCAGCCAATAAGCTGCATTTTTAATAAGTAAAAAAGGTTGACACTATTGTGTAAAACCATTTTCCGAAAATTTAAATGCCAATTTTTTTTTTTTTACTTTAAATGCTTGGAATTTGTGCAAAAATTAAGCAAAATGTTTAAACATTTGCTGCTATATCAAATCATACTATGATTAAAAAAAAAAAAAAAAGCTAAATGAGCAATGTGTTTCCATGCATACCACTATCACTTCTGTAAGTTAGAAAGCTCTAGCCGATACCGTCGTCAAATGTGCTTTCGTGGCGTCATGCCATTCAGAGACTGTTGCATGGAGGGTGCACATCCTCTATACTTGTTTCAACATCAACAAAAAGGGTACCTTTGCAGATTATCCGAGCTCTGCACGAAGTAGTTTTACAAGATTTGGTTGTCGAAGGAAGAGAGAATGCTTTTGGCGTTTGAAGCGTGTACGTCTTGATAAAATAACATAAAGCTAATCTAAGATGCACCTACATGTATCTTAATTCAACGCATGATGGGGTAAATGATAATGCTCTGCAAGGTGTCAAACCTTTTTTTTTTACTAAGTTTTTTGAGGTGGATATTAGTATAGATCACCTTGTTTCGTACGAAACCTCGTTTTGTCATAGCACTGCTCTAACTTCTGCTCTGCTGCTGTTTGTATGACTTGCGGCACATATAAAATATGTGCCCCGGCTCGGGACAGCCTAGAAGACTATAACGGCACTCTCCAACAAGCACCCGTCTATATTCTGCACCTCAGAGATGAAACGTTGTAGGAGCTCAGATCAAATGATCCAACGTCACCCACACTCGTTACTGCTGCTGTTATCCAAAATACAATTGGCAAAAGCAGTCAAATCGCCTGGTTGAGGTTGCCTTTGTAGCAGTTCCCAGTGTCAACGGGACGCCATGTTTGACTAGTGCCACCGCCATGCAGAAAAATCTTTTTGATAGCTCATCATCTTTGGGGAAGGCGGCAAATGAAATCGAAACTGACGTTGCAGTTTGTCAGTTTGTCGGGTATTCACGAGATGGCGCAACATTTCCTGCGGGCCACATTCGAGTTTTGACGGCGCGCGGAAACTATAGATAGCAGGTGATCGATAGTTGATTGAAGGCCTATGAAAATGGTACGGAAAGAGTTAAGACCAAGTTTTGGGGATCACCTTTTGCATTTGCACAAATCAAGTGTCTTGAATATGTGCTGTACATACAGCATAGTGCCCGCATGCATAGTTCAGCCACCTACAAAAAGCAACTAGGCAAATGGTGCAGGTAAGTTCAGTTGTTAAAACATTTCCGTTAGAATGTGATGGTTTGGGACAGCAGGCACTCAGGAAGCGGAGAGGCATCATGCGCTGGTAGATTAATTGTAACTCTGCTTGCAGTAAATATGGTTCACAACATTATCAAACATGCCTTGCTTACAGGCATTCCTGGTACTGACACTCATGGCAGCTTTCTGGGTGAGTCTGCTTATTCTTCTTACTTTAGTTTGCCCATTCCCCAGTTTAATCCTCATCTCAGACGGAGTTGTGACAGCCCTAATCGGCATGACCATGAGTTGCTTATTCAAACAATACTAATCCTTTTGTTTGTTGCACTTTTTTTTTTCAAATCCCTTTGGGAATGAAATTGAATGATGCACTTAACTTCTACACTGTCTAGGTGCCTAACAGCTCTGATGAGAAAGGGCTCATAATCCTAAGGGGACCCTACAGTGGTTTATGAGCTTGCCTTTTTATGATGCAAACTCAATCTTGGACATTCTGCAAAATTCAAGATTACAATTGTGGGTGGCTTTCTTCTATTAAAAGAAAAACTAAACATTGCGACACACCCTTATGGTGACACATTCTTTTTCTACTATTCAATTTTAGTAGCGGTCTGTCGCAATGTTTGGTTGCATTTTAATAGGGAAAAAGGCCTCGCAAGACTGTAATCTTGGGTTTCTTAGGATGCTTAGGGTGATCAAGTTTGATCCATAAAAAGACTCACTCTAGTGCCCTTGCAAAGTGCAGTGATTTGATTGCTGCGCCAATTGCGCCAAACTGTGCCAAGGGGCTAACCCTGCTACGTCAGATTACCCAAATTATGGGTAATCTGCACCAAGCCTGCGCCAAAGGACCAATTTTGTTTGCCTTTCGAAACCGAAACTAAACTGAGTACCAAAATTGAGCATGCGTGAGCTAGCTGGTGCAAGCGGCCGCCCGACTCAAAGTACTTTGCATCGGTGGTCCTTTCAGTCTTGCATGGTTTTTCCCATTAGTTTTTCTCGCCGTCTTTCGTTTCGCACTCTCATCGTCCCATGTCTTTTAAAAAAAAATTTTTAACGGTAGACGCGGGCATGTGTGGATGTTCAGACAGTAGAGGACCAGGTACCAGGCCAGCCATGCCGTCATACTGTGAAACGAAACCGCGCTTTTGCGCGGCGGGAGTTACTTTGTGAGCTGAAGCACTCGCTCCTGAAAGCAACGGTTGTGGGAAAACTATATTTGGTCTCTGCCTGTCAGTCACCGTGGTGGCGCAACGTCGGTTGTTGCCGTCCCCACGTCACTGCAGATGTGGCGCTTTCTAAACTGAAATGTAAGGACTGCTGCATGTTCTTCAACATTTCTGCTTTTTAAATCATACGCTACTACAAGAACCCCTCTTTAACTCAGTTTGCTGTGTCAAAGTATTGATTACATAGGTTTCTCTTGGTGGGCTTTCTTTCGAAAGGGACCCCGGTACGTGAAAAATTCCGCGAAAGAAAGTTGGTGAAGAGAAGTGAGCTAAAACGAAGAAGGCAATGTATGCACACTGAACCCGTACAGCGCGCTTGTTTGTCTCAAGTTCAGTCGTTGCACAAAGCGCTCCAAGAACTTTTTGACCCTGGCTCGCTATGTCTTGCATCAATGCGCTTGGGTTTTCTTTTTGTGTGTGTTTAGCATGTACCCTGCTTGCCTGCCTTGCAAGCACGTACCGCTGGACTCTTTTATCGTATGCTGGACAGTTACGTTGTGCATACAGTTGTGGGAACCAGTTGGCAACGGAGCGAAGTGGCATGGTTTCGGTCGAACAGCCATCTCCACTCGCACGACGAAGCACGTGCAACTGCAAGCCTGCCGAAGTTGCCCTCATGTGCATGCGAACATGATTGCATGACAGAGGCACCAGCCGGCGCACTTGTGGTCCATTGTTTTATGTTTGCTTACTCTTGATGAAAATCTGGCACTTTTGAAACCAGTAAAACGGCGGCAAACGGTTTTTCAGAATTGCTCGGCAACGCCTACAGCACTGTACACTTCTGGGATGTCTCAATGTCTCTTTGGAGACATTGAGAGATCCCATAAGTGTACAGTGCTGTAGGCGTTGCGGAGCAATTCCGAAAAACCGTTTGCCGCCGTTTTACTGGTTTCCAAAGTGCCAGGCAAAGCGACGCTTGGAGCAGCCATGCAGAAAGTTTCAAAAAATGAAAAGAAAAGCACCTGCTAAGTCTCGTAATGCACCTTTGTCTTGTGTAACATTTCGCATTGCTCTGCAGTAGTTACGTGTTTCATCAGTCGGAGATTGCTTCCCTTTTTTATATTATATAACTAGTACCTACTGCTGTGATATTTACCACTAAGCTGATCATTTTCAAATAAATTTTAATGTGTGCAGTTTGGTTCTTATTTATCTATAGAAGGTACATATATATGTATCATTTAGCTGAATCATTTCAAAATGTGTCATGTCATTGGCATTTCAGTTACATGTTGAAAGACTCCCAGGTGGTCTAGCTTGACCATAATTTGTTTATTGCGGCGAGAAACGTGCCCTTGGTTTGTCCACCACTTAAAACAAATATTTTTATTTTTCTAAGAATATCTGCTCCAAAAGCCACTTCTGCTGCTCCAAAGAACTGTTATGGCTGCTCCAGAGGCCACTTTTGCTGCTCCAAAACACCGTTTTGGCTGTTCTGAAAGGTGCTCCAAAATGGCTTAGGCCAATCACATCACTGAAGGTGCACTAGTTTTGCGTTGCAAGAGGGCAACGAGGAGAAATGACTTTTAGTCTAGTTTGACCATGTGACACTGTCTTACAAGAATGCACCCATTCGCCTGGCTTGCTTATGCAGTGGAAGAACCCAGCCCTGACCATCGTCTTCTGCGTCATCCAGTTTGTCGCCATGACCTGGTACTCTCTCTCTTACATTCCATTTGCAAGGTGAGCACCCTACTGACCATTTTCTTAAATCCCTAGAGGCCACGCAAGTGCTCAGTCCAATTTGTTTTGTTTTTTTGTTCTCTTGCAGAGACGCTGTAAAGAAGTGCTTCCAGTCGTGCCTCAATTGAGTGGGTGCTGAGCCAGGTGTTCAAGTTCTTATTTATAGACTGAGCTTGGAGAAAGGCAGGGCCTTTTCTCCGAGATTCCCAAAAACTTGCCTGACCCCCCCCCCCCCCCCCCCCCCCCGCCCACCTACCCTTCCCCCAGCCGACCCGTTTTTCTCTGTAGTTCGGGGTGTGTTTCCTCCTTTGAACGTGTTCAGCCACCAGTGTCTACTCTTGATCTTTGGAACAATTCAATGGTGTCTCGTCTTGTCACATGGGTAAATATGCGTGTTCTCTTGGCGGTTCAAGCGCATGTCCATTTTTCTAGGGGGCCTCTTTGCAATTGGGAGCGAAGTACCGAAACTTTTACCGACAGCCTCAAGGAGCATGTCCAGTCCTTTTAAGTGAGTGGAGAGCTTTGCTGCGATGCGTGTAGGGTCGGTGCTTAGCTCTTGTGTTGCGACATCTTTGTCATTGCGTGTTATGGATTTCTGCAATAGACTCGTAGGTCAGGATACAAGGAGGGATTTTGTATGTTCTATGTTGATCCTTGACCAACTGTGGCAAAGGATCTGTAAATTGTTATCTAGTGAGTGTTACCTGTGCAAGCAAAAGAAAAAAATTATTTCTAGTTCCCTCTAAGGTTTTATGTCGCAGTTTTGCTGTACATGGTGCTTTTCTTTCTTTGTGTTTCAAGTTTCATCAGTAATGCCTCGCAATTCAGGTTAAAATTAAGATTAAGAGTTTACCACTGTTTCGGAACAAGTTAGGAAAGCGAGTCACGAATCATGCAGAAGATAATCTGGGTGAGCTTTTCATGTCTTTCAAGGAGCAAAAAAGAAAGTAGAGATGACGACGTTTAAAGATGTTGGAGCTGGACAACGGTGGACAGCTGCATTTTCAAATACACCTACAAGCTATTTTGGTACGTGAATGTTGTACACACCCGATGTAAATACTTTCCGAGTGGAGCCTTAGAACCGACGCCGTCTATTTTTAAAAAACACCACGGCCGTTGCCGTGGCATTTTGCTGTCGTTCTCGTCTGTGGAGCGTCTCCACTTTTCAGCCATTGCCGTTTTCTCCCCCCCCTGCATTGGACGAGAGGGTTTGTGCCGTTGTTGTGTTGGCGTTTTTCAGAGGACTTGTACACGACACTCGCGGGAGTGCTGTCTGTTTTGTACTTTGTATGTCTGAAAACCATTGCTGTGTTGGGTGGTTCTTGGTATACAGAAATAAATGTTGCAATAGGACTCCGTTCATTGTGTTTGTTGTGCGAGGGAGTTCTTTGGGATCCAATTCGACAATCAGGTCATGGAATAAGTTGGAATCTTGAGCAAAGGAGGACACTTTGGAACGATATCTGCCGCCCCCAGGGATGCGCATCTTCAGGCTCAAATATTGCTCCAAACAGTTATATTTTCCCCGGCATCAATCCGTATGTTTTGCGAATTCGGCCTAAGCTCCGAGTGTACTCTGGGGAAGCGGAACTCTGCAGGGACGGATGAAGTTGTAAAGGCTCGTTCACACAGTTGCTTTCGAGTGCGACTGCGACAATTATCGTCTTGTTAAAATGTTTGCGGCGAGCTGTTGCTGTGGCAACACGGCGAACCAATGGGAAGGCGCTGTGCTGCACGACGCAATGCAGTGCTGGGGGGTCGACGCAAATGTGTGACAAACCTTTACTGTCACAAAATTCGTGCAACCTAAAACCTCTAGAATAAATTTGCGTTTGATTTGGGGCGTTGTGAAATTGAAAGGACCATGAAGCTTGTGGGGAGACCAGATGTCTCTCGCGGGATTACGTCATTGCTGTGTCCCACTGAGATCGCTTAGGCCTCTAGGTGAGAACTGCTCGAAGTTTATTGTCTCAATGTTAGTCTGAGTCTGGAGGCAGCGTTCACACGCCAACCAGATCAGTTGGCGCTGTCCATGAGCTCCAGGAGATCGTTCTCTGCGCTGCCGCTGTCCTGCTCCATGGTCAGGTTGGCAAGCACCTGGCTCAGCTCGTCGCTTCCCGCCTGCAGTAAACACTTCTTTTATCAACTTGAAAGAAAGGGGAAGAAACTGATGCGATTGCTGCGCCAAAGCGCATGCCCCGCTACATTTTGCCATAATGTGAGGTATATGCGCCAAAACTTATTTTTACTTTATTGATGCTAAGGATATCATCGGTGATCTGGTTGCTGCGCCAAAGTGCTTACCCTGCTACATCCTGTTGCATTTCGACAAAATGTGCTGAATTTGTGCCAACATTGTGCCAAGACAGAATTTCACTTTATTAATACTGAAAATATTACGGCTAAAAACTTCTGAACGGCCGGATTGTTACAGTAGGGCTGTCCGAATTTTTTGAGCTTTCGATTTAAGTGCGTACTACTAGATTTGAATTCTGTATCAAACACTGACCTTACTCGGTGGTCGCGCAATACTCTAATGTTCGTGGCATGTTATGGTGGGTTAGGTAGCTTCGTTGAGTGCGCTTCTCACCGCACTCTGGTGCACTGCAGTGAAGCAAAAACTGCGGCGTAGGCATCGCGGTTTTTTTTCTGTCACGCTTCGCCGCAGCGCAGCCGCGTACTAAGGGGAAAACAATTCCCGACACAAGCGTCAATATGTAGGGTGGTTCAAGTCACCAGGCTCGATCTAAAATGAACCGTAAAAATCGACGCCTGCACGTAGCCATCTAAACTTTTTGTCAAAGGTGTATTTCAGAGGTCAATTTTTACTTGTAAAATTATAAAGCGGAGTTCTCTTTCTGTGAAAAAGAAGGCCAAGAAACTTGCCAGGGTCTACGGCAGGCAGCGACGCAGACGACGGGTTCAGTAGCGGGGTGTGTTTGGCGTTCGTATTGATAGATGGCGCTGCCTCCTTATCGCGACCACCGTGGTTTACTAGAATTAACATAATCTTTTTTTTTAAATTTACCTTCGATTAAAAAACGAAATGCGGACAATAAGAGCAAAATTTAAAGTAAAAAAACGCGTCTGCATAACGGCGGCGCTTTTGCTGCCAACGGATTCCGTCTGCGTGTCATCTGCTTTCTTTCGCTGGTCGGCTTCGGACGCTGCTCCCGACGCCATCTATCAATACGAACGCCAAACACGCCCCGCTACTGAATCACTGTCGTCTGCGTCATTCCCCGCCGTAGACCCTGGCAAGTTTCTTGGCCTTATTCTTTACAGAAAGAGAACTATGCTCTGTAATTTTGCAAGAAAAAAACCGACCTGTGAAATACACCTTTGACGAAAAGTTTAGATTGCTATGTGCAGGTGTCGATTTTTACGGTCCATTTTAGATCGAGCCTAGTAACTTGGACCACCCTATATATGTACCGTAAAATCCCGTAAGGGCGTCCTCCCCTGAGATCGCCCATTCAGTTTTTCTGGCTAAATATCTGTAACATAAAAATTCCGAAACATCGCCCACCCCCCGATTCCTGTTGGACGCCAAGCCAAGTCCAACGGGAATCTCGCATCCACGGCGCGATCTGCGGTACCGGTGCGTCCGAGAAGCGAGTTCGTAGCGGGTTCCCGCGTTTTCGTCTGCGATCTGCGCGCATGATATCGGCTCCCGTAACAACCCGAGTTGTTCCCGCGTGCATATTGCATCGTGAAATGCGAATCTGCTGCGTTCGCGATTTGCGGTATCCGTTCCCGAGTTCGTAGCGGATTCCCGTGTTTTTGTCCGCGACCCGCGCGCGCGGTATCGAACGCGAGAGTTGTTCCCGCGTGTATAGTATGTCCACGACCTGCAGTATTTGTTTCCGTGGCATGCGAGTTTGTAGCGTATTCCCGCGTTTTTGTCCGCGATCTGCGCGCGCCATATGGGTTTCCGTGACAGGTAAGATTATACCGGGTTGTACCGGGTTCCCGTGTCTTTATTGCACCATGAAGCTTGCATCTGCTGCGTCCGCGATTTGCGGTATCCGTTCCCATGAAATGCGAGTTCTCGGCGGGTTTTCGCGAGTCGTTCGCACCGTAAAATGCGAATCTGCTGCGTCGGCCACTTGCGGTATCCTTTCCCGTGACACAGGAGTTTTTAGCGAATACCCGCGTGTTTATGGCATCGTGAAACGCGAATTTGCCGTGTTCACGATCGGCGGTATCAGTTCCCGCATCACGTGGTTTGTAGCGGGTGCCCCGGTGCTTATCATTAATTTTTGATAATGTTTTGCTGCGGCATCCCCAAAGATAGCCCACCCCACGTTTTTCACCATTTATCTCTACGTTTTGGGTGGGCGTTCTCACGGGATTTTACGGTATATATAAAACAGAAGGACTTTGTAAGAGCTAATCTAACAACTCTACCTTGCACTATACTTCTGAATCAAACTGCGACCAGTATATAGGGTAAACTGCAATATTCTGATTTTGTTAGTTCAAATTCGAGATTTAGCAAGGATACTTTTGTTACTGATTTAGGGTGCCGATGTGGAGTATTTGGTTTAAGCTGACAAAAGGGCAAACAGCACGTAAAAAACAGGCACAAAGTAGGAAAAAAAAAAAAAGACAAAACAGCTGCGGTACGAGTGCCCTTGATGTTTTCTGCCCTTTGCAAGTTGGCGCAACTCTGACCTAGAGTTGCGAATAAGAAAGGTGGCCCCACTTGCACGGTAAAGCGTGTTTCAGATGCAGCGATTTTGGCCCTAGAGCGGCGCAACTTCTGCCGTCGCGGCGCTCGTGCCGCTCAACCGCTGGTGCTGGCCAAAGCGCCGCGACGGCACAAATCGCGCCGCTCTAGGGCCAAAACCGCTGCATATGAAACACGCTTAAGGCAAGTGGGGCGTGGGGCGTCTGATTTATGATAGAGTGATGTGATCGGTTCGAGTAATTTTAGAGCACCTTCAGGGCCCGTTTGCTCGAAGCACTAACCGCGGCTAAAGTTAGCAGCAGTACCTAGGAGAGGGATTTTGAAACCACGTGACTGGGGCTCGGTAGGGATGCGGGGAAACATGGCGGTGCACCGGTGAGTGAGAGCCGCTCGCTTTAAAACGAATATGTCGTTGTAGCTACAATATCGGGCTCGTTAGTCAGCAACGAATGGTGCAGGAGGCTTTCGCTTTGCCTTACCTCGCTTAAATCGCAAAGCATGGGCAATGACCTCGCCGCATTTTCTAGATAGTCTTTCGATTCTGGCCATTCCTAAGCCTAAACTAGCGCGATAATTGTCGGCATGGCAACGTCTTTGCAAAGCGGATTGCCTTGGCTCAATCGGCCGGGTATTGATAGCACACAAAAGCAGACAGCGCCCCAATTAGCGCCGAGATGTTTCAGTGGCGCCCTCTTATGGTTTCCATCCGTGACGTCACGACTGGGATTTGCCTCGCCGTGACGTCACCAGTTGTTATCCTGGCTACTTACCATCAGGTGCGGCGACGAGTTCAATGGTGTGTTTAAAAAGCACAGTGAAAGCTAGGAGCCATCGCAATCCGAAACACCGTCAAAGTTGACAATCTGACAATGCTCATATGCCCATGGTTCGGCCAATCGTGGAAAGCTGACCGCAGCTACGCTTTTTTTCGCGCACATGGCTAATAGACCTTTTTCTAAATTTCCCAAGCACCGAGGTGCATGCTACGAGTGTAGTTACACGCATTGCACGTGCTGGCGTCTGCAGTAGTACTTGTTCTAAAGCAAAAGTGTGAAACAAATTTGGCACGCGCGTTCGTCAAAGCCTTATTATGATTATTTACTTCGAATCTTTTCTAAGAGGAAGGCCAGCGCGCGCGGGCCGTAGAATTACACTTTCAGCGTCCGCGATGGAGGCCCTGTTCATTCCAGCCCTTTCTAGCCTGTCGTCTCCTCCCTGATTTACGCAGTTGCTGCTTGGAAGCTGTAAATATGGACCTGTAATTCAATTCGTGACACTTGCCTTGGGTGTGTCGATCGTCACCAGGAGCCCTCCGTCGCAGGCGTCTCGGTCACTAGCCGCCCTGAAATCGAGGAAACAATAGACACTTTTCAGACGTCCGCTCCATCGCTTGTCCGTCATTCCTTGATCACGTACTCTAAGCTTCTATTGGACGCGAGGCCTGCGTCAGGGTTCGGCGAAAAGTCAGATCCAATCGCAGGCTTCGTGTCCAAGCAATGGCGACAGCCAATGTCTTCGAGCTTTCTGTCTTTGATAACACTTGGTCGCGCGTGCAGTCAAACCTTGGCAGAAGGCAACGTGCGCGTGCTGGAACGCTCTAAGGTCAACACTGGACGCCATGGTTTGCTGGAGAGGAGGCGAGGAGGAACTCTCCTCCTCTCCGGCGTTCACTTTATTCAAGTGGAAAAAGTGGAGGACTTTCTGGGAGGAGCTTGACCTGCACACTTAAAGGGGCGATGCAACGACTTTTGTATTTTGCGCTTATACCGCTTAAAACGGATCCCTGACGTTGATGACCTATGTAGCACCCGTTCGTTTTTCACCGCACGCAATCGAAGTCGCAGAAACAATTAAAGAAAAACGAGCAGCGTTTACCCCTTCAACTCGCAGTCAGAACAAGCGGCCACGTGATCTGGAGCCGACTCTATGCCGCCAGTGTTGATCATAGCCACGCGCTGGGGTTTGCAAAGCACAGGACTTGCGCTGAGTTATAGACATTGTTATGGTTCGTCTATTGTCGTCATTGCAGCGATCGGACACGGGCCACTTTACCCGAATGTTTCTCGAGCTATCGATTATCACGAGCCCGAATCGAGTGCCCACCCAGTGCTCGGGTTCAATCTATGAGCCGCATTCAAATATCGTCACTGGGCGGTACTGCGACCGCCCAGCTACGTCATCAAGTTTTGCGAAAGAGATTGAATGAAAACGCTTGCTTTTCTCCTTGAAAGTACACCGCAACAAAGGAGTTTCGCCCACTGGCGTTGCGTGCGAGTATCCTTGAGTCCCACTAGGGCCAGTAAGCTCGTGGAAAGTGAAAAACATTCCAATTAATATCGTTGCACCGCCCCTTTAACCTTTCACTGACTGTAGAATAGAGTGAGTGCTGCAAACGATTCCGACTAAGGGTGTGGTGGTGCAGGGGGGGGGGGGGGGGGTCCGTTATTTGGAAAGCGTTACCTTTTGTGAGGGGCTCGTTAAAAGGGTCTTTTCGTAGGTCGCACCCTGTGGATTGCGGGCGCGGGCTCAAATCGCGCACAAAGTGCCGGCACGAGCTCTTACTGGCAGCACAAAGCTAGGGCCTACGGTCTGCGACAAGTCCCTATTATTCGCGAGTAGCCGGTAATCAATCCGAGCTTTATTGTGTTCCAATCAGCTCTAAGACCTTAAGAGGGTTACACTTGGACGAAATGAGACTGTACTAAAATTTACATACTACGCAAGTACAATGATTGGACTGCTGCGCCAAACTGCGCCGAAAATTCCGTTCTCATTTTCAGTCCCATCGAGCGGGTGATGAAGCTCCGTTAAGTGCGCTGTCTGGCGGTCGCCGATGCACTGTGGAGAAGCGACGCCCCCGAAGCCGACATCGAGAGTCCGTATATTTTGCTTCGCAGTAGCTTAGTCGCGTGCTTTGAGGGAAAAATCGTACCTCCATAGCGGAATAGTGTTTTCTCGGAAACCTTCCGATGTTTGAACTGTGCGATGTAGATCATTATATATAAAGTAACCTTTAGTAATCAGTGCGTGCATTTCCCTAATATAGACCCTCTTCAATCATGGCAAACGCCACCAGGCGGTGCTCCAGTCTCTGACGTCCCAGAAAACCTACCAATTATTAAAAAAAAAAAAAAGAAAAAAAAAAAGAGCATAGCCTTATTTAGCACTGCTGCTTAAAATCTCGATGAAACTTTTAACTACGAATCCTCCAGGTGAATGCCAAAAGAACAAAGAAGCGCGAGATCTGTTAAAACATTTTGAATATTCTTGTAAACCTACTTGTCTCCTCCAAGCTTCGTTAAATTGTACAGCCGAAGGCCTCGTTAAATCTCCAACTTTGTTGTTGTAGCATTTATGCTTTCTAGCGCTGGTGACATAAGCAAGCTCTACAGGCTTGCAAAGACGGATCGACCGGAAGTCGCTTGGGACGACTCCATGTTTGTAAATAGCAAAAGGGTCGGTCGTGCACTAATCCCAAATCAAATTATGTATATACGTGTCGTCCATATCATTCTAACACTTCTCAGTTATGAAGATGAACTTTCTAAACTTCAGCCGGTGGTACAGGGTTTGGCAGCTGGTATTATTAACTCTGCGTTAAGTTGGTATTCAGTGAAACAAATTGGTTGGCTAACAGACTGCCCTCATTAATGTAGAGCTTGGAGACGTTTTGAACCAAACTGTCCAAAACCAATCGATGATAGCGTGTGCTGAAGAAAACCTAATTCAGACAGATTCTACACGATCGCCGATCAAGTTGGTGTTTTTGTGAGACGATGAGTTAGTTTAGCCACAGCTTGGGCTATTGATCTCATGCAGACTCCTCGGAAGGCACGCACCGGTACCATCACGAGCACGAACATGGCAGTCAAAGGGATTCTGGTAACCGCCATTGTTGTCGCGTTTGAGGCGTGCTTCCCTCGCTTACCAATCTGGCTACCTTGCGTTGTGTAAATACCACTTCCGGTGTTTGGTAAAACAAAGAAAAGCAAAAGCTGTTTTTACACTATTACAGGGATCTGCTAGCGCGCCCATAAGATAAAGTGACTAGGTGGCTGTGCGGTTACGTGTAACTAAACGGAAAGTTTATACGGACAACATAGGAGACACAAACACATATGTTCCTCACTCTTGAATTTCCACCGTGAATAATAATATTTAGCTGGGTAGCGTCTCCCTGGTTGGTAATCAAACACAGGCTGCGGATGTCCTATATACGACAGCGTGCCGGTTAGCGTTGGTGGTTCAGCCGTGCCCGCACGCTTCTGGTCGCCCGTCGAGGAAAGAAAGGCGCGGCGTCACCCGTCTCCTTCGAAGAAAAGGTTGAGGCTGAACTCGGAGGTGTCCCGGCGCTCGTCGTGTCCCACCAGTTGCAGCAGGAGTCCCAGCTCCGCCCTGGCGCTGCTGTCGGGGCTGGTCAGGGCCTCCACCTGCAACGCCCCACGCGCAACGCTTCTAGAGCGCGTCGGACACATGCGCCCCGTCTTTTACGAGGACAGCATCAGAAGTAACGAAGCACTTTTTTGAAAGAAAATAGCAGTTTGCTGCTATCCGTAACTCCAACGGCACGCATTTATTCCCCTTTCTCTGCTTCATAATTCTGCCGGCAGTCCGTGGAAGTTTTCGCTGCACACCAGGGTATGCAGTTGCTCCCCGCTTATTTCCTTCACGTCTTTTCCGCTGGTGGCGTTGCCTCTTCTTGTGTTGCGAACATGCAGCCATGTTTTGTTTAAGACGTGCACCGTCACGTAAGTCGGCGCCACAAAGGATGTTGTTTCTTGTAAAAAGTATGCAGGACTCCTTTTATGTAGGAGCTTTCAAGGATTCTCGTCAGTGGTGGCACGCAGTGAAGAGACGTAGAAACTGGTCTTACGTTCTCTTCAGTGGTGTTGGGGGAGGCAGCAGGGACCGAGCCTGGACCCTCAAGCAGGGATCGAGCTATCTGCTCGTTGGGGGAGTATCTGTAACCGAGATCGGACATGGGTCTCTGGTCTGCTGAGAATAGGCTACAAAATGTTAGCCCCTCTAGCGTGCGTGAATCTTTAGCATGCATGTATGCACCCAAAAAGACTACCAGACGATTTAATGTAACACCACATTGTTCTTGAAGCGACAGCGAGTTTCTGTTTCAGTTCAGTTTAACAATCTTCAAAGGCACTTCAATGAAGTGCATCACATGAAAAAAAGGGGGGGGGGAGGGGGGGGGGGTCTAGTACAACAAATGAACAGTGAACGTTGCCGAATAACGCTTCCCTTAATTATGAAGAAACATATATCTACCTAATGTAAAAGATAAAGAAAAAAATGTAGCTTATATTGAATAAACATTTTGACTAACGAAGAACACTTGGGAGGTGTGGCTTTGAAAGATAGATGAATTCGGCCTGAATATTTCCAGCTAGGGAAAGCTGGAAATTCTGGAATGCATTTGTTCTCGCGAACATACTTTCAAGTTGTGGTCACGACGTACATTGATTTGAGATGGTGGTTGACAGTAATTGCTAAGAAAAAAAAAGAAGCATGGTAGATTTTGGGAAACATGACAAGACAGGCGAGTTTAGTCCTTTCAGTCAATGGGCGATCGAAGCAATTGGGTAAAAGGAAAGAGATTGTACCGGACAGCGCGAATATCTTTAAAGGGTGCAGTGCGCGCGAATCAAATAGACGGACACTCCCAGACGTCATTTTAAGTTTGGCAGCGGCATTTCTGACCTAGTCGTGCTTCCAAACTCGTACAGATGGCAAAATTTCACTCTTCCATTTCGATGCTGTAACCTCCTGGAAATGCCATAGGTCTGGAAGTACGACCACATCGAAATGGCGGATGAACGTCCTGGGAACGCCCTCAAAGGCGAGCTCCTTCACTGCGAGGGGTCAGTCTTAGTTAATGAAACGAAAGAGGGCCATAGAAGACATTACAAACGACACGGAATTTTTTGCAAGGCCCTCATTCCGAAGGCCTCCATTTTGCGGGGTTGCGCACGCGATAAAAGAAACTTCCAAAACAATATACGAGCGTGGACGCTCCTACCCGCTTCTGTTTGTAGGAGAAGTGCGGCCCGTTTCTTCTTTCGTCGTTTCTAGTCATTCCTTGTATCAGCTAAATGCCTCGACGAACGACACGCACCAAACATCGCTTGTATACACGTTGAACAGACCGTGCAACTTTATTTGCTTCATGCTCGAAAGTCACCTAGTGACCATCAAAGGTGTTTGTATGCTGGTCGGGTTGCTGAAAAATGCTGACTTGGTTCTGTCGGCGGGCAAAAGTCGGGGTTTGTCACGCTCATACAGAACAATTTCTTGAATGAGAACATCATTGACAGAAGTCTTTCTGGTTCGGTTTTGAAATAAAAATTATTTCTGCGCCCTCAAAACGGTGTCGGCGCACCGGAAGTCGACCTGGGAGTTACATACACTGGTTCTCTTCAGAAAAATGGGAAATATAGGGCAAACCAAATGTGCTTGACAAAAAAAAAAAAAAAAAAAGAAGAATGAATGCATCTTATTAGTTTATGTTACATAAACCCCCGTGGAGAAAAGAAAATAGAAGAAATGCGCGCCAGTAGTGTATAGTTTAAAGAAGAAATGTTCACGAAACGTCGCGACTTCCCGTAATCCTTGCGTTTACGAGCATATATGTATAAATGCGTTAGCGAGATAGTGAGTGCACGTGCCAAACAATAGAGTTATTATAATGCACACTAAAGGTCCAGCTGGCGCTAGTGTGCTGTTGCAAACCGAAGCAGACAGCAACCAGTCGAAACTTGACTCCGGTAATGTATTCCTATGGGGAACCTTGGGTGCATTTTCTCTCTGCGCTTGATTATGAGAGGAAAATTACGAACACTTCTCACGCAGTAAAAAGCTTAGAACATTTCTGAATCACGTAAATTAATAGATCAATCAGTTACAGTGTTTTTCTTTTAAATTTATGGCATTAAGCACAGTTCTAAAACAGCTTTATACATGCATTTATGTGCACTGTTAGACGCATTTAGCGCAAACTCGGCGTCGGCGCTTTTTAGCCAGGGGGGGGGGGGGCATTTACGTGCAAGACAAACGAAAACAGAACTTGAAAGTATAAAACAGAAAGGACGAGGACGGGAACAGGACATCTAAAAGATGTCCTCTTCCCGTCTTCGTCCTCTCTGTGTTATACTTTCAAGTTTTGTATCTATCAGGGATGGGCAAAATACATGCAAATATGTATCGAAATACAAATACAAACTACTTCGTCAAAATGTATTTAATTACAAATCTAATTACATTTCCAAATGCATTCCTCAAAATTTGCATCAGCGACTTCAGGGCACCTGCAACGGGTTTCTGGTTATTTCATTTTAATTTTGCATCGCACACTCGGGGAGTTAGTGTGCGGGGCTCTAGTAACGTAATAGAAATATAATCACAAAAAAATGTAATCAGCTTGGACGTAATAGGTGAAAAAGTACAGAGCTTCAAGCACTTTTTTTTGTCGATTACATTTTGGTATAGACCAACAAAGAACCGAGACGACCAAGACGCGCAGCACTAGCTAGAGAATTTTTTATTGTTGCAACTCGCACCAGTTACGAAAATCTGGACGACCTGCGCATTTAGAATGTTCCAGGCAAAAATATGGATGGAAATCAGGCTGGAAAGCATCACAAAATGTCACAGGCACTTAATTAGCCAGTCTGCCTGTGAACGTTGATTTCGTCACTATTCTTACACTTGAAGAAGGGAAGACTCTTCCCGAAACGTCGTGTATTAAAGTCTCTACTGCTGTTCAAACATTTTTCTACGTTCCTGGACTAACACCGTAATCACAAACTCACTAAACGCGTGTGCTTGATTGAGAGACACTGCATTCGGTGCAGAACGTAGTTTCCTTCCTGCTCTGGACATTGAAAATAAATTTGAGGGATGTATTTTTGCCCAGAAAAATGTATTTAATTACAATTGTATTTGAAATACCCACGTTTTAGTATTTAAATACATATGTCAAATACATTACCCAATTTGTAATTAAATACAAATGCAAAATGCACAAAGTATTTGAAACACGTATTTCAAATACTTGTATTTTAAATACTGCCCATCCCTGGTACCTATTAACCAACACGCTCGTTTTCAATTACAAACGAAAAAACAACAGGAAAACCAAGAGAGACGGCAAGAACTAGGCAGTAACACTGGATCAGTAACTCCCTGTGCACGAACAAGATCAATATAAAATGTAATCCATCTAATTATAGTGAGATTCGCAATAAATAAGTACTGCTTTATTCTCTCTGCTCATGCATATATGCGAAGATGCCTGTTCTGCGTTCAAAACATCTCCCGCACACTTGAAATCTTTGAAAATAGGGAGAAGCCAGAAAACAGGTGCCAAATAAAAGCTGTCCGGCGAAGAAAATAATAAAAAGTCAGCGTATTTTGTTCTTTAAGTTTTGGATGTTTATAACCGCTATTAAAGATGCAGGACGGGGTCATTTTCATATAGTGACAGCGCTGGCATATTAGCTATAAGCGTCACAAGAAACCTTGAACACACTCTACATTCCTTTCGATTGTAGTTTTGCTTAGATTCGTTGCTGGTTTTTACACACCTGCTGTGGAACACGGGTTTGTGCATGAAATATAGAAATGTTTAACATCGTTCGCTGATAACGAAAAATTATGTAACTAAAGCCTTGACACTATTACCGTGATTATAAAGCTGTTCGGTACGGCCAAAATAACAAAAGAGATTCGGCGAAGACACAACGGATGCTGCCTGCTTCAATTTGTTTGCCCGGAAGTTGAAGGGGGCACTAGCTCCAATTAAACCTGTAGCGTACATTACAATAACCAGTGACGTACCAACTTGTTCTTGAGGGGGGGGGGGGGGGAGGGGGCAAACCGGACCTCCCCCTCTCCCACCCCCCTCGCCCCGGGGCATGGGGGCGGTGCCCTTGGTATCCCCTGGGATCCGGCTGGCATTGTTTGCCCTGCCCAGTAGCGGCTGTCTCGGGGGGGGGAAGGGGGGGGGGGGTACAACACATGCCTTGCCCCCCCCCCCCCCCCCCCCCCCCCCGCCCACTCTGAGAACCGGGGGGGGGGGCAACGCCCCCCTTGCCCCCCCGGTTGGTACGCCCATGACAATAACTCTCTGTGACAAATATACTTACTGCGAACTTCGTAGTGCCTGCTTTCAGTAATCTTTTTGACAATTATTTCTGGAGAGGACGAGCAGTTGTGCTTTGACATTGACACAACTCTGGTGCTCGTGGCACTACGTTCATATGCCTGGTGTATGGCTGCAAGCATATGGCAGCGCTAGTAGAGCGAAGTAGACGCTCTCTTGTTTTTCGTAGCAGAGTCCAGGCCTCGATGGAATGTACCTACATGTTGGTTCCTAGCCTGGTTCCCCTGTGGAATCCCTGCGCCGACCTCTGGGCAGGCTCGTAGTTGCAGCCGGTCTCGAACGGGGTTTCTCGGAGCAAGACGCTCCCGGGGCCAAACTCCCTGGATAAGAGTCACTAAACAAAGTCACCACGACAACCCCTTCACTTTTCAGAGTCCCGGTCAACGGAAACGCTGGCCCACAGTCAAGCACAGTCTCTATGTTGTTTGAACGGAGTAACGGTAATAAATCGAACAACGAATATTAATCTTTAACGAATACACAGCAGCAATCGCCACATTGAAGCACAACAATCAGTTATTCAATAGTTATTTGTTTATGTATTTGTAGGGTTATCCTTTTCAGGGCTGTTACAGGGGCATACGTACGTACATGCAAACCTACGTCATGAACACTAAAATAATTTATGCGTATTAGTTAACTGTAGTCGGTGACAGGTTAAGAAATCGGAGGTAGCTCCATCCACCCCTTTCCATTTCAGCAGAGCGAACACTGGAGAGGTGGCGACCTCCTCTAAAGCACTCACTTCGTTAAATTGGAGGGATGGAAGGAGCTTCTCCTGGAACTCTTAAATTGTCCCCGACTACACAGGTTTCCATTTGATCTCCCTAAACTTCACTTATTTCTAACTTTTTAATTACTTTTTTTTTTGCATGGTCTGGAGTGGTTACCAGTCATAATCTTTAGTTTGAACTCTATATAGGTGAAGATATTTTTTCTCTCCTTCCTTCTCTCTCTTTTTTACCTGACAGTTCCGGGAACTTCGAAACCCGGTGGAACTGGGCCCGAAGTCGGAATTTCGAAGAGTCCGTTCGGATGTTGAACTCCGGTCTTTAGGAACACGGACACCTGCGGCGTGACATCGGACCTTTATATTCCTGATCATACGATGTTTCTCGTTTCACGACACGAGCGTCGTATACTTACGCGGATCCGCAGGTCTTGAAAGAAACCAAGGAGTGCGTACCGGATCATTTGGTACTCCCCGACACTCAGGTTCTGGTAGTTCTGTGGAGGAACCGAGGAAAGCATAATTAACATCTTCGTGTAAAAACGAAAAACAAAAATGTAAATGACGGAATAAAACACCGCCAGCTCATAAAAGAAAACACACACAAAAAAGAACAGCAACAAAAAAAAAAAACAAGAAAAAAAAAACGAGGAAATTGTTTAGTTAAAATTTAGACTCAAAACACAAAAACGAAAAGTACACTGTTGTTTGAATGGGTCAAACATAAGATTATCTGTAGTCTTTTTTTTTTTTTATCGAAGCGTTGTTTTATGCGGCGTCAACATTTAGTCTTCGGCGTCTTTATGATGCTCCATAGATGAGGTTATTTTTCCCTTTTTCGTGTCGGCTATCTTACTCGAATTAAGCGTCCCAAGCCAACAACTCAAGCGGACCGTGCTTAACAGCTCCAACCATAGATTATTTATTTATTTAAAGGATACTGTGGCACGCATGCGTGAGCCATAGCAGGTGTCGGTGTACATACTACATACAATTCGAACGGTAGAAAACAAATTGCACGCAAGAACCAAGTTTAGCAGAATTAATTGTATCAACAAAGCCGTCAAGTGACGTAAGGGCTACTACTTCGTTTGTTAACGAATTTAATTCTTAGGTTGCCCGAGAGAAAAAGAGATACTTGAATACATCATGCTTACATCTGGATTGCTTGGTAGCTTTTGAGTGATTGAGTCTAGATGAACCCGTTGATGAAAAAGTGATATATCTCGCACTGTCAACATTCAACAGCTTGTTAACAAGGGAGTATAAGAAGCGTAATCTGTTTAGTTTAGCTCTGGTCTCCAACGGTTGTATGCTGGCCTCTGCAAGTAAACCTGACGCAGAAATATTATATCTACAATTGTTAGTTATAAATCTCCCAGCAATTTTTTGTGCATGTTCAAGTTTACTGATTCCCTCCGCGGTATGAGGATACCAGACTAAATTGGCATATTCCAGCATGGGCCTTATGAGTATGTATTATGCAGTCTTTTTCTTTTCCCTATCAGCGCATTTTTGAGCTACGTCTTAGTGTAAAACGTTTACATATGCCCTGAATTAAGAACATCATCTATATTCTGATTCCAGTTTAATTCGCCTGGATATTGTTACTTTGAGGTATTTGTATTGCTGGACATAACTGATGGGAGTACCATATTTGAATAAATATACTTTAAAGGATTTTTTTCCAGGTTACTGTCATTTGTACGGTTTTAGAGTAGTTTACCTGCACCTGCCATTTATCCGCCCATTCTTAAAGTTTGTCAAGGATTCCTTAGGATGTATTTGATCTTGAGTTGAGCTTACCTCAGAATAAATGACGCAACCATCGGCAAATAATTTAATTGGTACTTTGATATCTTTAATAATGTAATTTACAAAAACAAATAAGAGTACAATAGACCCAAGAACTGAGCCACCCCGCTAGTTAAAGCAAGAAGGCCAGAAGACTCATCACAGGAATGTACATATTGTGATCTATTGGACAGCTATGATGCTATCCACTTTACTAACAGATCACATTTGAAGATTGTAGAAAACTTAAAAAGACGTTTTGGGTCTGATACTTTATCAGAAGTTTTCTATGGGTCAAGGAAAATTATGTCTGCCTGGCTCCTATTGTGAATTGTGTTTACGAGCTCGTGTATTTATTCAAGAAGCTGGGTACTTGTTGATAGTAATTTCCTAAAACAGTGCTGAGATGGTATAAGAATATTGTGAGTCTCGAGATATTGACACATGCGTGAATGTATTATATGCTGTGGAAGCTTACAACAGGTATACTTGTTAAAGATACCGGATACAGTTAGCCAGGTTGTTTCTGTAGCCAAACTTATGAATGGGGATACTGTTTTCAACATTCCAATGATAAGGTAATACTCCAGGGGGAATAGATGCGGTAAAAAGGATGCAAGGTATTTGGACATCCATTCTGCTTAATGCTTCAAAAACTCGCTATGTAAACTCGTTAAACTATTTTGACGATGTATATACATTAGGGCCCAACGATGTAATTTGAGAAGGAACTACCTGCGGAAACCGCAATATGTGCAAAAACAACTTGCCACGAAAATAACTTGGGCCAGAATAACCTGCCCAGAACGTCATTTAAGCTGACGCTACCTTCTTTTTGTGGCGTCGATATGTTTCGGTTGCTCCCTCTTTTGGTTTCTATATGTGATGTTACGACCAGGGGAATCAATTGCCTGCTACATTTTTTTATTGTGTTTGTCGAAACCACAGTGGAAGCTTAGAGTCATCATTGCTTTCTTATTTCCATTAATTCAAGCACAATTCATCATACTTAAGACGTCATAGTGACTTTTGACAAATTGTAAAGGCCGATCACAACGGCGGTTTTAGTCGCGCACGTCGCCAATAGCACCGTTGTTCGAGTGTTTCAACTGCTTTCACGCGGTGTATCCCATGGGACAATGTTCTCGAGGACTGCGTGCCCCTCGGTCAGAGCGATTAATACTTGCGCGCATCTGAGTGTGGCCAAGAGCCACCTTGAGGAGGACGCCGAGGACGTTCTGCACTTGGGCGTGGACTGGGCGCGCTGTTGCCACGTAGCTTCCGATGGCATCCAGGTGGTTCAGGGTGACCGCCAGAAGGTCGCCGGGCGAAGAGCACATGAACGTCTGGTACTTGACCACCATCGTCATTAGGTCGTACAGCTGGAACCGAACGCTCAGTTAGCTTTTAGTGCCATCCCTTACAAAAGCAGGTCTCAACATTCTGTTTTTAATTTTTTTAGACTACTTATTGACTTTCCGAGATTTTCCTTTATAATCGCACTTTGTTTTGATTATTGTCAAAAAAACCTCAAAAAGAAAGAACGAGGAACTTTTTTTGTAGACTTATTTATAAAAAAATTAAAAAGAAGTTGTAATGGCGTTTCTTTTTGTAGGTTATTTTCTGTAAAAAATAAAAATAAAACTTATTGACGTTGTCTTTTTACATTATTTTATAAAAGAAAAAAATAATTTCTTTATTATTTTATCAAAAGAAATTGAGGACATTTTTTTCTTAATTTGGAAGAAAGTTTTGAAGAATAACAGCTCACATTTTTTGAAAATATTGAAAGGGAAAAGACATTTTCTCCAGGGCCGGCTTGCTAGAACAGCGTCTGAGCTGAGACTGGGAGAAAGAAAGCACTGCAAAGGCTGGGGCGCGCGAGCGTCTTGAGACGCAACTTGAGTCCCGCGCAGGTCGTGCGCTGGCTTTGGCAGTGCTTTCTTTCACCCAGTCTCAGCTGAGACGCTGGTTCTAGCAAGCCGGCCCAGATTTTTTCCTGTTGACATATTTGTAAGAGTTCCGAAAAATGATAGTATGTTGCTTTGCAATTATTTTTCTTTTAATTTGGGATACTCTTTTCTTTAATCAGAGGACAAAGGCAAATGACATTTTCACTGCCTTTCCTGTTTCTATTTAATGAAACATTCTGATAGCACGTCCGACGTAACAAAAATAAAATTAAAGTTACGTCCCACGTAGCATAAAAGTTTGCTGTGCCTAGCGTTACGTCCGGACGGACCGCTGAAACGCGTTAACCTAACCCCCTTCCCCCTCTCTTTCTTACCCGTAAACACTGAAAAGCGATAACATTTCTTCTAGGAGCTGTTTTTGTGGATGTTGTTTTAGCGACTGCGCCTAATTATAATTAGTTGTACCAATGCTTTTTAGTAAGAGATAGAGTCCACCTACTTCGAAATACTGTTTTCCCCTTGACAGACTCTCGAGAAGGAGATCGCACACTTGGAACCTTAATAAGGGCTGAGGTAGTCACCAGCCTAATGATTACCTTCAATATGTAGGCTATATAAGGCTCTGGAGTAGTTAATGGGTCTGTGATTCTGATGTTGGGTGCTTAATGATGTTTGTGTTCGTTTTTCCCAGGGACACTATTTCCAAACAAAATGTAAAGTATACATTAATAAAATTCGAGTGTTTTTTTCAACGTTAGTCTGCGGTTCCGTCGAAAAGAATTCAACAGAATTTATGTTAGATGAAATTCTCAGATAGTTAAGTGACCAATTTGAACTAGGAGTTAAGTAAGTTGTCAAAATAAGCTCTAAAAAAAACTCAAAAGAGATTAAAAAATATAAATACGATTCCAGAAAATTTTTAACAGAAATTCAAAAGAATTTAACAACAGATTTTTGTAAGGGATGGTTTCACAGGAGCGACAAGCTTGGTGCGTAAACAAAAACAGCTCTGGTTTCTTTGGCGACCCGAGCTATCTTCCGCCTTACGTGTTCACACACATATGCATATCTGGCCAGTTGGTAATTTAAAGTGGAGCGGTACTGGGTTTTTTTATCGCCCTAGAAGGTACACATGCCGGTGGACCTCGATGCGACTGTTCACGGCTCACAGTCGGCGTACGGTATAGAATCTGCGCCTCCAACAAGCGCACGTTGTCTCCCGTCGCTTTGGCTGCGCGTGCGTCAAAAGTATATCAAAGGCAGAATGCACGCGCTCGAGGCGGAGCTTTCAGTGCATTCAGCACCTGTCACCAACGTTGCCTGTCACCAATCTGGCTAGCCATTGGCTACGGATCCTCTTCAATGTATGTAACTTTGTTTGTATACTGCGTTCTGGGCGTTCCCGCAATGGCCAACGCAGCGTGCTGAAGAAACAAAAACGATACGACGTATGCTCAAAGGCGGAGTATCGTTATCGGAGTCATCCGGACGATCTACTAATATTGATAAGCTAATGGTTTTCCTTCGGGCCATTTGGGGGGGGGGGGGGGGGGGGGGCCGGTAATGTTGTAGTGTTGTGTATGTTGACAGCCGGCATCATATCTCCCGCGAATCGCACGCGTTACACCAGAAACTTTTTCGGTGGTTCTGGGTGTGCTTTGTGCGGAAGTGTAGGAATAACCAGTAGACTGTATCCCCAGAAATACGGTATATACCGGCGAATCGCTTTTTCTCTGTTGTTTTTATACTACATAAAGAAGTGAAAATAAACAAAGATCACGAGCCAGGTTTGTTGTTCTCCTAAAAACAAGTCAGGGTGACCTTCTCTTTTGCCAGTCCCTCGCTTCGGGCTTGGCTATCTATTTGAAGAAAGTTCCTCGCTTAAAACAATAGCTCCAGTCGGATGGGACTAAATTAACTTTCACAATCAACTTGGCGTGGCTGTTTTCAATGTTGTGAAATGCAATCGATTAGCTTTGAAGTCCAGTACTTTTCAGTTTTTGACGCAGACCTCCTTCTGATTTCGCCCGACCATCCGATTGTCCTCTTCCTCTTTTAACGGAAGTTGCTGAGAGCACTAGGAATGAGTAACTCCCTGACTTTCAATGGCTCCCTCTATTACCATTAGATCGCACCACACTGCCCTTACATCATGCGAAAGACACGGTTTTCGCCGCAGACGTGATTCCAAAGTTATTTGCCGACAGATGTTTTGTTCATACAGGTGTGTACTTTGAACATGTCTGCAGACAGTTCTTTATGACCAATGTGAGAGGAGCATCATAAAAGGAAGGCCTCAGGGAGTGTCTGTATCTGACTGTAAGATGTATTGGCAGTGTGACGCGGCTCTAAGGTGTGGCACCTTGAGAAAGACCCTCACCTTGTCCATGCTGGCCGCGTTGAGTCTCATGATGGACGCGTGTGTGAGCTTCTCGAAGATGGAGCGCACCGCCTTCTTGGAGTACAATTCCTGCGGCTTGAACAACTCCTCGACAAAGCGAACGTTGAACATGGTGCTCACGATGTCCGTGATCACTGCGTGCGGTCAAAACGGCTAAATGGTGAACCTCCTTTCTCCCTTGCCATGTCTCCGCTCGTGTGACAAGCACATGTAATGTCAAGATTGCCAAAGTTAACTTTGCCTGCGTGCCGGGCTTGCTTGAGCACGTCAAGATTGTCGTTCTTAGCAGACGATAGGGAGTTCGTTCTTAGCATTCCTTGTGAACAATGCGCTAAACTATGGCGTTTTGCCACCACCATGTTTATGCTCGCAAGCCCAAGTTACCTCAACGCGGATGCTGCACACGCATGGGGTACCAGCCTGGATGCCACGATGCCAATTCGGCCTTTTTGTAGCTAAATGTCAGTGTGATGAAAGTTTTGTGTGCTACCTGTTTGGTGGTGTCAAATAAATTCGTGACATCCTGGTCTTCGGCTCGCTCCAGACAGTTCATGACACCAATTGTGGGCGGAATTATGCGAATGAACACGCCGGTGTAATCAAACTAGCGACCGTGCTCACCTTTGTGCGCTTTGTCCAGCGCGATCTTCTGGGCCTTGAGTCGCTGGTTAAGGATGTACATCATCTCGCCGCCCAGGTTGATGTAGAGAAGCGGTAACACTCGCAGAGACATTGCGGAATGTGCGTTGCTCGGTCGCGCCAACTCGCCGAACCGACTGAAAACAAGCCGCGGGGTAGGCGACGATCGTTTGCCGGTGTTTCCATAGCAACGCCCTCGGAGTCAAACACGCTCCAGGACTGGGAGCTATGTTTTGGTTTTTAGGGGCCGTTGTCAACACGATCTCCACGCACCTTGGCAATATTACCATATCAGCGTTCCTTCTTTCCTTATTTGCACGTCTAAAAAAAAAAAGGAAAAAAAAAGTGATTTGACATTGTGTAAGTTGCTCTCTCTCTCTCTCTCTCTCTATTATCTCAAAAATATGTTACTGTAAACCTACCTTTGCGCAGAGCATTCAGAGAGTCAAAAACCACGATCTACGGATGGAGCTTCGGAAATAAAGAGGCTGTAATATATTAAAGAAAATATAAAATAAAAGATTGAGTTCTTTTGTCTTCAACTGCTCTGCAGAAGAGGCGATGGCAAGACATATTTTACGTTCTTTCTACACGCTTAGAAGTTCCCGAGAGTAAAACTTTGAACGCACCAATTTGATGATGCAGTCTCTTAAAGACATCCCACCGCTTGGCACTGAGAACGCATTGGAACGGCACCAATCGTCCTTACCATGCATTGTTTGAGCGGAATGAAGGAAGACCAATGCTTAGTGTTCAGAAAGCATCGCGGGACAGTAGACACGTGGGAACTTCCGAGAGCAAGTACGTCAAATGTTCGCAAGGTTAATTTGGCCTCATTTCTCCAGGCTACTACTGGTCGGTAATTTGGATTTCACAGACGATTGAAGAGGAACAGTCCCACCCTCGATCTACGCGAGGTGAAGGGCTTGGTCGTCGTCACGTGCGTCGACTCACCAATGTCCTAGTTTAAGGCACTCTCAACTAATCCAAAGCAGAGGCTGTGTACTCGTAAAGCACAGAGTTGAAACCGAAAGTTCGCGGAGCGCCGATTGGACTTCGGCGACAAAAACGCGTCGTCATCGTCGCGAGAGTCAAACCTGCGCGCTCCGTATACTCAATTGGGCCTCTTTTTTTATGTCCGACCATGGGCCTCAGGAATCGCAAAGCGATCATTTTTTGGAAACACATTCTGGCCAGTAGTTAAATGAAGTCTGCGCTGTGGCATTACGCAATGCAAAGCGTTTTGCTTGCATTGCGTAATGCCACAGCGAAGGCGTAATTTTGAAGTTTAAGCAGATGTTCCGCCTCATCATTCGTTTAGTCGATTTTGTAGATCGCAGAGATTGGCTCTTCGAGTGTTTTACGGGTAAGTACATGCGCAGGGATTTCTTAGAGTGTACCGCCTGCGAGAACCACGTTGCCTGTGTTCGCGTTGGTTCCCTGTGTACGGCAGACTGCAATATATGCAGCGCCCTGTGCTGCACTGCGTCGCCCACATGAGGTGAGAAACCCTCAATCACAGCACGTATGTCCATTGCCTTTTCCTGAATGGGTCATCGTTCTGGATGGGCCACCGTTATTTTTTTAATGAGCCATCGCGCGTGGGCCACGCGCAAAAAGAGCGGAACGTCACTCACGCACCAACGTGTCTTCTTTTTTTGCTACGGGAATTACTTGAGCTAGTTGGCACATTTTATTTTCCTTCGCCAATAAAAAACAAAAAAAAAAACAAAAAAACACGCAGATTGTCCCAACAACGTTTGAAGACAGTTAGCTCGCCTGGATGCATGAATGAATTAAGAATGGTGCTGCAGTCCGGGCGGTAGCATGCGCCACCTGGCACCTAGCATGCAAAAGCTCGACTAGGCTAAACTTGGCTTGGCTAAAGGGCGCGACACACTCACAGTTCTCACAATGCCCCGAAGCGCTCACTGATGGCGCTGGCGTTTCCAGAAACGTCCATTGCAAGCATGGCGCCTCACTGGTGCCCCACGTGTGCAAGCGTGTGCGGCGTGCGTGTGAGCGTAGCTTTGAGAACCTTGCAATTGCACGTACGCGCATGAGTAGAGACATGGCGGCTGCCATATGCCTTACTTGCAATCTTCTATACATACGCAAAGCAGCATCAGATAAGGCTATCAAATCGTCATCCAATCAAGCAAAAAAAATTATTTCGTGCGTGCGTGACAAATGCGGGGTCACGGGGCATTTGTGATATGTCGCGTACAAAGCTACTCCTTCAATAGACCGATCTCACCAGCCAGTTTGACTACGCCACCGCTGCCGCAATGCCTCGAGGGAACTTTAGTCTTTCTGCGCGTGCGGCAACCTCTCTGGAACTCTGCGCGTGAAGGGCACGAACAGTCTCGTGCACTGCCCAATGCCTCCTGTGAACTAAAGTTATGGCTGCCTCGCGCAAGCGCCAAATGCTTGGTGAGATCGGTCTATTGGTTGTCACGCTTCAAACAAAGCACACTGACTAAAACGTGTCGTAAAAAATTGCAATCAAAAACTTTTGGGCGAATGGGCCTTTACCGTAAATAGCCTCGTTTTTCGCATGAAGGCTAAAATTAAGTTTTGAGAGGCACATTCGGGCGGAGACTGCGCGTTCGGTCGTGCGTACTATGTTCTCTTTTTATGAGAAAAACATTCCCCTCAAACACCATGTATAACCTGTTTACTGTATAAGGTATTCCTATTCTCTAAGTATCCGAACTAAGGTCAGAGCGGTTTGTTGTTGACCAACGACGAAAATGGGCCCCGATGAGCGGTACAGTAGTGCAGCTCTGTTGGCACCTCCCGGGAGAGACTCGAGCTTTCATTGATGGATGAAATTGACGGTGTAAATTGGTGCCAACGACAACTTAAAAAAGAAAAGTAAAGATCTTTGTTTATGTTATGCTAGAAATCTAAAGCAGAAACAGAAAAAGAGCCGAATTCAGTATTCCAGAGAAACAATGTTTTATTATTTTAGTCGTTTTTTAGATAGTGTTAGATCATTGAACACGGATGCGACACTGTTAAACAAATGTTGGCTAGGGTGCATGAAACAAGCTTGAGTGCCGAACACAAGCACGACGAAACGGCCGACTCGTCGTACGCACTCGACTCCGCTGAGTTATTCAGGTTCGTGAGCTTCAGGCGCGTACACTCGTGTGTCGTGTTTCCGCCTTTACTTTCGCGATCCCACAATTCAGTTAAGTTCTCGAAGGCCAGGGTTGCTTCCATCCGCCGAAACCCTGGTCAATCTCCGAGGCCACGGCCAGACAGAGCCTGTCTTGGCCCCGAGCTGCGGCCACCTGGACCCCCAGTGGCAGCCCCTGAGCGTCGAAGGCGACCGGGCAGGCCGTCGAAGGAAACCCGAGGAAGTTGAACATGCATGTCATGCTGAACGTCTCGCAGAAGCCGAGGTCCTGGTGGTGGTACGGCGCGGAGGTCGCGTTGGTCGGAAGCAACAGGACGCCGTCGGTTCCAAGCAGGTCTTCCAGCCGCTGTTGTAGACCGGAGACCGTCGAGGCGAAGTATGCCTGCCGCTTTTCCGATCTGAAGTAGGCCAGGCTGGTGAGCCAGGAGAGGAGAATCACTGCGGGGCTGTGCTTGCATCGTCCGACCAGGGTGAGCAGCGCTTCCTTCATGAGGTTCATCTTCTCCTGTCCGTGCTTGAAGATGTCGCCTAAGTCGGCTCCGTTGGACGAGGCGCAGGCTGTCAGCCAGAAAGGGTACAGGTTTCTGAGTTCGGCGAGTCGCAGGAGAACTGGAGTCACGCCGTGGGACTCTTGCAGGAACTTGACGACCTTCGAATAAACGAACGCAATTTGTGAGAGCTGTCCTCATGTAAGTCTGTTGCGCTCATTCACCTTATGGAGCGAATGCCGTGCCTCGCGGTCTACTCGACTCAGGACGGTGGCGCCTTCGTCTTCTACGTAGTAGATTCTCAGATCGCGTACATCGACCTGAAATTAGAAAAAAAATATCAATCTTATATTTGTCATGTATTCTCTAAGTAATTTTCGGTAAAAAAACAAACATTTCTAATTAATGTACCGAGTCACTGCTTAATCAAGTTTACAGTTGTATACGTGTAGCTCGCCTTTAAAATTTCTGAACTTTCGAATAGAAACTAGGTTGCGTGGAAAAATTAACTATGCTTTTGTTGTGCAGCGACTTTCTAGAGGGCATTGATTTGTTTTTGTTTATTTATAAACACTGCTATCACCTAATTAAGGGTTGTGACCGGAGGGGTTAGTTCAACTTATTGCTCCAGTTATACTATAATGGAACGATAAAATGTCGAGAATGCTCGGTTGCATAATATAGAGAGGGATCACAAGGTGAAATTTAGAGTACGAACAACTTTTCAATATCTATAACGAACTTAGCTGAGGACGAGTGAGTCTACAGTTGCGCGAGAGAAAATAATATTTCGTTCCTCAATATTTTGTGGGCAAAAAAAAAAAAAAAAAGAAAAAAAAAGTCACCGCGACAAAAGGCATATAACAATACTCAATTTCACTTTAAAGGGTCGTTGCAACGATATTCGCTTGGAATGTATTTTACTTTACAAGAGCTTACTGGCACTAGTGGAGGACTCAAGGGTACTCGCACGCCATGCCACTGGCCAAGAAACTCCTTTGCTGAGGTGTAATTTCAAGGACAGCACAAGAATCATAGAAAGAATAAAAACACTTAGGGACAAGGACAGACAGCAGAGTTCTTTCAACTGGCAACGAACATTTACTGATGTCTCCTTCAAGACGTACTATCTCCCTCCCTACTTTTCAAACTAAAAAAGGAGTTTCAACATTGTAAACATTGTAAAACCCGAGACGTAGGACAAAAGGAGAAGAAAAAAAGGGACAACACAGTGTCTGTGTTGTCCCTTTTTTTTTCTTCTTCTTTTGTCCTACGTCTCGGGTTTTTCTATGTTGAAAGTTCACCAGCTCGCTTGCCATCCTTCTCTGTAATTTCTATAAAAAAGAAGGTACAAGGAAAGGGATCTATTATGCCGCGCGCAGGGCTGAGAAAGCAACGCTCGGTCACGGACCTCTAGAAAGTTCTCGTTTATTCTTATTCCAGACTAACTTCTATCATTTATTCCTGTTTTTGTTTTCTAGAAAGTGCGTGTTCATTCTCGCCCCGAGCGCGCGACGCTCTAGCCGTTTTCGCCGTATCTTCGAGATAGTGACGCACTCTAGATAAGAGGCCGCCCGCGACCTTGTCGAGTCAGTTTCGCCTCAGCGTTCGATCTTGCTGCTTCGCCGCCTTCGACGCCCGCGACGCTCTGTTGTTATCTTTCTTTTTATTTTCATTTATGGGCACAAGTTCGCCCCATTAAACGTTCAGTTTACTCAGTTATTCGCCGCCTCGTCACTTGTCATCCGTGACAATATACACACCCGGAGGAAAACAAATCCTTAAATAAACGAAGATTAAAAAGGGAACAAAAAAGTGAAAGTCGTTTACCACTCCCTGTAACGCCGAATTGGAGCGCAGCTCTTGAGGAGGAGGAGGGGAGGGTACTGAGGGCCACGTGTTCTCGGGGGGGGGTCACGTGACCCCCCCCCCCCCGAGGGCACGTGACCTTGGTGGGGTCACGTGGGGGCAAACACGTGCCCCCTCAGAGGTCACGTGACCTCGGGAGGGGGTCACGTGACTCCCCAGGTCACGTGACCCCCCGGGTCACGTGACCAAAATTTTTCCGCTAGATTTAGCGGGGAAAGTTTTCCGCTAGATTTAGCGGGGAAATTTTTTCCGCTAGATTTAGCGGGGAATTTTTTTCCGCTAGATTTAGCGGGGAAATTTTTCCGCTAGATTTAGCGGGAAAATTTTTTCCGCTAGATTTAGCGGGGGAAAGTTTTCCGCTAGATTTAGCGGGGAAATTTTTTCCGCTACATTTAGCGGGGAAATTTTTTCCGCTAGGATTTAGCGGGGAAAGTTTTCCGCTAGATTTAGCGGGAAAATTTTTTCCGCTACTCGATGGGGAAATTTTTCCGCTAGATTTAGCGGGGAAATTTTTTCCGCTAGATTTAGCGGGGAAATTTTTTCCGCTAGATTTAGCGGGGAAAGTTTTCCGCTAGATTTAGCGGGAAAATTGTTTCCGCTAGATTTGACGGGGAAATTTTTCCGCTAGATTTAGCGGGGAAATTTTTTCCGCTAGATTTAGCGGGGAAATTTTTTCCGCTAGATTTAGCGGGGAAATTTTTCCGCTAAATTTAGCGGAGAAATTTTTCCGCTAGATTTAGCGGGGAAATATTTCCGCTAGATTTAGCGGTGCATTTTTTCCGCTAAATCTAGCGGGGAAAATTTTTACGCTAGGTTTAGCGGAGAAATTTTTCCGCTAAATCTAGCGGGGAAATTTTTCCGCTAGATTTGGCGGGGAAATTTACCCATAATGCACCGCGCGGTTACGCCGACGCCGACGGCGACGGCGACGCCGACGGCGACGCCGCTCAAGCCGGAAACGGGCCCCTAAGAGCTGCGCTCTAAAAAGACAAACAAACAAACAAACGAACAAACAAAAGCATTGACAAATTCAGATAAATGAATTTGTCTTAGGTAGTACGTTTACAATTATCTTAGTTTAAAAAAGTTGGAAAGGAGATAGTACGTATTCGTAGAAGACATCAGTGAATGTTAGTTGCTAGTTGAAAGAACTGTGCTGACTGTTCTTGTCCCTAAAAGTTTCTATTCTTTGAACATGATTGTAAACCTGAGACTGGGGCAGAAAAGAGAACACAACAGAAGGTGGTAAAAGAGGAGACGTTGCCTCCTCTTTTACTACCTTCTGTTGCGTTCTCTTTTCTGCCCCAGTCTCAGGTTTACAATCATATCCAACTTACACCAGCTCGCCTGCACTCTGACTATTTTAGAGCGCAGCTCTTAGGGGCCCGTTCCCAGCTTGAGCGGCGTCGCCGTCGCCGTCGCCGTCGCCGTCGCCGTCGGCGTCGCCGTCGGCGTAACCAAGGTCATCCCAAGGTCACGTGACCCCCAAGGTCACGTGACCCCTCCCAAGGTCATCTCAAGGTCACGTGACCCCACGTGACTCCCAAGGTCACGTGACCCCTCGAGGTCACGTGACCCCTCCCAAGGTCATCTCAAGGTCACGTGACCCCAAGACCCCACGCGACCCTTTGAAGGTCACGTGACCCCCAAGTCACGTGACCCCTCTGAGGTCACGTGACCCCCGAGGTCACGTGGTCTCCTCCCCAAGGTCACGTGAGCCCCAAGGTCACGTGACCCCTCCCAAGGTCATCTCAAGGTCACGTGACCCCAAGGTGACCCCCACGTGACCCCCAGGTCACGTGACCCCTCTGAGGCCACGTGACCCCCCGAGGTCACGTGACCCCCCTCCCCGAAGTCACGTGACACCCCCCCCCCCCCCCCGAGGTCACGTGACCGCCCCCCCGGAGCATATTAAAGAATGAGGGGAGGAGGAGGGGTCTACCCTCCCCTCAGTACCCTTCACTCCTCCTCCTCAAGAGCTGCGCTCCAATTCGGCGTTACAGGGATTTGTAAACGGCTTTCACTTTTTTTCTATTCTTTCTTTGATTCTTGTATTTTCACCAACCTGCTCTTTGTCCTTTGTCCAAGGACAAAAGCGAGCGTTTTCATTCAACCTCTTCATCGCAAAACTTGATGATGTAGCTGGGCGGTCGCAGTACCGCCCAGTGACGTTATTTAAATGCTGTTCATAGATTGGATCCCAACATTGCGTGGGCACTCGATATGGGCTCGTGATAATCGATAGCTCGAGAAGCATTCGGGTAGTAGACCGTATCCATGCTGCAATGACGGCAATAGCCGAACCATAACAATGTCTGGAACTCAGCTGGTGTCCTGCGCTTTGCCAATCTCAGCGCGTGGCTACGATCAACATTGGCGGCACATAATCGGCTCCAGATCATCTGGCCGCTTGTTGTGGCTGCGAGTTGGGGGGAAAAGGGGGGGGGGGGGGGAGCGTTGAACGCATAGAGTTATTATAATGTACGCTAGGGGTTCATATGGCGCTAGTGTGCTGACGCAACTTAGAAGCAGACAGCAACCAGTCGAAAATTCACTTCCGGTAATGCATTTCGATGGGAAAAAAGTGAGTGCAATTTCTCCCTGCGCTCGATTATAAGAACAAATATCCCGAATAATTCGTACGTGCTAGGTAGCTTGGAACATTTCTCTGTCAGACAGACGAAATAATTGGTCAGTTTGAACGTTTTTTTTTTCATTTTTTTTTCAGGTTCATTGCTTTTAAGACGGTGCTAAAACGGTTTTGTACATGCATTTTTTGTGCACTGTCTGACACTGTTAGCGCGAACACGACGTCGGCGCTTTTCAGCGTGAGGGATATACGTGCCAAGCGAACGAAAAACATCTGGAAACCAAGAGAAACGGCAAGAACTACGCAGTAACATTGGATCAGTAACATACCCGTGCATGTAAGATCAAAATAAATTGAAGGCCACGCAATATATTTCGAATATAAATAAGTAAGTACTGCTTTATTCTTTTTGCTCTGTGCGAATATGCTCGTTCTATAGTCAAAAGATCAGCCGCACGCTCGAAATCTTTGATAACAAGTACCCGATAAAGGCTGCCCGGCATAAAAAATAATAAAAAGAGACACCTTTCATAACCAACGTAATTTATTCTTAACGTTTTGAATCTTTTTAACCGCCCGTAAAGATGCAATACTGCGCCATTTTCATATAGTGGCAAGACTGGCATATATTAGCAATATATAAGCGTCACCGGAACGCTGGCGAACCTTGAACACACTCTATATTCCTTTCGGTTGTTATTTTGTTTTGAATCATCGCTTGTTTTTACACACCCGCTGTGGAACAGAGGTTTGGGCCTGAAATATAGCGAACTTAAACATCGTTCACTGATGAAGCCAAATGCGCTAACTTAAGCATTGCACTTTTGCAATGTTAATAAAGGTACATGCTGTTCGTACGACCCAAATAACGAAAGTGTTTTATGTTATTTTCCGGCGAAAAGACAAAATGCACGTGCTTTTTCCCATAGGAATGCACAGGAACACCGCAAAAGTAGTCTGTTGCTGTCTGCTTCAGTTTGCTTCCCGGAAGTCACTTAGACACTAGCGCCAGTTGAACCTCTAGCGTACATTTTATGAACTTAATGTTCGCTGGGACGTCAAAGACTGAAGCACCACCTGGTGGCGTTCGCAAAAAGAAAAATGGTCTACAGTATTGTAAAAGCTTGGTCTGCTGGGCAAGTTGGTAGTGGACATTCATATTAAAAATAGCGCAAAAGAGACGGGACAAAAAGACGAAGAAGCACACAGGACAAACGCTAACTGGCAACTAAACTTTATTGAAAGCTTCCAACTTTGCTATCGCCATGCACGTGCTTAGTCTCGTTCAACAGAGACAGGGCGTACCGCCAAATCCGCACAATCATACCGCCCACCGCCCGTTCCAAAAAGTCAGCAAAACAGCTACATCACCCCGACGCACAATCCGAACGAGAAAAGAATAGAAAAAATGCCGCGTTAATATTGTCAAGTTAGATAGTGTTAATGAAATGGTACTCTTTCTGCTGCATATACACCGATGCGACGCTTATGCAAACGTCTTTGTCACAATCACGTATTTTCACTGCCTCCAGCAACTCTCGTTCCCTCCTTCCTTTGTTTCGTCCCTCCACCTTCGCAGCGTCCAGCTTGGGGGAACAACCACAAGTTCTACAATGCCCCGGTAAGTGGGAACCGTAATTGTTGCCAAGAGAAGCCACTTACCGGGGCATTGTAGAACTTGTGGTTGTTCCCCCAAGCTGGACGCTGCGAAGGTGGAGGGACGAAACAAAGGAAGGAGGGAACGAGAGTTGCTGGAGGCAGTGAAAATACGTGATTGTGACAAAGACGTTTGCATAAGCGTCGCATCGGTGTATATGCAGCAGAATGAGTACCATTTCATTAACACTATCTAACTTGACAATATTAACGCGGCGTTTTTTTCTATTCTTTTCTCGTTCGGATTGTGCGTCGGGGTGATGTAGCTGTTTTGCTGACTTTTTGGAACGGGCGGTGGGCGGTATGATTTTGCGGATTTGGCGGTACGCCCTGTCTCTGTTGAACGAGACTAAGCACGTGCATGGCGATAGCAAAGTTGGAAGCTTTCAATAAAGTTTAGTTGCCAGTTAGCGTTTGTCCTGTGTGCTTCTTCGTCTTTTTGTCCCGTCTCTTTTGCGCTATTTTTAATATGAAGGTCTACAGTAACGTTGACACAAGATACCGTCGCGCGAGTAGCTCTTCGCGCTGATTTGTTTGTCTGTGGGAGAACTTTCGCGCAAGTCTCACTCTCTAAGGTCGCGCGCTCCCGCCTCGCACAACTTCGGCCCCGTCTCCTTCACCTTTTCGTCCAAGCGAAGCTGGGCCGCGTTGGGACCAGCCATGACCTTGAGCATGGGCGCGAGGTCTTCCACGAACCTGCACATGGGGCCAGTGCAGTTGTACTGGGCCATATGTTCAGGCCACGCGGGGGAAAACGCCCCCGTTGGAGACAGTGCCTGAAAAGTAAGCCAAGAGGTCCTGTTTCAGTCGGTCACACCGAACGCCTTTTCGATAAAACTCAGGAAACCTGAAAATATAGTCGTGGTAGCAAGGCAGAACTTATATATAGTCTATTCACACTGGAAGCGGATCCGCGTTCGCAAAGCGGTTGCGAACGCGGTTGTATAAAGGTCCAGTGCAATTGCACGCGCACTCGATGACATCAAGTGCGCGTGCAATTGTACTGGATTTTTATACAACCGCGTTCGCAACCGCTTTGCGAACGCGGATCCGCTTCCAGTGTGAATGAGCGGTTATTGTGGAGCCGCGCGGTTAGCCGCGCGGCTCCACAATAAGTTGCCCAGGTTTCTGGAGTATTATTATTTTTCCTTCTGAAATACTCGGTGATAGTCTCACGATTAAGTTAGAGAGCAAAATGTCGATACACCTCTCGCCCTTGTTTCCGACTGCTCACGTTTTGCTGCCACCGACGTGTGTTTTGGCAGCGTTTGTACCCCTCTTTTCTGGCACTGAGCCTTGGTGGTTATCACTGTCGAAATGCTCGTCACTCTTTGACTCAGTCAGCGAATGAAGGAACGTTCGAGTTGCTTTAGGAAACGGCATAAACGTCCACTAAAATTTCTGTTCGAAAAGTTGCTCAGAGGTTGAGCATCAGCCTTCGTTGAATCAGTGCTTTGCCGTCTCCTCACGTTGCGCGTAAACTCAAGCCACATGGCGATGTCACCGCGTAGCTTGTTTACAAGCGACGTCCGTAGAAGTTAATGCTCCAATTTTGCGAACGCTCAAATAAATTATTTATTAGAGTTTGAAGGCCTAGTAGATGTTAACACTTCTGCTAACGTCGCGCCGCAACATCAACTGTGACACGTGCACTGGAAAACCGAACGCGTCTTCCTCACGACTCACGAGACATCTCTATTTTTCTGTTACTGACACTTAAGCGTCAGGCCGGCTCGATAAGAGTTTAACGCGCTATGAGGCACTCAACTCCACACAAAAAGTCGCACTCTCTCGCGTCTCTGCGGTTTTTGTAGGCGCTAACTTGTCTTTCCTCTAGCCAGAAAGTGAAGGCCAATCAGTTTAAACCTGGCTGGTGCCATGTAGTGAACTTCCACTTAATAATCGGCTGGAAGACAACACAAAGCATCCTCCGAGCCCTCCGTGACCACTACGAAAGTTTTCGTCGTTGATCGCCGCCACTGCCGCGCCGTGAAGGGACGACACGGACCCAATAGCGCGAGCCCGAGCAACCGAGGCAACGTCGGTGCCAACAATGCAATAAGAGAAGACCGTCTCAAGTGCGCGCTGTAAGACCGTCTCAAGTGCGCGCTGTATACGCGGCCCTACACAGAAAAAATAAAAATAAAAACAAACTACTAAAAAAAAAAAAGAAGGAAAACGTCGTTCGTCTTATCCAGGCATTGACGGACGACGTGAAATGACTGCACGTTCACATTGAAAATATTGTGACTTCTAGATGTATACCAATTTCGTCCGAGTGCAGGAGGGTATTTTCACAATCGCAAGACGGTCTGGGCACACACGAACTGACTGGGTGAACGGTTCGGGAGACCGGGTTACCTGCCGTGGGCTTGTGCCCGTAGATCCCGCAGTATGCAGACGGTACTCGGATGCTACCAACCAGGTCGGTGCCGATGCCCATCAGTGATCCTGCCGCAGCGATGAGGGCTCCCTCGCCTCCTGCAGTGCCGGCCAGCGGCACGGTGAAGGGTTGATAAATAGGGGCTTGCCGAACCTCGGCTCTGTTCTCGTTGGGAAATATACGAGATTATGTGTAGGTGCGTGAAGGGTTACCGCAGCAGTGGTGTTCTCACAGAGCGAGCTTGGTTTGCCTTTCAAATGGGGAAATTGAAAAGAAATACGAAACAGTGCTGCCGCTCTGAAGCTCTCCTGGAGTTTAATTTAACCTTGCGAGATACAGATAGACAGTTTGACCAGTTTAGTGCAGATAATCAGGCGAGGCAAGTAGAACAGATCGCGTATCGTGAGCCAAGCATTGTGTTCCTCAATGTTCGCAGTTATCAGTGCCCTGACGCACATAACCAGGAGCTCTGCACAACGCTACAGTTATATTCTGCCGAAATGCAGTGGCGATTGCAGGGCTTTTTCTATCCTAAAATAATTTCGTTCTTGAAAAGAAAAAAAAAATTTTTCTTTCCCGTTTTACGTTTTTCGAGACATAAGCGAATTTTCAAGAAATTCACTCATGTCGGAGAATACTAGAAAACCCTTCTCACTAATTCTTCGCCGATGGACTAAATATTTGCGAGTATCTTTAGACTGTAGTGAACTGCACCTGATTTTCCACAGCCGAAAATATACATTGCGGAGTTTACCGCGAAAAAAAAAGGATAACAGTAAAAAGGTGCTCTTGCCCTTTAGGCGCTATATGCCTCGAAATTAACGCGATGGATTAGTCGGTTATTATTCGAATAAAGGGCGCCGATGAAGCGGGTTAAAATATCTAATCGACATCCAGTCCTAATGTGTACGAAGTGTATATATATATATATATATATATATATATATATATATATATATATATATATATATATATATATATATGAAGCGTAACATGCTTCGAACATCATTGAGGATGTTCGAAGGATGTTGGAACATCCTTCGAACATCCAAATGTCATCGAGTCTGCAGCAAACAGCGTGTCTCTTGTACGATACATGGCCTCGGTGGCACTGATCGTCTCCTCGGAAGGCTCTTCGGGAAAACAGACGAACGGGCACTTCCTCTTCGAGGAGAATCGGGGAGTTACCGCTGCTCCCTCCGGGCGACCGGCGTGTGTCGTACGGGTTGCGCGTGGATCCTTGGAGTCGGTTGTGCGAGTCCCCCCAGGCGCACAGCTCGGGCACGTTGGTGAGTGCCAGCGGAATGGCGCCGGCCTGGCGGAGCAGGGCCACCACCGCGGCGTCTTGGTCCGCCCGCTGGCCCGCGTAGTAGGCAGAGCCGGCATCCTGCACGAGCCCTGGAAAAAAAAAAAAAGAAAGAAGACTCTCTTCCTCCATGGAACGTCATCAAAGTCCGATGGTCGAACGTTAACCCAGCGCTCCCGTCTGATCTGTCTTCGCTCGACCTCTTTGGGATAGTGTCAGAATTCTTGTGCACAGGCTTTGATTCTTCTAGGTGATGTTGGTCCTGAGGGCAGCAGGCTTGCCAGAGCGCTGCTGAAAACTGTACCACGACACTGGAAATTGTCTTTAGTCGCAACCGGGCAGGTGTATTAGCAGGCTGCGAACGACACTTGACAGCGTTTGTGCATAAGAACGAGGGGTCGCGTGGTACGCTGTCGCGTCTTTAACACAATATTTTTTTCTGGGCGACACTGAACAAACAAACAAACAAACGTACATACACTTAATAAACCAGGTTGACGGCAATCTTGCGATGTTTTCCGGTGGTTTGCGTATATATTATTGTTGCCGTTTGGGGGACACCAGTCAGAGTCGCCTTCCCGGCAGCGTGTATGTTGTCCCGAGTATATACCGTAAGAAGAGGTCTGTGATTTCACTTTCGAGTAGAACACAAGACAACGAATCAGGGCGAACAATATCGGATTCCGGCATGCGACGAAGCTTATAATTGGTTCCCCGTTGGACTTCGAACGCGTTCGAAGAGTGAGTTTTAGCCACTAATCATTCCTGTCAGAGCTCGGCGTTCACGAGGAAAGAAGAGGCGTGGACACAATAAGTTAGCCCTTTGTTTCCCAAACTGTCCGTGACAATAGTGACGAATCAAAGCCAAGATATGATATTATTGTCCTCGCACAATCTACGTCGAATGTCGGCCTACCCATTATCAGATAGAAGACAAGGCCTGCGCACGACGTCATTGCTAGTGGATACCCGACCCGCCCCCAGCTGCAAACACACCGAGGCTGGACGCCGCAAAGGCGTGTGCGTCTTGGCGCCGCCACATACGCGGCCATTGCGGGACGCTGCAAGACACGGTGGCGGCGACGCTGACGCCTGCTATACGCGGCGCTGCGCGGCTCTACCAGTGATGACGTTAAAAGGGGTTCTAGGTGGGTGGGATTGGCCTACCCACCGCTGATGGCGATGCTGTTCTTTGCGGTGAAGGGCACGCCTAGCAGAGGTTTCTCACGCTCCAACTGCTCCGGCGACAGGGTGCCCGAGCGGACGAGTCTGTCTGCTTCCTCGGCGTCCCGGAGGGCCGCTTCGAACCTGTCCTCGACGACGGCGTTCAGGGCGCCCTGCACCGCCAGGCTCCTGTCGATGTACGCGTGGACCAGGTCGACGCTCTTCACCTGCGCCGATCGAAGATCGCTTAATCCCACGATACGTTTGATGCAACAAGCGATATATCTATCAATTTACTCCAAAACAATTGGGGTTGGGGGGATATTTATACAGCGTGAAGTTGGTCAGTCATTTCAAAGTTGCGAACGATGATAGGCGATTTCCCCTACTTAAGGATAGGTATGATGAGCGATGTTTTCCACTACCGGGGTACCTGGCAGGTTTCCCATAACATGGTGTAGAGTTTTTGGAGTAGCCGGCGCCATTTCAAGGCTGCCAAATTCTCCATAGCACCATTTATTTTCTTCAGGTGTAGAGTTTCAAGAGCCTCTCTCTACCTTTGTTACCCAGATGAGCGAATGCTGAGTAAGTTATACCGTTCGGTCCGGGAGAAGACGAGAAGTTCAACCCGGAAAGTGCGTCTTCCAGTTCACGTGCAACATATAATGCATCCATGTAGCTACACGCTCGGAACTGACTATGAGGTTTTACAGCAATTGGTGCTACCGAATTTGTGACATTTTTTGTGAGTTTTTTACGGAAGGCTTCAGCCAAAATTAGCTCCGAAACATCTGGTCTGGGTGATAGTGTCCAAAGAGGGTGATGCTGTTGGGGTGGTATCTGTAAGCTCAGAGGTTGTGTATCTGAAAAAGAGGCTTGCGAGGATCTAATGTTACACAATGTGCCCTCCAACAGCGCCTAGCCGATTTGTCTATGTGACGTTTTATACGTTTTTGTTGGCGTCTCGCATTGCCCATATCTTCAGGGTCGTGTGTTTTTCCTTTCGTTCGTATCTCCTTCGAAGCACGCGAAGTCGATCGTATTCTACATAGATAACAGGGTACGTTCGAGACAAGGTATATGTTTTCTTGGATTGCTTCATAATTTCTTCGATACCATGCTTCATTGCTGTCAAATGACTCACAAGCTTTTTCAAATGTAATTTTAAAGAGATAGCAATCGGTGCGTCTAGTTGGGGAAGATTTATTATTTGATTCAAACCCCTTGAAGGAGACTGTATACGTTGGAATATGATCTCTGCCACGGCGTTCGATGTCTGCGAATCACGTAATAAAATTCGAGAGACGTGCGGAAGCAACAGTCCAATCCAAGCAGCTACTCAAATTATTACCCCCCCCCCCCCCAAAAAAAAAAAAAAAAAAAAGTACGACTTCCATTGTTTAGCGAAAAGAGACCATGCTGATGGGTAAATGTCGCAAGTGAGGTGCCCCGGATAATTGTTTTCACAATTCCCCATAAGGAGTGGTGGGCATTAAAGCCCCCGTTAAGATGTGCGGAGAACGAGTGCTTTCAATACTATTGTTAATTCGTACGGAGTTAAACTTAGTATTTGGCAGAATATCCCTATCGAAAAGGAACATCAGACAATTTTTTATGATCCATCCGGCTGAGAGTCTGTTGTATTTTGGGACATTGGTGGTCTGATGGTTTGATGGCGTCAGGGTTTAATGGTGTGATAGTTTGATGGCCTGATGGTCTGTCGTATTTTGGGACATTAATGGTTTGATGGTGTGATGTTCTGATAGTCTGTCGTATCTTGAGACATCTGAGGGCCTAATGGTTTGATGGTCTGTTGGTCTACTGGTCGGTATGCGTTTCTATCACACATGTACCGGCAGAGGACAAAGATTGCATTACAGACAAACGTAAACTTGATTTTGTGCCCGTTATTATTTTAGGTAAGGAACATCCGAAGCGTTAGAATATCTTCCGAAATCTTTTGCAAACTTAAAAGCAAAGTTAGTTCTTGGTCACATCTATTGTTTCAATTTAGAATTGACCTGAATGTTGAATTATTAAAATGCAAAAACAAAATGGAAAAGAAAATGTGCTTAATCCACTCACAACTTTCGAGACTCCACACTTTCAACTTTATCGGTGCCCGTTGCGTGGCTATCCACATCGTCTATGCTGGGCATGACGGCGTCGTGCGACAGCGTGCAATTCACTAAGCCTCGTCGGACCAAAAATGCAGTAATACCGCATTCGCGTATTTGTAAGCGTTTTTTCTTGCAAAAATTTAGTTCACAGTACATGTCCGCCTAGTAAATAATTTTTCTCTCAAGCAAAGTGGGTTTTTTGGCACATTCTCTGTCACTTAGATCATAAACTTGATCTACTTGACATCCAAAGCGTATCAACTAATTGTTTCACCAATGGTCTATAACACAATTTAAGAGAAATCTATGGTTGCAAAAACATACCTGAGTCTACAAGTATGTATCTTCGTTACCTTTCCAGTATCCTAGGACAATTGTTGAGGCGGATTATTACGGATTGAACACCCTTTATCGAGCCACGCCACTGTCAGCTTTCCACACCGATTGTGATTCACGGATGCGCGACGACGTGAGATCATTAGTGCCTCCTCTTGGTCACTGCTGGAATTTCCCGAATATAGCCAGGTTTCTTCCATCACCGAACGATGTCATGAGAAGCACCATAAGCCTTTTTGATGTTCTGATTACCTATCGAGATATCCTGATGGTTTCACCCTGGCAACATCAAAACGTTTCGATGGTTCGTCAGTCCCCACAAGAAACGTTTTGACGGTTTATGAGCTACAAACAAACTATTAATGATCCATGAGCCACAACCATAAAATATTTGATGGTCCATCAGACACCATCAATGAAGTCTGAGGGGCCATCAATAAGGTTTGTTGGACCATCAAGGTCTGTTGAACTATCAGAAAGGGTGATGGCTCATCAAGGAGATGTAACGGGCCGTGAAGAGAGTCTGATGGGCCATCAAGAAGGTCTGATGGGTCATCAAGAAGGTCTGATGGGTCATCAAGAGGGTCTGATGGGCCATCAAGAATGTTGATGAACCATCAAAAACATCAAGGCTCCAGTCCACGCTGGGAAGGTGGTTGGACAGCGAAACTATGGTATCACCTGCAACGATTGCCTACTATACTATAGACCCCTTTTTTGGCAAACGCTACCAGACGGTGTTCCGGTCTTTGACGTGCCAGAGAACTTCCGGTTATAAAAAGAATGAACGAAGGCCACCTTAACACCGCTGCTTGAAATGTAGATGAAACGTTTAACTACCAATTCTCCAGGTGAACGCCAAAAGAACGAGGGAGTGCGTGATCTCGCTGTTAAAATGTTTTGAGCATTCTTGTAAACCAACTTGCCTCCTTCAAGATGTAATATTGTATAGCCGAAGGGCCCTCGTTAAAATCTTTAATTTTGTTGTCCGTGTAGCATTTATGCTTTATAGCACTGGTGACATAAGCAAGCTCATCAAGCTTGCAAAGACGGTGCCTCCGTGATACTATCAATAGCGGAAACGCGGATTCCGACTGGCGATCCTGTCTAAAGGGAAAGCGTCGTTATCTCGGACATTGCTGGCCCTCGGGCACATGTGTGGCGTTATCGTCAATAAACACGCCATTATCCGTACCCAAGAAACCGTTTGTGTTTCTAAGTGGTACCCCCAGAGGGAAAGCGCACAACGCTGAAAAAGCCTGCGCCAGAATATGAGATTGTTGCGGTCACATCAACGCGTCGTGTCAGACATTTCTTTCCAAAATTGTTACGATGCCCACATGGAGTATAAAAAGTTGGTTTGCGTGAGCAGTAAGAACTCCGCGTCTTCGATTTGGTAGATTACAATATTTAAAAGAAAAAAAAACCTGTTTTGTATCGGCTTAAAGAAAAAATTCACATGGGCTGAATTGTTTCTGTTCTTTTGTTCGTGACACCGCAAATATATATTGCGATTTTGCGTTCAATAAACTCAGTTGTAAGTCAGCGCTACGTCCGTGTCACTTCTTTGTCTGGTCCTCGTCTTTCCACGCTGTTTTTAATTCCGAAGTATGTACCAACTCGCCCAAGCCTCAACTTTAGCTTAATTGGGAAGCTTGAGGCTATCCAAAATGCACCGTCATAGCCATGTGACGGGCCATGAAGGCAAATAACATCAGCGATGCCAGATTTTTTTTCTTTTTTTTTTTCACAAGTGTAGCTTTTAGCATTTGATAGGAATCGACAATAGCGGTGTAGACTTTCCATTTTCCCGGGGGGAGGGGGGGAGGGGGGGGGGGCAGGCTGAGAAGTTCTCGGGGGGGGGGGGGGGGGGGGGGGGGGGGTGCTGCGCGTTACCTTTTCGCCAGAACTGGAGATTTAAGCTAACGAAAGCACGCTGGGATTCCATTTCTCATGTATTTTGTCAATAAAGGCAACGTGGGCGTTATTTTGTTTACGTGCCACTACTATAGAAGCCCGTTACATGGCACGTAAACAGCGTCTCGGTAAGGATCATGGCCCGGGCCCGAAGGGGGCTCTGCCCCCCCCCCCCTTCCTCCCCCCTCCCCCCGGATCTCAGCACAGGAGGCACGAGCCCCGATGCCCCCCCCCCCCCCCCCCCCCCCCCCGAAGTCTACGCCTATGATTGATAATCTAATATTGGTCTCTATATGAGCATCCTTCCAGCACATTATATACAGAGGAAAATATCGAAACACGTGGTCTTTAATGACGAGCTTTTACACGGCGGAAGAGCGGATGCAAGCACGCCCTCGGTTTTCAGATTACTTTTCTCCTAGAAGCTAACTTACCTTTCCTTCTCGTATTTCAGCGGCGAGTTCGGAAGCCGAACGGAGTAGGAGTTGTTGACGAATCGGCGGGAGCCGCTCGGACTTTTGCTGAGTGAACCAGAACCATAGCCAGAAGCAGAACCGGACCGTCCGACTCCAAGAGAAGAGAACCACCTCCAGAACCAAGGTGGCGAAGAGCTCCCAAAATGCGACCATGATCGACGACGGCGTCAACTCGAATGACGCCGCCTGGCAGAACCAGCTGTTATGGACTCTCCCAACCCGCGTCGGTGTTGATTCGAACGATATGCACTCTTTCAGTTCGCCTTGTAATCTTTCGGAAATCGCAAACACTGGCTCGGGCATCGGTCGGGAAAAATAACGAGCTCGTAATCGCTTCGACTGTCGCAACGACAGATTGCCGACGGCGAACGCAATGCGTCGTCAACGTAAAAGTGTCCTTGATGGACTCGACTTCTGTCGATTACTCTTCGAGTTCGTCCGATTGTTTCGTACCCGCTGTTTGCGGCCGCTGGTTTATCATCTGATATGTAGTACAATAAAGAGGGAAAAAAGTATTTAATAAATGGTGACTGTTACGTTCACTGATCTTGTAGCTGGGATCCCAATAATGATAAATTTCGACATTCATATTAAAAATAGCGCAAAAGAGACGGGACAAAAAGACGAAGAAGCACACAGGACAAACGCTAACTGGCAACTAAACTTTATTGAATGCTTCCAACTTTGCTATCGCCATGCACGTGCTTAGTCTCGTTCAACAGAGACAGGGCGTACCGCCAAATCCGCACAATCATACCGCCCACCGCCTGTTCCAAAAAGTCAGCAAAACAGCTACATCACCCCGCCGCACAATCCGAACGAGAAAAGAATAGAAAAAACGCCGCGTTAATATTGTCAAGTTAGATAGTGTTAATGAAATGGTACTCTTTCTGCTGCATATACACCGATGCGACGCTTATGCAAACGTCTTTGTCACAATCACGTATTTTCGCTGCCTCCAGCAACTCTCGTTCCCTCCTTCCTTTGTTTCGTCCCTCCACCTTCGCACCGTCCAGCTTGGGGGAACAACCACAAGTTCTGCAATGCCCCGGTAAGTGGGAACCGTAATTGTTGCCAAGAGAAGCCGCATGCTCTCGAAGTCGATCATTTAAGCAACGTCCCGTCTGCCCTATGTAAACACGGCCACACGTTAGAGGAATCCTGTAAACCACCTCAGTGGCACAAGGTACAAACTTTGTCACGTGTTTCTTGCTACAAACAGGCTTCTTCACTTTCGGCCCGCTCACCATAGCGCACAATTTTGACAATCTGCACGGGGCAGTGAAGACAACGTCCACGTCGAACTTTGATGCTATCCTTTTCAGATTGTGCGACACCTTATGAATATAAGGTAGCACTACAAAATTCTTTGGTTTCCTCTTACGTACAACGGAAGAGCATTTCAACTTCTTTAGAAGGGATTCCGCAACTCCCTGTATTAAAACCGAGGGAAACCCGGAGTGTTCCAAGCGAAGTGTCTGGAGGTCAAAACTTTCACTAACTACATGCGGACAGGACTTCAACAGAGCCGACCGGAGGCAGAGCGATGCGATGCCCCTCTTTATCAATTTGGAGTGGGCTGAGTCAAAGGCTAAAAGGGCCTTTTTTGTGCGTGGCCTGTACATCCAGCACACATGGTCAAGGGAGTTAAAAGACAACCGGACATCTAAAAACTGTAAAAAACCTTCCAACGGAAGTTGGTAGGTGAAATGTAAATGCTTAGAAGATTTGCTAAAAACTTCCAGAGTAGTCTCGACTAAAGAGACCAGGCTTTGCTCTGCAGGAACACTAACAAAAATAATAAAATCGTCGACGTACCTACAAACCTTCACAACGGGGAAGTCAACCAACTCATGCAAAACCGAGCGGTCAAACTTGGCAAGAAAAATCTCACATAGTACAGGCGCCACACTAGACCCGATACAAATGCCACGCCTCTGCACATACACCTTGTCCTCAAAGCAAACAAGCATTGAGTTTAGGTAGCAGTCCAACACTTCCAGGAAGGCATCAACCGTAACCCCACACGCGTTTTGAAACGCAAGAACGCCCGATGTCTCAATCAGTTCCCGAACAGCAACTAGAAGTTCGTCGTGTGGAACCGAATAAAACAATTCCTCAACGTCCAAGGAGAAAGCGTTGTTGACTCCAGGTAGGCCCTCCCGTAGTACGTCGATGAGGTGGTCCGAACTGCTCACCTTGTAAGGGTCTTCTGGGATGAGGTTACTCAGGTGCAGCTGCAGAAACCTGCTCACCTGGGCCTGCCAGCTGTCTCTCTCTGTGACGATGGCTCTGAAAGGGCACTCAACTTTGTGGGTCTTCGCCGCAAAGAACATCTTCAGGACATCCAGTTTGGAATTTCTTGCACGCTTCGCCAAAGCCTCGAGGTTCAACTCCTCCAGCATCTTGACCGCCCTAGTTTTTGCCCTAGCCGGTCGTGTGTCTGCTAGTTTGAAGTTCTTGTTGATGGCCAGCATAGCTTTCTCACCAAATAATTTCTTCGGGAGTACTGTGAAGCTTCCTTCTTTATCAGACAACAGGAGCGAAAGGTCCGAGTCGTGGAAGTGCCGGACAATCGTCCGGAGAACCGACCGATTGTCTTTGCCACCTACGTAGCTCCTCTGCAACGACTCCACTCCTTCCGAAACACACCGCTCCTTTTCCTCCGTGGGAGCCTTGTCCGCAATCCTTCCGCAGGTTCCACCGAGTTCTGGACCAAAGAAACTCCGTCGTCGCTACCGCGACGACGGGGTTTCTTTGGTCCAGAACTCGGTGGAACCTGCCAAAACCGGGTAAGAAGACGACAGTTTCTGTTGCTCCGGTGGTCTTTCTGGGTGGTGCTTCGGTCCCACCTGCCGTGGAGCGAGTGCTGGAAAGAGGACCAAAGTTTAGTCTTGAAACTTCTGCAGACAAACTCGAACTCTTAGCAGCTGTCCACAGGATTGCGGACAAGGCTCCCACGGAGGAAAAGGAGCGGTGTGTTTCGGAAGGAGTGGAGTCGTTGCAGAGGAGCTACGTAGGTGGCAAAGACAATCGGTCGGTTCTCCGGACGATTGTCCGGCACTTCCACGACTCGGACCTTTCGCTCCTGTTGTCTGATAAAGAAGGAAGCTTCACAGTACTCCCGAAGAAATTATTTGGTGAGAAAGCTATGCTGGCCATCAACAAGAACTTCAAACTAGCAGACACACGACCGGCTAGGGCAAAAACTAGGGCGGTCAAGATGCTGGAGGAGTTGAACCTCGAGGCTTTGGCGAAGCGTGCAAGAAATTCCAAACTGGATGTCCTGAAGATGTTCTTTGCGGCGAAGACCCACAAAGTTGAGTGCCCTTTCAGAGCCATCGTCACAGAGAGAGACAGCTGGCAGGCCCAGGTGAGCAGGTTTCTGCAGCTGCACCTGAGTAACCTCATCCCAGAAGACCCTTACAAGGTGAGCAGTTCGGACCACCTCATCGACGTACTACGGGAGGGACTACCTGGAGTCAACAACGCTTTCTCCTTGGACGTTGAGGAATTGTTTTATTCGGTTCCACACGACGAACTTCTAGTTGCTGTTCGGGAACTGATTGAGACATCGGGCGTTCTTGCGTTTCAAAACGCGTGTGGGGTTACGGTTGATGCCTTCCTGGAAGTGTTGGACTGCTACCTAAACTCAATGCTTGTTTGCTTTGAGGACAAGGTGTATGTGCAGAGGCGTGGCATTTATATCGGGTCTAGTGTGGCGCCTGTACTATGTGAGATTTTTCTTGCCAAGTTTGACCGCTCGGTTTTGCATGAGTTGGTTGACTTCCCCGTTGTGAAGGTTTGTAGGTACGTCGACGATTTTATTATTTTTGTTAGTGTTCCTGCAGAGCAAAGCCTGGTCTCTTTAGTCGAGACTACTCTGGAAGTTTTTAGCAAATCTTCTAAGCATTTACATTTCACCTACCAACTTCCGTTGGAAGGTTTTTTACAGTTTTTAGATGTCCGGTTGTCTTTTAACTCCCTTGACCATGTGTGCTGGATGTACAGGCCACGCACAAAAAAGGCCCTTTTAGCCTTTGACTCAGCCCACTCTAAATTGATAAAGAGGGGCATCGCATCGCTCTGCCTCCGGTCGGCTCTGTTGAAGTCCTGTCCGCATGTAGTTAGTGAAAGTTTTGACCTCCAGACACTTCGCTTGGAACACTCCGGGTTTCCCTCGGTTTTAATACAGGGAGTTGCGGAATCCCTTCTAAAGAAGTTGAAATGCTCTTCCGTTGTACGTAAGAGGAAACCAAAGAATTTTGTAGTGCTACCTTATATTCATAAGGTGTCGCACAATCTGAAAAGGATAGCATCAAAGTTCGACGTGGACGTTGTCTTCACTGCCCCGTGCAGATTGTCAAAATTGTGCGCTATGGTGAGCGGGCCGAAAGTGAAGAAGCCTGTTTGTAGCAAGAAACACGTGACAAAGTTTGTACCTTGTGCCACTGAGGTGGTTTACAGGATTCCTCTAACGTGTGGCCGTGTTTACATAGGGCAGACGGGACGTTGCTTAAATGATCGACTTCGAGAGCATGCGGCTTCTCTTGGCAACAATTACGGTTCCCACTTACCGGGGCATTGCAGAACTTGTGGTTGTTCCCCCAAGCTGGACGGTGCGAAGGTGGAGGGACGAAACAAAGGAAGGAGGGAACGAGAGTTGCTGGAGGCAGCGAAAATACGTGATTGTGACAAAGACGTTTGCATAAGCGTCGCATCGGTGTATATGCAGCAGAAAGAGTACTATCGGGGAAAAATGAAATGCGAACAGAGGAGCGCGTGGCTCGCGGTACAGGCTGCGCCGCCTGGAAGTGAGCCTAGGGGCGAGGGTTCGTGGCCTACTTCGATGTGTTCACGCCCCTCGATTGGCGCTCCCCAAGCTTCAGCAGTGCGCCTCTCAGTGCGCTGAAAGCTGTCACCGCTATCTTTGCCTGCTCGGCAAATGCGGCGAGCTTCTTTGCGGCGCACGCGCTGAGCCAGCAAAGATAGCAGTGATAGCTTTCAGCACAGCAAGAGGCGCACTGCTGAAGCTCGGGGAGCGCAGAGGGAGGGGCGTGAACACGTTGGAGTAGGCCACGCACCCTCGCTCCTGGGCTCACTTCCAGGTGGCGCAGCCTGTACCGCGAGCCACGCGCTCCTCTGTTCGCATTTCATTTTTCCCCGATAGTACCATTTCATTAACACTATCTAACTTGACAATATTAACGCGGCGTTTTTTCTATTCTTTTCTCGTTCGGATTGTGCGGCGGGGTGATGTAGCTGTTTTGCTGACTTTTTGGAACAGGCAGTGGGCGGTATGATTGTGCGGATTTGGCGGTACGCCCTGTCTCTGTTGAACGAGACTAAGCACGTGCATGGCGATAGCAAAGTTGGAAGCTTTCAATAAAGTTTAGTTGCCAGTTAGCGTTTGTCCTGTGTGCTTCTTCGTCTTTTTGTCCCGTCTCTTTTGCGCTATTTTTAATATGAATGTCCACTACCAACTTGCCCAGCAGACCAAGCTTTTATAAATTTCGAAAATTGCTTGACGAACTTTCGAAATGAGTTGAAACTTTCGCAATATCTGACGGCTGTTACGACGGGCCTTTGTGGAAGTGCACGTTCCTCAATTCGTCCCCCTTTCGCCGCCGGGCGGGGGTGCGCTATCCCATTGACAGTCGGCGACCGGCTGGCTTGGCCGTTAATATGGAATTTTAGTAGACCGTTTCCGCAGCCCGCTAAGCATTCCTCGAACAAGGGCCTTCAGTTCGCATTATCGTCTGCCGCACCCCCTCGGATTATCAGGCCAAACCCTCTCCTGAGCCACGACGCCACCCAATGGAGGGAGCCATCACAATCCGTCTGCTTCGACATTCTGTGTGTCTGTGTGCGTGCTCGATGGTGCGTACAGGGGCGGAGCCATGCTACGTGCCGTTCGTTGGCAGCTCATACACCGTTGGCTGCCAACCGCTGGGGTACAGAACAGCGAGCTTATAAAATAGGCGAACAAGAGGTCGCAAACGTGCTCTTGGACGATGTAAATACTTCTGTAAATATGTATTAAGCAGAGTTTATCGCGAGATACCCCATCTCCTGATGTTCCTTCCGGGAGTCATCCATCGCGGTTCCTGTCCTGGCCTGGCCCTGCCTGATGCTGCCTGGAGAACTACTCGGTCACAAGTACAACACACGGCGCAGTATTAGCCCCGAGAAGTTCGCGTGGCGCCCCCTTACGGCGAACCGGGGTGACGTCACGGCGAGGAGAGAATTTTTTCCCGACTCGCCCCGCTCGCCCTGTGGAGGCTGTGACGACGCTAGCTGTCGGCGCGCTCCTTTCTATTTAATTTTTTTGGCGTGTTTTTCGTAGGAAGTGTGAATTTTTATATGCGCCTTTATTGAGGTATGGTCTGTAGCTACAGGCGAAACTTCAAGCAACATTTTAAGCATGGTTGACAAGGTTCATTCAAACCATCAGCAGCATTTATTGTGCGAGATGTAAATCTATAGTGATGCTCCTGCGATTGTGGCCATGCTTCTTTATTTTCATATAAAGAAGTATGGCCACAATCGCAGGAGCATCACTATAGATTTACATCTCGCACAATAAATGCTGCTGATGGTTTGAATGAATTGGCAGGTTATGCACACTTTTTTTTTGTATCTCTGTTTTTAAACAAGATCGCCGAAGCAGAAAAGCTGCATGCTGCTCGAGCAACATGCTAAATACAGTCTGGGCCATGGCAAGAGAATCACAAGTAAGACAGCCCAAGTGCAGGGGCAAAGTAAAAAAAACAAAAAAACAAGGAACATTTATTATATACATTGCTCGCATTTGGCCTTTGCTGGATTCAAATAGTATTTCAATGGACCACACGGGTGGTATGTGTGGACTTGTTTATATTGTGACGAATGACAAGATAAAACAAAAAATAACTGGGGAAACTGAAACGTTTAATGGGACCGAACTTGTGCCCAAAAATTAAAAAAAAGGAAACAGAAGATTAGAGCAGAGCGTCACGGGCGTCGAAGTCGGCGAAAGAGCAGAGTCGAACGCTGGGGCAAAACTGACTGCGGCTCGATGCGCGGAGCTCCTTATGTACATGCGAGAGCTTCTGGAATAATCGGCGTAGAATGTTCGACGCGTAGAACATTCGGACCTCGAACAAGCTACAGGATTGTCTCTTTTAATTGGAGATGACAATTCAGACTAAACGGTGTATTTTCCGAATACCCAAGACTGGAATAAAGAATGTCAGGAAAAAAAAGTATAAACATTCCAAATTACGGCACTATTGCTCTGCATATTGTGGTTCTCCTTAGGGCCACTGCCTTTGGGAGTACCACGTTCGCGGCGAGACGCTCTACCGCGAAGCGGGTTCGCACTCGCGTGGCATGCTGCTCGTTGAGCGCAAACAGACACCAGTCACGTTGGTAACGGTGATAAACTGTTTATTTACAAAGAAACAAATAACAACAAAACAGCGGCTATAAACTGGTGAACGCCGTCGGTGTGGAGATCGCCCACGGCCGAACGGTCGTTCACAAAGGTACAAAGTACGGGGTAAACGCTCACCGGTGCGCCGGAAGGGTCCCCGTTGTCGCCGCCGCCGAATCCCAGGAAGAAGAGCCCGGAGATCCTGCTGTCCGCTGGTTATAAGATAACAGCGGGGGCGAAGTGGCCAATCAAGGAGCGACACGTCGATCTCCTTTGTGCGGGGGTTCGTTACGGAA